GTGTCTTCATGCCCTGTGGACCGAGCAACACCCTGTCGGCCATCTGGAGGGCATACAAGGCATGCTCAGGATCGCAGAGGTCCGGTGCAACCGTCATCATAATAGGGAAGTTTGGCCTCAGCTGGTAGTCCTCGTACTCCTTGCCTGAGCGGTACAAATCCTTGTAGATACCACGACGGTTGATGATGCTCGAGTTGACGTCGTACTTGCTGTCTTCTTCTGCCGAACGAGGAACGTAGAAGCAGCGTTCGAAGTTGGCCTTGATCAGGTCGGCCCACTCATTGTAGGTGACGGTCTTCTTGCCATCGTCGAGGGTAACGCCCTGGTACTTGAACTGACCTGCGTCGTACATGTCGGCGCACCAGCGTACTGTGCTGTACAACATACCGATGATCTCAACCGGAGCACCGTCTCGTGGTGTACCGGGGATACCCTTACTGCCAGCCTTTTCACTCTCACCCATCTTGTCCATCCATGTGCCGCAGTTTGATTGGTTACCACCGAAGATCATACCAGTCTCCCAGTCGGTCCAGATCTTGATGTTGAAGCCTTCGGACTTCATTTGGCTGTCAATGTTCGGGCCCGCGTCATGTTCCCGGAACTCTATGCCGGAGGCGTGTCGCTGGAGAGCTTCCTGAATGACCTCCGCGATGGAGGAGGACTGAGAGTACGCTTTCTCGTCGGTGTGAGCGAACCATGTGTCATCGTACGGCAAGAATCGGCGCTTGACCTTCTCTTGAAGAAGCTCCATGCCATTGGGCACAATCTTGCAGTAATCTTGGCAGTTTTGGAGGAAGAACCAGACCGAGTCGCGGGAGTTGTAGCGTGGGTTTTTGCCACCACCGAGGAGGTTGGGAACCATGCCATGCTTCATGACACTGGCAAAGGCAAAGATATGCTCTTTGGCATCGGCATATCTGCCAGTTCCCATGTAGAGACCGCGGGCTGAAATGGTAATGTCACGTCCCCAGCATCGTGCCCAGTCGTAGGCAAAGTGAGGGAGACCAGCGGCCATGCTGGGTACGCTCTTCTCAGGCCACAACGAAGCGCTGTTCATGTAGCCGGTGACTTGGCAGCTGACAAGGGCGAGACTCTTGAGGAACTGGTTACCCTCGCGGACATTCTCGCCCATGAGCTCAACGGCTCGCTCCACTGCAGCGTTGTATGCAGTCTGGACGACGAGAGCAAAGTATCGCGGAAGCATGTAGCTGGGGACCTTGCGAATGGCATCGAACTTCGCTTCCAACCACTCGGCGGGGCCCTTGATGTTGACGTACTCCGGCTTCTTGGAGATATTTTGAAGACGACCAAGGCAGTAGTCGAGCGCCCATTGACCCTCACGCAGATGATTGCAGAGTGGGTGGCCAAGGTTGTTCTCATTCACAATTTCGCGTAGGACACTCCACCAGCCTTGCAGACCAGCGTAGACCAAGTTGCCATGACCTGGGACGTTGTATGTTCCGTCCTTGTGGTCCGTAGCGTCCCTCTCCTCTTCTTCACATCTGTATAGGATGTAGTTGAGGTCGATGAGGTTGACACCACTGAAAGCCGAACGCGCTCCGCTAGTGACGAACTTGTCAAGACCTTCAGCATGCTCTGCGCTGGGCACCCAGGTTTCGAAGAGAGCGATGCTGCCTGGTGGGAACTTGTCTGGGATACTAATCGTGGTGTCATCGCCAGCCGACTCGATGTTAACGCCTTGAAGTTCGTTTGTCTTGCTGGGCAAGCCGCGCAGTGTCGTCTTGTCGCCGATGATACGTGCTCTTGTCTCGGGACTGTTGTCGACTTCAAGATTCCAGGCGCCGACGAGCTTTGCTTGAGTGCCTGGTAGCTTGGTCTTGCCGAAGCCTCCATTGCCGTTGCCGTAGCCGGGGAATGCGGTGTGGGCAATAAGGAAGTAACCTTTCCTGGTGTGAGGGTTGACCCGATGGACGGTAATGTACTCGTTGTCGTGGTGGATATAAGTCTCATTGTACTCCTCCTTGCCCATCTTGACGTGGATCTCGTTGATAACCTTGCGGATGCCACCAATACCACCTTCTCCAGCTTGTGGTTTGATTTCGCCTCCAGTGGAATTGGTAGAGGAATACAGTCTCTTCTCGTGCACCAGTTCGATCAGTTCAGGGTAGCACTCGTCGTAACCGAAGACGCTACCAGTCGCGCAGTCGCACATGGCGACGAGCGCGGCACTGGGCAGCGTGTCGCGTGCATCCCGCTTCTGAGCTGGCGTCTCGTTGTCGTGCGTGCAGTCCATGAACAACGCGTGGACGGGGCTGCGCTTGATCTTTTTGACAATGGGCTTCGTCTGGTCAGCTCCATCAGTCGCCTGTGCAGCATTGAGCACTTCGTCAGTCTCGAAGCTGCCGATGGGAACACCGCCGTGACGGTGAACAAGTCTGCTCAGCTCTTGAGTACTCCATGACTGCATGGCTTCTCGAATCAAGGCGCAGATTCCGAGCTTCATGCAAAACTTGTAGTCCATCTCTTCAGACCCAGTGAAGAGCTCGGCGCAGACCATAACGTTTGAGTTGACGCTACGTGCTTCGTCAAGCATGTATTCGGCAAGATGCAGAGGGGTGGAATGGCAGTTGTCGATGCGGAAGCCTTGGAAATATTTGGCCATGAGCCGGGTGTACTTGGCCATGTGATCCCAAAGGAAAGGGTTGTCCTCTGGACCATCTCCGTATCGGAGCTTGACGCAGTCGCCCCAGACAATGACCTCTCTCCGCAGGTATGCTCTTGACTTGGGCCCAGCGTTGTCTCGCATCGCATCTGCAGCCCATACCCATCCGTTGTTCACCAGCGCGAGTGCTTCGGGGTTGTGCTTCTTTGTGGTCTCATTGAGTGGCAGGCGCGTGAAATAGGTCTCGATGAGTGGGTTCGCGTCGTTGACTTCGCCAAGCTTGGGACCATGGGCGTCCATTCGGACGTACTTGGTCCGGTTGAAGAGTTGCTCCATGATCTCTGCTTGGTCTCCATCATATTCGCGGTAGAATGGAAGGTTGACCTCGTTGAGTATAGCCGTGATGGTGCCTTGAGCTGCCCGGTCGTCAGGAGTATTGCTAGTACGGGTGTCATAGCGACCAAACAAGGCGCACAGTAGGCTAGCAGCAATGTTCGGGTTCATTGTCCGACGGTAGCGCTCGCCCATACGGTCACCGCCGCGCAGAGCATGCTCGACCAACCAGTCTGCCTTCTGCTTCAGTGGCCAATTCCTGACAGCATCGAGCCCGCGAAGCCCAGCTTCACTAAAGCTGCCATCAACGAACTTGGCTTGGCCAGAGGTCCAAGCCTCCATGATGGCCTTGGTATCTCTCTCGACGTCAATGACGTAGAATTGCCAGAGCTTGACCTTGCTAAGGACGTGGTCCTTGACACCTTGCATGACCTTGAGAAGGTCTTCTTCACTGTTGAATGTGGTGGGTAGACCATGCTTGGGGAGGTCTTTGCTGAACTGCAACAACTCTGTATCGAGCTCGAGAGCAGGTCGCAGGTGTGGAGCGGTGTCGACGTTGTAGCCGGATTCTGGATGCTCTTCGAGCCATGGGCTGTTGTTGGCCGTGTGGTTCCAGACGACATCGGTCATGGCAAGCAGATTGAACTCGTTCTGCATTTTTCGGATCATGTTCGCAATGTCCTTCTCGCCTTCTTTGAAGATGGCCTTGTCGAACTCCAGTTGATTGTAAATACTGTAGGGCGAGTTTGAAGAGCCGCGCATCATCAAGGGTGTGAAGTGTACCATGTTGAAGCCACGCTGGCTCATGCCCTGCAGGTGGTTGTCCCAGTCCGTCGGGTAGTTGCCCATGAATTTGGACAGGCAAGAGATTATGCAGACGGCCTCGACCGGCAAGTGCTCGCCCTGCAGCTTGAGATTTGGACATATGTCGATGTAGTAGGTGTCCGTCCGCGTGGGTTCAGGCGATGCAACGTCTGTGAAAGACCACTGCGGCAGCGGTGTGTAGGTCGTGTAGAAGGAAAAGGCATTGGCCTCGTGAACGGGGATCTCAATCTCACACATGCCAGTAAAGTTGGGCTGCAGTCTGCGGTGCGTGTCAGTGACATGTGACCAGGCGAGGCATGGCAGGCTGCTTACTTGTACTCGCGGTACTGGCTGCGCTTGAACTTCTCGCCCTCAGCGGGGATATTCACCCAGAGACTGCCCTCGCGACATATCGAGCTGGTACCCTGGATCTGAAAGCAAATCGAGTAGGCTGGGTCGGTGGGGGGAGGCAGGTAGATGTACGTGCCAGCGACGTCTGGGACGCCGTAGTCGGTCAATGGCAGCAGGTAGACGACCTTGCGGTCCGAAGACTTGGGGTGTGTTGGCAGGGCCACAGACATGATGTTGTTGAGAGACTGAAGGGTTGCGGGAGAGCTATGTGGTGGTAAACAATAACAGTAGGTGGATAGCGGTACTGTAGGATATCTATCTTTGACGTAGTAATGGCGGCGATGCAGTCAGAGAGTGTGGTAGTAATGCAGTGTAGGAGCAGCGCGGTCGACGGAGGTAGTAAACAGGCCAAAAGCCGTCTGCGCAGTCGCTTCTGAGGGTCAATTGCCCTCTGTGTGGAGAGAAGGAAGCAGCGCCTGGAGACGTGTGAGATCGGCGGTGGGCGGTCGCGAAGCATACGAGCCGCAAGCGCAACCCGCGGGAAACGTCATTGCCCCAAGCTTGAACCCCAGTCGGCGCCCCATGTGGCCCCGTCCTCGACAAGTTCTACTCCAATAGCGCGGGGGCTAGGCATGCGTCCCAACTCGATCCAGTTGGTACGAAGGAAATTGTTGAACACGTTGAAACTGCCATGGAAACGCTTTCTGCCACGCGACGATATCCACATATGATACAAATGAACCCGCTCAAAATGCTACTTCTTCCCGCCCCGCTCTCCCAACGCCCGTATGCAACACAATGCAGAATGCAGGGTTAAACAAGCAGCTAATCAATACGCGGCCAAAACTCCAGCGCTGGCTACTGAACAATTATTGGGCAATACGGCTGCCACGAGCTCAGAGTGGTCAAACGACGGGTATCGCGACCTCGTGGCAGCCCACACGGGACGAAGCGAACATGCGTAAACCAAGCAGTCAAATCCAACCCTTCTTCTATAGTCACCTCATCCAGAGGCGCTCAACACATGGTCCGCTGTCTTCTCAGCTTGCGCGTCAAAATTTGATGTTGAAGGGGGAGCCCGGTGGATCGCGCAGGTCCAATCGAAATTGCGTCGATTCAGATGGCCCGCGACTATGTTGTGCTTGAGTCGGTGTGGCATTCTCATCTAGATCGATTGAGGACGCTTCGGTGCTGACCGAAGGGGGCGCACGCGGTGTGCTTCTCACATGGTGAACCCCCTCTCGACTGTCTGAAGACGACGTGACTCGCTCAGGCGACGTCTCGCGCTCGCTATAGCCGCCGCCCCGCATACGTAGAACAGGGTTGCTTGAGGGTTCCGACAAGACCAGTGAAGGGTTCGGCGGTGTAGCACGTCCATTCCTCTCAGATGAAAGTCCTCGCGAGGATGACTTGACATGGTCAGTAGACTGACTCCGCATCGTCGCCGGCTTCTTCGGAGGCGGCACCTGGGGCGAGTTCGTGCCTTTGCTTCTCCCAGCGCTTTGAGGTGGGCCGTTTCTGGATGGAGTCTGTTGTTGCTGTAGGTGCTGCTGCTGCTTTTGTTGTTGCTGTTGCTGTTGTTGTTCCTGCTGTTGCTGCTGCTGGGACTCAACTTCTTCTACATGGTGCAGGAAGTTGATTTCGTCGGTCAAAAAATCCTTCTCAGTCCAACAACCCTGCCAACAGTTTCGCCAGTCCAGAATGAGGAATTGGAAGCAGAAGGCGTCGATCTTGATTGCCGGCTGGAAGCAGATGCACAGGTTGTTGTAGTTCATCTTGTTGAATTCGGAGCATGAGTGCAACAGGCTAATGTGGCAGGTAATCGCGAACAATAGGTAGTAGTTGAATGGTGGGAGCTTCGAGAGCTCATCCTTAAGCATTTGCGGCGTCGTCTTGGCGCCCTGGCATTCTTGCTGAATTGCCGTCTGGACTGCTTTTGGAAAGATTTCATCTGGCAGTTGTCGGAGCCAGTTCTTGAAAAGTGAACCGATGACGTTTGGGTCGTTCAGGTTGGGATCGCTGATCAAATCGATGTCTCGGTCTGTGGCTTGGTGAGCAATTGTCGTGGAAATGAATGAGATAGTACTACCTTCATCGAATTTGCGTTCGTAGTATCGGACCTGCTGGGCTGACCCTGGGACGCGGTACAAGCCTTCCTCTTCACAGCCCCGCATGTTCAGATAGCTAGAGTGGTTGTTAGCCTCACAGGTGGAACATGAATCGAAGCATGACCTACTCTATGCACCGCCAAGGCAGAGCTGGCATCCAGAACTCAGTCTTGTCGCGTGACTGTTCCAGGCGGGTCGATATTCGTGTCAGCCTCGTCTGCTCAATCAATGGCTTGTGAATGATTTTGCACACGTAGGGCTCGTTCGATATTGGCGTCTGGCTCTCGTGATTGCTTGAGCTTCGTCCAAGTTTGCCGAATACGCCCTTGCGGGCAGAGTCCATCTTCTCCCCCATGTTGCGAGCCCCTGAACCCAGTTTCGAGATGAAGCCGTGTCCCTTGGTCTCGTTGTACGAACTAGAGGCTAGCGACATCTGCTCCGACTTGTCCCTTCGTGGCCCGTTGTCGACATCCCGTGGAATCTGCTTGGAGCCATCCTGACGATCTGCCGAGTGTGTTCGTGGCTTGCCTATGCCTCGCCATGATTGACCTTTATCCATGGGCGCCGGCTTCAGCGGGGGCCCATCGCCGTTCGTCGTCCACGAACCCGCAATGTCTGGTGACAGTTGCCCTGGCGGAGCCTTGTTTAATTTTGCACGGGTACCTGAACTCTCGCCGTCTTTGATGGATTTCGACCTGTTCAGAATGCCCTTCTTCGGTTTGATAGTATTGCGCTTTGAGGAGTCGGCGTGGGGATCGGAGGAGTCGTTGGAGTTGCCTGAGCCCGTCCGTTGGTCTAAGCGTACTACCTCGGAGCGGTTGTCTGTGGCAGTTAGCGACACGCTGTTTGTCTGGGTTACTGCAGCCATACCATCCGAGTTGGGGGTGCGCACGGGGCGGCCAAGGTCTGGTGTCGAAGCCCCGCTGCGCCCGTTGGAGTATAGGCTGGGCGAGTGTTGTTGTTCAGGAAGCTGCCGTATCGAGTTCCCCTGGCTGTTAAGGCGTGATGACGACTTGTTGGCGCTGAAGTTGGAGAAGATGCTCTTGGAGTCCTTGCGAGGCTTGGGTGAGGCTGGTGACTGTGGCATGTTATGAAACGAGGCATTGGGAGTCGCATAGTCGAGGTCTTCGGGCATATCTGGCGACCTCGGACTTTTGGGGCTCATAGGGCCGTTGGCATTGTCCTTGTCCTTTGGCTTGCCCCGCATAGCCAGCGACAGGGTCGAGGACTTGGGCATCTTTCGTATTGTTTTCCGTGGAGGGTCGCAGGGCTACTGACTCCTTAGCACGGCTCCCTTGAACAGTAATGGCTGCTGCCAAGCGTGCAGGTCGGGGGCCGCAGTACCTCAATGGGTGTTCGTGGGACGAGGGCGCCAATGTGCAGGCAGTCGAGCGAGGGTGTGGATAGACGGTGCGGCGCGTGTAGAGAAGGAAGCGGTGGCAGGCTCAGTGGTTGCGGCACATGGGCGGTTGCGCGGTCAACGAGTCTGTATCTCATGACTGTTAGCAGCGGACTCATACATGGCGCAGAGGGGTGAAAGCCAGCGGGAGGTATTAGACGGCGCGCGGGGTGGTACGAACCGTGAGAGCCTGGTCGGCGCTGGCTGCGGGCGTGCCTCGAAGCGTCGGCAGCGGGTGTCGAGTCTATATCACCGCCGGCAGGACGTTGCTTCCATGCAGCAAGCCGGGAGGACAGGCGATGCCGAGCGCGTGCTACGGCAGTCTCGAGGCGGAGTTGGACGACGGTTGACCAGACGCGGTCACGGCTGTTGGTGGAGTATGGCGGTCGCGGGCAGCTGAGGCGGTCATGCAACGTCTGGGATGTGGTCAGCAAGCGCTGCGGAACGTGAAAGGGGCCGGGCGGCGCTATGGCGAGTGTTGACGGTGGTACAACATGGCGAGGGCACGAGTGGCAGCGGCGAGCGAGGTGTCGCAGAGCCGGTGTTGGGCATTACTCACCCACTTTCACACACAAGACTCGACGGGCTCTACGGGGCGCCGCGACGAGGGAGAGGAGCTGGGGTGAAGGGAGCGAGTGGAGCGCAGGCTGGGCGGCCGTTGCAGAGGGAATGCGGTGAGCGGCGCCTTGGTCAGCAAAAGAACACAATTCACGTGTCTCTGTGGTGATGCGATGGAGGGGCCCAAGGCACAGACAGGCTCTGCAATGCTGCGAGCAAAGGGCACCAAGGGCTGCGAGAGGATGGCGGCAACGACTTCAGCACCGCGCACGGCCCCAGGTACAGTACGAGGCGCGACGCTGCCACCACCCGACCACCACCCCTACCCCCCAATTCGGCCCACAAGCGCTATCAGCAGCAGCCGTGTGCGCAAACGGCTGTCCACGGCGGGCGTAGTGCCGCCTGGCGGTGAGGCAGACTATCGCGGGCAGACTATCGACGGCAGACAGGCAGACTATCGACGCTGCACAAGAGCACCCTCGACTGCATCGTCATGGCGAGGCTGTCGCGGCTGCCAAATGCTTCATGTGCCAAGTCTCGTTTCAGAAATTATGAGACCCTGTCGGCGCCATCCATGCTGCCTCGACTAGACCCTCCCGCGCCGCCAGCTCCCACCAACTCCTCCCACATCTGACACCCGTCTAACATGTCTCTTGTTTCCGGGCCCGGGCGCGCTGCTGGGATAGCCAGCCTGCCCAGCGAGATGCACCTCTTCGTCGACAAGCACGTCGCCTATATCCAGAGCCTCGACACTGTGCGTAGCCCGTTCCCAGTGGCCGCGCAAGCACCCGGCCATCCAATCCCGCGCTGACCCGCTGCAGCGCAAAGATGAGCTTGAGTACTGGCTCACCGAACATCTGCGCCTCAACGGCCTCTACTGGGGACTGACGGCCCTGCATCTCCTGGGCCACCCAGACGCCCTTCCACGCGCTCCCATCCTCGACTTTGTCATCTCGTGTCTGCATGATAATGGCGGCCTCGGTGCTGCACCGGGCCATGATGCCCATATGCTCTATACCGTTAGTGGCGTGCAGATACTCGCGACGCTTGACGCTTTCGGTGAGCTTGAAGAACGCATCCCCGGCGCCCGCCTGAAAATTGCAAAATGTAAGTCATCTGCATCTTGGCCGTCATAGTCTACTCATAATGGTAGTCATCGCCGATTTGCAAGATCGCGAGACGGGCACATTTGCAGGCGATGAGTGGGGCGAGCAGGATACCCGCTTTCTCTACGGTGCTCTCAATGCCCTGTCTCTGATGGGCCTGCTCGAACTTGTAGATGTCGAAAAGGCCGCTCAATACGTCCACTCGTGCGCCAACTTTGACGGAGGATACGGTACCAGCCCTGGGGCCGAGTCGCACTCTGGTCAGGTGTTCACGTGTGTTGGCGCACTGACCATCGCGGGGAGACTCGACCTTGTCAACCAAGAAAAGTTGGGCGCCTGGCTAAGCGAACGACAGCTCAAGAACGGAGGCCTCAACGGCCGGCCAGAGAAGAAGGAAGACGTCTGCTACAGCTGGTGGGTCATGAGCAGCATGGCCATGTTAGACAAGCTGCACTGGATAGACGGTCAGAAATTGACGAGCTTCATCCTGCAGTGCCAGGTGGGTGTGGCTTCTCTTCACCATCATCGCCATCTAACCATGAATGATAGGACCCGGATCTGGGTGGTCTCGCAGACCGGCCTGGCGACATGGTCGACGTCTTCCACACCGTCTTTGGAATTGCTGGTCTCAGTCTGCTGAAGTATCCCGGTCTGGAAGAAGTAGACCCTGTGTAGTATGTGACCACTGCTCTCGCTTTTCAACGCGTATACTAACCAATGCGCAGCTGCATGCCTCGCTCAGTCACTCGTAGATGCTTAGGTAAGTAAGCGAGAATGCCATCAACAAATGCCAGTTGTATCGCATTGTGCTTGTAGATTCCATGACCATTCAGCTGTATTCGTATCCGTGTATTATCCATCCAAAGCCTATCCTCCCACTATCTAATACCTCGCGTCTCCCCCATAGGCGTCGAGACACAGAGCGGGAGGAAAGTGAGGGTGGCTTCCTCTTTCGTCAGTGCCGAGCTCCCACGTGCTCTGCCTGCTAGAACACCACCAACAGACCTCTTCTTGCTGCAATTCCTTCACTGCGATACTGCACCTTCCTCTCTTCTTCTTCCCTACAAGTACTGGCGCCTCTCCTGCTCTCCCTTTATTCGCTCGGGAAATTGGCTAGGAGCTACCGCGGTGACCGGCAGCCATCTCTGTACTAGGTCTCTCATGAGCATCTCTCTCACCGTCACTTCGCCTTCTTCACTCCCAGCCCGCTCCTTTCGCAACGCTCTTTGCTTTCACTACTGCGCTGCTCTTGTGCTTGTTTCACTTACGCTCCTTACAAACACCGCATCCACACTGCAGCTTTCACCTTGACATAGTGCAGCCTCGCCAGGCTTTCGGCATGGCCAACATTCCGCTTCACTGCAACATTTGCCCCAAGAAGCCAAACTTCAGCGATGTCTCGCATCTGCTCACCCACATCGCCAGCAAAGGCCACTTATCCAACTACTACAAGGTCAAGGTCCGCTCCACCAACGAGGATGCATCCCGTCGGCTCATTGAGACATACGACCAGTGGTATGCCGAATGGGCTGTCGAAGAGCTCATGTCGGAGCGGATGAACCAGAAGGACAAACGCCGTACCCGCGCGAGACCCGCTGGTACGGCCACCGCCTGCATCCGATTGTACTTGAGACTGATACTGACTACACCTGATGCAGCCCGGCCGGCGCCCCCGCTCAAGATCGAGGCCCCCGCGCCACGTCCCGTACGTCGCGCCACAGCAAGCACTCTCCTCGATCCACGCCTGTCGGAGCAGCAGCATACGATGATCAAGCTGGAGCAGTCGCCTTCTCCGACGCCGCAACCTACTGGTCCGGTCCTTCGCAATCGCAATACCTTCGCATCTCATATGCAGTACTGGCCTACAGAGTCTCGCGCCAGCTCTCGCAGCTACACCAACCCAGACTATGATACCTCCAGTGAATACTCTGATCCGAGCGAGCAGCGCCGGAGGTCATACCGATACAACGCTGCGGCTTCGTGTGCCATTGAAGACGTACCTGCTGAGGCTGCAGATCCGATGGCTGTGAGCGAGTCGACCAAACTCAAAGGGGTCTACTGGCCTGGCATGGACATCTTCGACTCTGCTACCCCAGAGATGCGGCGCAAGAGGAACCAGAAGAAGGACAGCTCTGTCGTCGAACAGCTGGAGCTCAACTCCCAAGTAGTCGAAGCTACTGAGCTCATCTTCACACCGTTGGGATCTTTCAAACGCCAGCGCAGGATCTCGTGCTCGGAGTCTGACGAAGAGGACGAGGTCGAGATCAAGACTGAGAGCCCTCAGCCCGTACGTCGGCGACCTGCACTCGCCAGTCTTGATGCAAATAATACTCGCCGCTCTACTAGACAGTCCAAGCGGCCTGTGTTTCCCATTCTCAGCCGCAACCAATACGATGATGATCGCGGCCGTGCTGGCTACGATCATAGTCGCAACAACCGTGCTCCGAAGCGGAAGCAGTTTGATGTTTTCCAAGACGACGATGATGTTCCATTCTCACAGCCCAATGGCATGAACTATCTTACATCTGGCTTTACACACCAAGCATCTCCATCCCCTGCACCTGCATTCAACTCTTACAAGCCCTTCAACGACCCATTCCAGTATGAGAACAAGGAGAATGTTCTACCTTCGTTCCATCATACGGTTTACGATAACTTTCATGGCCATCAGAGCAACGCCTACCAATATCCCGCCTATTCCTATGGCATTGGGCCTGATCAACAGGCCTTCCAGTACACCAGCCATCTCTACAACACCGCGAGCGCCTACCAGCAACAGGACCAAGATGACGATGACCAACGTACCATCACAGCTCCACCTTCACCGTCTACAAGCTAAGCGCTTGGACATTGCGCCCTCCTTCCCTTCCCAAAGCGATACCTACGCTCCGCTTCACCGTGCTGTAGTGGATACCCAACTGTTCGCGCTCGTTCCATCTACCGACTTATGCATGCGACTTACTTTTCTGCGTTTCTTTTTGATCCATATTTTCTACACGATAATACATGATATACGCTGCGACGAGTAGCGACATACGACATGATTAATACGATATCTTCAGAGAGGCGCGCTATGGGATCGCTGGACAGATACTCAGGCATGTTCTTCTTATTTCTATGCCTCACCCCACTGCGCATTTTGCTCGCAAGCATGGGACTGCTGGTAAGAAGCTGGTGGGCATGTACAGTATCGATGGTTTCTCCCTTACATATTTAATATATAGAGTTTGTTGTCTTCCGGTCACGTAACCTCATAACTTCTAGATCTGATCCGTGGCTTCCACCCCCGCTCTGATCATTCACCTGCAATATACCTGTCTACATCATCCGCCTCCATGTCATGCTTTCCATGGCTTCCGCACGTCATACTATCATCCAGTCGTATACAAATCTTAGTACCTTACCCTTCTTACTCCCACTTCCCACTACCGCCCATGACCTTATTCCGTCGTACCTTCTCCAGATGCTCCACACTCTCATAACCATTAATCTTCGCATACAGCACCCTCAACAGCCCACCTACTACCCACATAATCACTCCACTCACAACGAACAACCCGATTCGCTGATTGGTCGTGAGCATCGCGAAGATGGGGTAGGGGTAGAAGCCATTCTGCAAAAAGCAGATTTCCTAAAACACGATGCGTAATTAGCTGAGTGTACTCAGGGCGTTTTGAGAGTGGATAATCTTACGATCCAGATCCAATACATAAACGCAACAGCAGTGGAGAGAGCGAGTGTGATCATAGGCGCAGACTCATTCATCGGCGTGGTAGGCCATGGCGGAGAAAGCAGTATGTAATCCAACGCCAAAACAACTGCAGGAACGAGATGGAATCCTATATCGTAGACAGCCGGTGGTAGCGGTATATCCCTACCAGTCTTCCGTCAGCAAAACAACGTACGTCACAGAAACAATCTCAGAATCAAGGGTAAGGATGAGACGACGTACGGCTGCACCAAAAGCTTCCCATCAATAGCTTTCAACGTCCAGTACAGGATGCTGATGGTGATTTCAATCGGCGCTGCTACGAGCGCGAGGTAGTTCTTTAGGCGGAAAAGGTGGTCTGAGAGAGCCACGGCAGGCGGGTTGGAGGGGAGGGTAGAAGAGGCGGAGAGGGCGGTGGATGTGAGGTCTGCAATGAGGCCGAGGAGGAAGGTTATTGTCGAGAGGGAGAGGCCGATTATAGTTAGGAATTGGAGATGCCAGCCGAAGGATGAGTTCTGCGCGTGTTAGACTGACAGTAATACGCGATGATGATTTCTTCCAGGACGATGTAGCATATACAGAGAATGTGTACATACAAACACATTGGGGTTGTCCACCAGGCTGTTCTCATGTTAGCTAGGTGCAAAGTTGGCGGGATGCAGACATACAACTTGAAGGAACTGTAGAAGCTGATCAGACCAGCAACCTATAAGGTAAATACTCGTCAATATTTGGCCTTGTGTAACGCTTTGTTCATATCTCTTTCTCTGTTACTTACGTGCAACGCGCCCGAAAATCCCTTGGATGGAGAGTCAAATCGCTGGAGCGGATGCCGCCGGCTCACCGTGGGCTCGATTTCCCCAGACTTCTTCGACGAAGCAGCCATGCCGTGCGCCTCAAAAGCGGATAATGTACAAGAAATTAACACCTGGAAATGCTGGAATATGTGGGATACCAGACAGTCCTCTTGCAAAGAAGTATTGAAGCTGTAGAGAAATCCAATGCCATCAGAAACACAACATGACGTATAGTTTTCTCAAAAAGCTTCACCTAGCACCACAGAGGCGCCAGCCAAGCCAACGTGGGTCCCCTGCGACTGCCGTTTGAGCCTCGGAAGTTTGCCTCATCAAGATCTGACTCAGCAAGCAGCGCAACAAGCGCAACCAGCAACACCATCAGCAGTCTACCATCGAACTTCCAGCGTGTTCACCGACCTCTAAAGTTTACTCATCACTCCTGCAACACAGGCCTGTTCGTATCTAAACCACGTCCCGTGTATCATCTGACGTCGAGTGGGTAAACTCCGTGCCTACCCTCGAGGCTAAACTTCGGCGAACGCCCTGCCGACGGCTCGCCATTGGGAAGGTACGAATCAGAGCTCGATCAGGCCGTCCGCCATGGCAAAACCTCGGCACGCTTACGAGTGCCACTACGGTAGATCTCGAGACGCGCCAATGATGCGCGAATGTGTTCCTCCAATTCTCCACACGAAGCGTCTTGAGATGCACCGATGCGGTCGACAATGGTGTGCTTCCCGGAGAGACGGTCAGGGTTCCCGTGTGGGATTGGAGTAGGGCAGAGAAGCAGCGTTGGGGTACTTATACCAGGGATCCTGCGCGGTGGAGGGGGGTGTAGAGCGGTGATACCCTTTTTGTTACGCGGTCTTTTTGTTGAGTATATCTGTCACTACGGGCGAGTGGACGGTAGCGCGTGGTTCATTTCACACCATTGTTGAGTTTTCTTGGGCAATTGCTTCTCTACGACACCGCTGAGAAGATGGGTTCAAAAGTTGAGACTGTCCTCCAGTCTCTGACGCTAGAAGAGAAGATATCGCTTCTTGCTGGGAAGGACTTTTGGGAAACTGTACCTGTACCGGACAAGGGCGTCCCCGCTATCAAGGTAAGACTTAGCTCTGCAACGTTTAACTTACGTTACAGTGACTGACGTATAATAGACTAGCGATGGACCGAACGGTGCACGTGGCGAAGTATTCACAGGAGGAACACGAGCTGCATGTTTCCCTGCTGCCGTATGTTCAGCCGCGACGTGGAATCCCGGAAATGCAAAGCATATAGGCCATGCGTTGGCTGAAGAGACTAAGACGAAGAGTGCGCGTGTGCTGTATGTCTGCTGATGTACGACACGGATAATGACTGCTAACAAAGTCTCAGTCTTGCGCCTACCATGTGCAACCATAGGCATCCCCTTGGAGGTCGCAACTTTGAATCCTTCTCTGAAGACCCATATCTTGCTGGCAAGATGGCCGCCAATGTCGTCAGCGGGCTGCAAGAGAAAGGCATTGCAGCCACCATCAAGCACTTCGTAGCCAACGAGCAGGAGACAGATCGCCTGAAGGTCAACGAAATTGTGTCTGAGCGTGCGCTGAGGGAGATCTACATGAAGCCCTTTGAGATCACTATCAAGGAAGCGAATCCCCTCGCTGTTATGACATCTTACAACAAGGTCAACGGAACTCATGCAGATTCGAACGAGTTCCTCCTCAAGCAAGTCTTGCGTGGCGAATGGGGGTGGGAAGGACTTGTCATGAGCGACTGGGGTGGTACCAACTCTACAGCTGACTCCCTGAACGCTGGATTGGATCTAGAGATGCCTGGTCCGACGAGGTGGCGCAGCACCGAAGCTGTCCTTGAGGCTGTTAAAAAGGGCCAGGTCACCGAAGCCACCATCACTGAGCGAGCAAGAAATGTCCTGAACCTGATCGAGAAGGTCGGCGCGTTCGAGAACCCAGAGATTCCGCCTGAGCAGTCTATCGTCGACCCGAAGCATAGCAAACTTATCCGGGATGTTGCCGGACAGGGCATTACTCTGCTAAAGAATGACGGTGTCTTGCCGCTCAGGAAAGAAGAGGTCAAGGGTAAGACGATCGGGCTTTTTGGACTGGCCAAAGAGGCTCTGATCCATGGTGGCGGAAGCGCTTCGTTGAACGCTCATTACCGCATCACTCCCGAAGAAGGCCTCAAAGCTGCCTACGGAAACGACGTAGAATTCAAATTCGCCAAGGGAGCCGCCACATATCGACTCATCCCACCCCTATCGAAGGGCTGCAAAGATCTTGAGGGAAAAGACGGTTGGAAAATGGAACTCTTCAACCAGGGCAACACCAGTAAGCCCATCAAGACAAAGCACGGCTACAAAGAAGCCGCATTCTCTCCACTGCTCGAACAGAGTGCCAAGGAAAGCGAGGTCAGATTTACCACAGTATTTACTCCTAGCGAGTCTGGTTCACACTACTTGGGGTGCTCGGGCATCGGCCCCACGGTCGTCCACGTAAACGGCGAGCTCGTCTACGAGCAGAAGCACAACTCACCAGATGCCATGGGCTTCCTCTTCGGCGGCAACCCCGAAAAAGAGTTCCGCGTCCCATTCACCGCAGGCAAGCCCTGCGAAATCCAGGTCCACTCCAAGCCGCCCGCTGGCGACTCAAAAGGAGACATTCTCGCTGGTCTCCCAGGATTCAGACTAGGCTTCATGTACGCATCCGAGCACGATCTCGACATGGCCGCCGAAGCCGAAGCCCTCGCAAAAGAATGCGACATAGCCATTGTCTTCACAGGCCACACCCCCGTCTGGGAAACCGAAGGCCAAGACCAAGTCGGCTTTCACCTGCCCCGCGAAGGCTCCCAAGACAAGCTCGTCGAAACAGTGGCATCCGTAAACCCGCGAACCATAGTCGTAAACTCAACCGGTGTAGCTGTCGCCCTACCCTGGCTCGACAACGTCTCCGCACTCATTCAAGCCTGGTTCCCTGGCCAAGAAGCCGGAAACGCCATCGCTGATATCATATCCGGTGCCGTGAACCCTTCTGGCCATTTACCCATTTCATGGCCCAAACGCATTGAAGACGCACCCGCGCATGGCCATTTCCCTGGTACGCGGGACGAAACGGGGCAGCTTACTGTCAAGTACGAAGAAGGCGTTTTTGTAGGCTACAGACACTACGATCGTATTGCTGCGGATAAGATTCATTTCCCCTTTGGTTTCGGTTTGTCGTACACGACCTTCTCTTTTACTGAGGCGAGCGTTGAACAGTCGTCGCCTGGGACCTTTACCACGAGCATTGTGGTTAAGAACACGGGAAGTGTTGCTGGTGCTACGGTGGTACAGTTGTATGTGGGTAGGAAGGAGAAAGCCGCAGAGCATCCAGTGAAGACTCTTGTGGCTTTCCAGAAAGTGGCTCTTGAAGCTGGTATGCAGGAGACTGTGAAGTTGGACATCAAGAACAAGGACTTTGCGTACTTTGATGAGGGGAGGGGCAAGTGGGCTGTGGATCGGGGGCAGTATGAGTTCTTGTTTGGGAAGAGCGCGGGGGAGATTGAGGGGGTTGTTACCGTGGACGTTGAGGCGGCGAGGGAGTTGAAGTTGTAGGGTGAATTTGACTCGCTTCTATTGCTCTTCCGTTCCGAGGACTGCGAGTATATCCACTAGGCCGGTGCCGCGAAGTGTGTACCGTGGCTATGTAACGTGCTGAGCGCGTTCAACGCATCAACACGCATTCAATTGATGACTGACGCAAACGTCTTCTTCCTGTGCTCCTGCATCATTGCCTCTCTCAGGACCTGGGTACTTCCATGTGCAGGATTTCTTCCTTGTATTTGTCTCTTGAAAATATCAATATTCTTCTTTATCCTTCATCTTCTTCACCCGTTCGTCTGAACTTTCCTCAAGCATCTCCATTCCCCGGCACATACCCCTCAGCCAACCAACTCCATATATTGAGTCCAATCTTGACACCCTTTGTGACCGGCAGCCCCGCATGCCAACTCTCCGCATACCCACTCCCATCGCTCCGCATATTCTCCCAAAACACCGCGTTCCCAGCAATCGGCTTAAAAATAATTCCTTTGCTTAGATCCTCCTTGGGCCCTCCTTCTTGCCCAGCACCATTCGTGGAGACACCCGCATGACCATCCTCCTCACACTCAATAAATCGACACCAACTCTTATCCTCAGGCCTCTCCAAGCGCGGGAAATGCGTGCCTCCACCCGTACAATTTGCTTCCAGATACACCATGAAGGAACTCACGCGCCCGCTTTTCTTGGTCGCAGTGCTCCAATCGTAGTGGTATGTGTAGTGACCTCCTACACCGTACCTCTGGCTCCAGAGTTTCTCGATGAAAGTGTAGGGCCGCCAGCCTTGGAACACGCGGGCGCGCTCTTCGATGCATTTGACCGTTTGACTGCGGGGTAAGGGTGCTTTCTCTGAGTTGCGGATCGAGGGTTTGAAGGATTCGGTGCCGGAGGTCCATACTGTTGAGGGGGTGAAGTGGGGGTTACTGTGGTGTATTGTTAGTCGTGTTCGCTTCATCCACAAGTATGCAGCATCACTATTTCAAGGCATGTCCCATAGAAAACAGAGTCCCCTTCTATACCCTGGGATATTTCGAAGCAATAGCAACCAAGAACAGACGTACCTTAAAGCAACAACCTCCTTGCCCTCCTCCTCCCCAACAAACCCCTCGATATACACCACCAGCGGCTCGCGACTCAGCACATAAACACCCTTGTACGCATGCGCTGCACAACTCAAATTCCGCTCAGGAATCACCAAATTTTCTAGATTGGCTTTTACATCACCGCCACCTCTCGCACCAACGCTGCTGGACGACACCGCATCGCTACCCGCATTCGAAGTAAACAACGAGGACAAAGGCGCACCAGCGAGTATGTATGCTAGCGCAGCCAGGAACCCATACTGAACAAACGACGTTATCGATAGCGAGGACGAATACGAGGTACCAGACGACGACGAGGATGCAGGTGCGGAAGAGGAACGATGCATCGCAAAACCACGCGCGAAATGACAATCTATGTGCAGGCCCTACGAAATAAAGAAAAACGACAAGCAACAAGCAACAAGCAACAACCCAGATGTTCGACAGCGCAACACACAAGAGAATTCGACCAAAAAATTTGCAAAAGAGTGGTGGTAGGAAAGTCTACAAACTCACAAACCCACCCCCCTTCAAAAGGAAACAAACCAAGAAGATCCCCTTACCCGCCCACCGCCGCACAGCGCACGCCGCCTCCATCTCATTACCGATATCAAGGGTCCTTTCCGCGCCGCGCCCTAGTCTCAGGTCTCACGTGTCATGTTGCTTTATAGCCGCAGTGGTCTCTGCGTCAGATTATCGCTCGGACGGAGACACGAACGTGGGCCGCCAAGGGGTATGTGCATATTTTACCTGAGCAGTGGCACCGCCGTGGGTAGACTTTGTTCCGAGAGTTTTACCCCTGGCTTAGGTAACTACGGGTGAAATCTGGTTGGGCGGGAAAGAAACAGGGATGGGAGCTTCGGGGGTAATTCTGGTATTGTCATGATTCATGGCGGCTTGGTTTTGCGGCGATTTGGCATCCAGGGGTTTGGGACGGAGGGGTCGCTTTTTTTTTGGTGAGACTGCCATCCTGGTTGAGGGTGGAAGTGGAAATCTAGAATGGAGGGGCGGGCTAGCTACCCCTCATGTATGTGTACTTTGGCGCTTATTTCGTGGTTTGCAAGACTGTGTTTTGTTCAGTTCCTGCGACCAGGAACCAGATCATCATGTGCAAAGCTGTCAAAGTTTACCAATGCGTAGTATTTAGACAATGTCCTCGAATTGCACCTCTATAAACGCCACCCTAATGGTGCACAAAAAGGTATCAAACAAAGAATACAAAAGGCAGAGAATGAGAACGAAGCTCAGATGAATGAGACTTTGTCGTAATGTCATCAATCTCTCTTGAAAATAAAAGACAAGCAGTTGGTATCCCAGAATCTACGCGCACACATACCCAAGGAAGAAGAACACTCGCTAGCATGCTGGCCCAATTCGACCAAAGTCATCACCTCGTGGGTTTTGGCATGATGTCTGCCCTCTCAAATTATTCCAGAATACAAAGACTCTGGATGTCAAAAATATGCCGTGGCATATGGTTTGCGCAATAGTGGTATCCTCTGACCGCCAACGGGACGTAACGGATCCTCTTGTTTGTCGGATGTTGATCCGCAATGCTTTCTTTGCCCTCCTCTGTTATACTAGCTTCGCTCATTGGAACGGACCGTAGCATATACTTTGTATAGATCGGCGGCGAGATTACTGTTTCCCACTGCTTTCTCGTTCATGCTGCTCGGCAACTTCACGCGCGTAGAACTCGACTAACATCGTTCCGTACGCCTCCATCTCTTCTAAAGGTACAGCGAGGCGGAAGTCGTTTAAAAGCAGAAATTGCAACTCCAGGTGGTTCAGTTCAACCAAGGGTAGACCGCCGACCTTCAATCTGTTAGCATGCGTTTACATAATGTGTATCAGCCAACACAAACCTTTGCGTATCTCGAGTTTGTATAGAAGACGTCGGAGAAGAATTTGCTCGCGCATGTAACACCGGCTATGACGAGACGATGTATGTTGAAGCTGTCAACAACAAAAAAGTGAGATAGATTCAACGCATCCGCGTCGAGATCTTGTTGCGGCGGCGAAGGCGGCTGAGGATCGTCCCCTGGCGTTTGCGACGGCTTGCCCAAGGAGCCTGACGGAGGAGGGGTCGCCGCCTGAGCGGAAGCTGATGCAGGTCGTGCGCTTTCTGCCGGAGCCGGAGTTGCTGACATTGTAGACTTTGAGTGTTCCACAGACTGCTCATTAGCCTTGCGAAGACCAGACATAGGGCCAGCATTTACCCTCTCTGTCATTCTGTCGAAGTAGACGAGCAAACTCAAAAACACCTCGTACGTGGTCGGGCAGTATTTGTGAATTCTACTCAGATAGCTGAGAATTGAGATGCTGGGGACATTCTTGCCGTGAAAGGCCAGGACGCTGGTAGTCTGTTGACTCAACCCCGCTGTGCCGTCTGATGGTGGGATTTGGCGGTGTAGATGGTCATGCTGGCGATCGTTGGTTGTTGTGATCTTGGTCAAGAGTCCGGCAACCATTTCGATAATGTCTGAAACAGGCATCTCGCTGATTTCGTATTGAGGCCCAACCTCTGCAGGGTCTCGTCGCTGCCGCCGTGCGAGCGAGCGCGACTGAGAGAAGGGACTGGACTCATCGATAGCAAAACTCTGGATGTGTGACAGACTCTTGACTTTGATGCGCGTAGGGGAAGCCTCCGGTGATCGTAAGGACTGTGCTGGGGAAGGCTGGACGGGAGGCGGACCGGACGAGGGAACGGTTCGCGTGTTTGCGACGGCGGGGTCTATGCCCGAAGGCGTCGGCTGCTGTGAGCGGGGGCGGAAAGTCGGACTGGGCGGTGTCGGTACTGCTTGGTCAGCAGCGGGTGCGGTAGAGTTTGGCTCTGAGCTGTTGTGCTGCTGCGACCGCTGGCTTGGTGTTGAGCTCGACTGCGGGGCTCCCGAATCCGCCATGGGAACATCAGCAGACGGAGCTACTGGCCGCGGCGCATTGGCGCTCGAAGACGGCGACGGGCGGACAGGAGTGTGATGGCCGGCAGGAGACTCTTGCGACTGGTGCGTACTGCCGCCGCCAAACATGTTGGTGTGAAAGTGGTTCCCACCGAAGTCGCTCACCAAAAGCGAAGTCATTCCGCGCGAAACCAGGCTGTGCAGGTGTCAAGGGTTCACAATAGTCTTGAACTGGAGGCAGGCGCGACACAAGGGCTGTGCTGGGTGCACCAAAGAGCGTGGTTCGAAGGCGCAGTGGATCGGTGAGAGGCGTCGGTCGTGTTGTTGAGCCTTATCGTAAAGAGCCCGAACGTGGACGCAGCTTAAAGGGGCGCAGATACCGCGTGCGAGCCTGCTCTACTCTGCCGTACCCAAAGCAAATTGGACGGCACGCGTCGTGTCAAGGTGAAGGGCAAGATGCGCGCCGAGTCGGGGCCCAGCGTGGTGAGTGATGAGGTGTTGTTGGAGAAAGGCGTGGGGATCGGACGTCACAGACCAACGACTGGCGAGATCAACGAGACCCTGGCCGCAATTCACCTGCACAGTCCCAGACGCATGTGACGACACTGTGCAGTGCAGCCACCAAGACTCGTTCCAGCACTTGTTGCATCCAACCGAATAAAAACAAGATGGTAGTTCTGCCACTTCGACACGTCGCGCCACGTAAAATGCTGCACAGAACCAGAGGGAGAAGGGCCAAGAGGAGGCCGGTGACGAATGGGGCAATGCTGACAGTTGATTGGCCCGTGGCTGCGGTTCCATCCCACGCCCCGTGGCCCAAGTTCCTGTGTAAATATGCTAGCTAACTTGCTTCCTTTTATTTCATACAGCTCGTTCAGGTATCATCGTCATGTCGTGCTATATCATACATGGTCATGACGAGTCCTACTGCTTGCCTGGCCCTTCGTAGTTCTGGTCCGGCAGGTATAGATGCCTCTGCGCACCCTTGCCTGTGAGCACCACCATGCGAATCACACCGCCCGAGCTGCCGTCCCACTTGATGGCTTCTGAGAGTGCGCCCTTGACGAACTTGATGCCTTCCTCCTCGCTCATGTTCTCCTTCCAGTTCGCGTCGCAGTATCCGTAGATGTACGTCGAACCCGAGCCACCAATTGCGTATGATTGCTTGTGCAGGGAGCCTCCGAGAGGGATCGAGTATACTTGGCCGCCGTGTCGGTGGTCCCATCCAGCAATGATGAGTCCAGCGCTACATATATGTCAGTGACTAATGGTCGCGCAGCCATGGCTTACTCACGAGAGTTGGTCCTTGTTGGAGTAGCACAGTTCTTGGAAGATAGCTGCCGCCGTCTGCGTCGTGGGTGGCTCGTCGTTAGTGGTACCGTACATGCCGAGGTGGTATTGGACAATGTCCGCGACAGCCTGTGTGTCTGCTGCTGACCCGGATCTGCAACACCAGATGGTGTCGTGGACTTGTGTGAGCTTGTCGGTAACTCGGTTCGCAATGTATGCTCCGGTTGTCGTCCTGCTGTCGGCAGCTAATATGACACCGTCCTTGAAGTTGATGGCCATGCTGAGTACTGTCAGAGACTGAGAGGCAGCGGTTCGGGAAAGACAAACATGGATGTTCCGAGGCTACAATGGTTGTTAGTAATCTTGCAGCGCTCTAGAAAGTGCTGTGTCTTACTTGACCTCTCCCTTCTTGAGGTGGTTCATGTCGACGTGAATGCCATCTGCGCGGTGTGAGCTTCAGTAGTCGACTTGTTTGTAGCGGCGAATGTACCTTCTCCCAACATGCCCGTTGACATCATCATTGTGGAGTGAGCTGGTCGAGTAGGCAGAAAGCAGCTTCGGGGAGACGAAAGGTTGGAGCGGCGTATGGGGCGAGCGAGAGAAGCTGTGGGGTGGGTTGTTGCTGTAGTGGTGGTACAGGCAGCTCGACTCTACGCGGCTGATATTCCTTGGCGTTACGCTACTGGTCTTAGTGGCCGACTGCACTATGCGACACCCTCGAGGGCTCGCGTTCAGGCGGTTGCGCGCTGGAACCTCCACTGCATTATCGCGACTGTCGCTCCGAATGGTCGAGTCTTCTATTCCTTCTCGCTCTCCTCCACCTAGGCAGCTGTTCCCACGAAGTCGCTCGGCCCCTGAACCCAGATCCATCTCACGCCCCACCGATCCCGAAGTGCGACCAGGGAGCATGGCTTCGGCTCTCGACACCTTCATCTCCTACTTGAAAGTGCCGATTCTAGCGTCCTCTGGTGTCGCCGCTCTGCTCAGTGGTCTTCTCTACTTCAAACAAAAGTACGTCATCCTTGTAATCCCCATTTTGGGTTTGGCTAACTCTGGCAGTGAAATCATATACCCCCGAGCCTTCCCTCCTGACGCCCGAACAAACGTCCCCAGACCTTCACAGTTCGCCATAACCGACTATGAGGAGCTATTCATCCCCACACCCGATGGCGAATCTTTGAGTGCCTTCTTCATCCGCGCCAACAAACAGCATGCGCGCAATGTAACAGTCCTCATGTTCCACGGCAACGCTGGCAACATCGGCTACAGACTTCCCATTGCAAAGATACTCGAGAACGAACTCCGATGTAATGTGTTGATGTTGCAATACCGGGGCTACGGTCTATCCTCTGGCAACCCCAACGAAAAGGGGCTCATGATCGATGCTCAGACTGGCCTGGATTACATCCGGCAGCGACACGAACTCCGGGATACCAAGATTGTCGTCTACGGTCAAAGTATCGGTGGTGCCGTTGCCGTCGGTTTGGCTGCTCGTAATCAGAGAGAAGGTGACATCTCCGGCATCATCCTGGAGAACACATTTACTTCGATCAAGAAACTCATACCGACGTGCGTACCCCCAATCGGGTGTACATGCCATCGCTAACATGGAGTAGTGCCTTCCCTCCCGCCCGTTTCCTGACTCCGCTCTGCCATCAGATCTGGCCGACTGAAGAGACACTTCCTAAGATTTCCAAGATACCTATCCTGTTCCTCAGCGGTCTCAAGGATGAAATCATTCCGTAAGCGCACATACTCCCAAACACTGAGTTTTCAGCAGGGTTCTGTTTGCTGACTGTTCGACAGACCTTCGCATATGACCAAGTTGTTCGACGTCTGCAAAGCGCCAAAAGTCTGGAAGGAGCTACCCAACGGAAGCCACAACGACACCGTCGCAGAACCGCGCTACTTTCAATACATCGAAGAGTTTCTCGGCGAATTTGTGGCCCGTTGAAGCTTTCGCTGGATACCTAACAGTTATTGGAGGGTTGACAAATATGCTGTGCCAGCCCCGCGCTACTGCTTCACTTGAATAGCGCGAACCACAGGCTGTGCGCAGACAGGGGAATGGCCAAGTGCAAGCGTTCGATATGTCACTGGGATTTTACTATTGGAGGAGCATCCGATTGGGTTCCGTGGTTTATACCCTCATTGGCATGTGTTCCGAATCGTGCATTAGAGGTGTGCAGTTTATGTCGACTGCGTGGGCAGCACATCTACGCGCTGTGAGCATGAGCATGAGCATCTCGGGGCAGCCGATATGTACTTTGCATCTTCCAGCATTCTGAAACGTAGGTGCATGTGCGCATGTCCCCTGGGGCTGACCTTGTTGCGCCAACACTGGCGACGAGAATGTCCTTTGGGTGGCAAAATGGCACCACATAGTTTCGAGATTGCGTCGCCGTGCAGGGCTCGCGAATACAGAGATCGCGATCGTATGCATGACCCTGCAGTAAAGTGTCCATCTCCGTAGGCTAGCTGTGATTTGTATTTACAAGCCGTGTCAGCTGTTCTCAAACTATTCATGACGGAGCAATTGATTTTTGCGTCGCAAGGGTCCAGCTTTACCGACCACGTGCAAGACCCGAGATGTGGGGTGATGACGGATCGCCAGGGGTGAGGTACATGTGCCCTAGGCGGTTTATCGGTACAAGATTTCTTGACACAGGAGACACATTATCGAAAGATCATCCTTCACAGCCTCAATCGCTTCGCTGCTGCATGCTACGCGACGCAATGGAGACGAGTGGCCACGGGGACGATGCGATTCGGACCTACCACCAGTATCGGACGTGTACTCGCGACAGAGCTGCTATGCACCACGCACTCGGAGCCCCGCAAGGTTCCAGCCGGGTTCTTGACTACAAAGAGGCTCCATGTGCGGTAGTGCCAACGTCCGCGTTCGCGACCGGCCGCTGATTCGATGGTGATGGATCTGTGCTGGACCCTGCAACGGATGCTAGCAGCGCCACTGCGGTAATGTGGGCAGTATCACGAAGGCTTAATATTTCCCATGCTGCTTGCGACCGGGAATGCGTGCGTCGGCTGTACGGAACATGGCAATCTTAGCATGGCAATCTTGCATTAGTCCAAAGTTCTGTCCCATCTTAGCATTCGTAGCTATCCAGCCAAGCGAGACAACGACTCTCTCCAAGTGAGCAGACGTCAGTCGAGATGAATTGAATGAGCTCATGATCTGCATATCTATTCTTGTAACGCCACCGTCATACTTGCACCCCGGCGGACGGGACAGACGTTTGATCCATTGCTCGCCCGGGTGTCGATCATGACCACGCGGGAACAAGTGTGGTGGCTGTGCTGTGGCGGCAGATCACTGTCATGGAGCGGTCACTCCGACTGTGGCGAACGCCCGGCCTCACTCGCAAGCCAGAACCACTTTGCATGTTTGAGCAAACGGTTTTCGGGCCATTCATTTCATCCGTCTGCCGAGCAGCGTGCCGAACCAAACCAAGTGCAGACTTGTCAAGCTTTGGCTTGCGCCGGCGTGTTCGTGTTCATGGAAGCGAACGCTGTCATCTCGAGGCCCACTGTCGCGCTGTGGCGCTAGGCCTGTATGGTCCCACAGCCATAGCTGCCCGCTCCATCTTTCTTCCACTCTCGTTTCGACGCACTCCCGCCGCAGGGTCACCAGGGGAGTACCACCGCCGAGCCAGCCTACCACAAAGCCACTCAACAACGCCGCAAGATGCTTTTACCGGGTCCCCTGTCAGCTCCCTGGGCTGGCTCCATGCCTGGTCATTGTCGTGACGCCCTAGTCACGTCCACGCGGCATCCATGGCTTCTCCCTGCTTCCTAGACGGCCGGAGTCTTCTGGGCGGCTCAGTTCGTGCATGTCGCGTCTGCTCCACTATCCCTACAGCGTCCTCGATTGGACCACCAGCTCGCATGCATGTTGGGCCCGTTCCTATAGACGGCGTCGAATTACTTCATGATCTTGATCTAGGCGATATTGTCACTATGCAGGCTGGTGCTAGCAGACACCATGGGTACCATGGTCTTCCAGTACTTTTGTAGTCCAATACTTTCTTCTACTTTCCATGCAGGTTTTCACTCGACAAATTGACGCCAGCACCAGCTTGCGTTGCGGTATACAGGACAAACACTAAATTTCCGCCTACCGGAGATTGCTAGGAAGGGCCCGCTAAGCTTTCGTAAGATAGTCTAGGATCAGCGCCGTCGGCCCATAGCATTCTAGAAACGGTCTCACTCGCCACGTCCGATGATATACCACGTCCGCAACACTTGTTTTCTACATTCCCTTGACTCAGGCACCCAATTATCCTCTCCTCGTTGGGCTTTTGGTGATCACTTCGCCTCCAACGCATCGGTTCAGACCCTGTCACTCCACATCGATCCTGTCAGCCACGGGCAGCCTACCGATAGCCAATCAGGCTGCTGCTAGTTGCTGCGGCCAGCGGCGAGTGAGGCAGAAAGCTCGCGAGAACCCTCTGGCGGCCTTCCCGTTTCTACTAGGCTAGTCAATGAGCCCGTCTTTGCGACCCTAGCTCCTACTATCTGCCGCACGTACGCTTGCCCATTGCGGTCCCTGCCGTTGCGCCGTCCCCAACCTCATAAGGCTTTGAGAGCTCGCTTCTGCTGTCTGAGTGGTTGTGTAATTCTGACCATCATCTTCGTTCCGCCTTAAGCGAGCTCCTTCTCCAGGTAGTACATCAACCGAAGCCGTTCATCTTCCCTCAAACGGTTTCTTCTACTGCCGGCATCTTTTTTTACACGCGGTCACCTCATAGCCTCCATTACCCATTGGCAAACCCTGATCGTCGTCTCTCCTGCGAAGCGACTTACTTTCGGGTATCGTCCTTTCCGGCTTGCCACATCCCTTCAAGGATACGTTGATATAGAATTAGGTATGTTGTATTCTCCTGTGTTCGGAAAGTTTGGTTGAGTCGGGCCTTTACACATTCGTTTTTCCTAGAACTTGTTGGATTAGTTGTAACATGGACTAACATGGCTTTCGTTTGGGTCCAACAGTGGGTGCCACTTCCTGTCGTTTACGAGCAACAACACATGGGCGACCTACCTCCTGGTCCACGGTCTCATACCATGGACAACACGACAGCCAATCTCGCGCGTGATGGAAACAATTCGACTTCGTTTCCAACGTCTCTCAAATCTCCCGACAGCAATGACCCCTTCTACTCTCAACTCAGTAGTCTACCCCAGGGTCAATTGCGACCCGACCATCGCTCACCAACGCACACGAACGGAACCCATCAGCCCCAAGAATACGGTACTTCACCACTTAATATGGGTGCAATGACAGGTGCATTGCCCAACTACGGCACAAACGACAGTACTCAGATGAACCCGCAAGTACCACGCTCACTGTCGGGCGCATCCACATCAGCTGTGGCATACCAGCTTGGGCAGAACTTGCAAATGCCCTCCGGTAACATGCCCGCTCATGCTTCCTATGGACCTGGATACGCTACAGGTCTCTCCCAACAACACTTCATGCCTCAACAGGGCTCACAGTACAACGCCTATCCTTCCTACCCGACAAACCAGCCTCGTCTAGCAGGCATGGTTCCAATGCACTCGCCATACCAGAATTATCAGCAGGCGTCGCAATACATGTATTACCCGGCACCATACACACAACAGGGGCAATTCAATCCTGCGTTCGGTGCCCAGAGTCATAGTATGTACGAAAGAAAAGCCAGCTCAACGAACACGGGTATGCAAGGTCATGGTGCGGATTATGCGCATGTTGATGACGGCTTCCCTGGTGTTAGGATGGCCACTGGGAACTATATGGGCGATTCAAGCTCACTCATGTCTCCTTACGGCGCACAATTCGTGCAGTCTTCCAGTAAGCAAAGTCCGCGGCCTGCCATTGCGCAGGGTTGACGTCGCAAATTGGTGCGTACAACTACTGATGACCTTATAGGCATGCCTCGTCCCGGGCCAGTGAGCTCCATACCTCGCGGACCGCCTCGCAAACCCAAACAATCTGGACACGCACTTTGGGTTGGTAACCTCCCACCTGGGACTACGATAGTCGCACTGAAGGACCATTTCTCCCGCGATGCTACCAAGGATATTGAAAGTCTGTTCTTGATTTCCAAGAGCAACTGTGCATTCGTCAACTACCGCACAGAAGCATCTTGCACAGCCGCAATGCACAGGTTCCACGACTCACGCTTCAGCGGCGTACGTTTAGTCTGCCGCCTTCGACGTAGCTCTGCTCCGGCATCAGGTGTACCCACGGCGCCTTCAGCCATGATAGGTCAGCAAAAGAATTCTTCTCGATCAACGACCCCGATACAAGACAGTGTCACCGATGCTCCCACAGAAGGTGCAGTCGACTCGCCATCGCACAAGAGTGTTGAAGATCTTAAGTCATCTGCGGACACTGCTACGAAATACTTCATCGTGAAGAGCCTTACGCTACAAGACCTGGAGCTCAGTGTTCGAAACGGTATTTGGGCCACACAATCTCATAACGAAGATACCTTAAACAAGGCTTTCCAGGTAAGTACACAATACTTTCTTCGCTAACGAAACGTGACTGACAGAATCTAGTCTGCCGAAAATGTCTACCTCATCTTCTCAGCAAACAAGTCGGGCGAGTACTTTGGCTACGCACGTATGGCGTCACAAATCCTTGAGGACGGGTCGCGCATCATAGGCTCGGCACCCAAGCCCGACGCCATCGTCGACGCCACGGATGTGCCAAAGGCGATCGCTACTCCAGCAACAGAATGGGCGCCCCGAGGAAGGATCATTGACGACTCTGCGCGCGGCACAATCTTCTGGGAAGCAGAGCTACCCGAAACAGATACCGACGGGGAGGCACAAGAAACAGACGACAAGGCTGAGAGAGACGATGCGCCGCAACAAGCCGAAGCCGATACTTCAGCCGTTCCGCAGAGCTGGGGCAAGCCTTTCAGAATCGAATGGGTCTCTACGAACCGCCTACCGTTCTACCGTACCCGTGGCCTCCGCAACCCATGGAACGCCAATCGCGAAGTCAAAATTGCGAGAGACGGCACCGAACTTGAACCCAGTGTTGGAGAGCGCCTGGTCCAGATGTTTCATCGAATGGGCCCGTCTGCTGCCGGTGCACCGGTAATGCCGCCTGGTGTAGCCACCGGCATGATGCCCCAGATGCGAACATTCTAGGCATGTGTTCAGCCTTCACTTGAGCTCAATGCATAGCTCTTCATGTACCAGACGCATGTTGACTGTTGAACTCGCTTAGGAGGCTTGGTGCTCGAGAGGTAACGATGCGCCACTTTGTTACACTGGAATGAACTTTGTCGGGCCCTCCACTGCCGGGCAGTGGGCGCTAGATCAAGCTCTTCTGCACCCATTCGCTTCTGTTATCTTCAACCAGACGAACGAAAAATTTAACGACGAGATGATCTTGTAATAGGCAAGACGAGGTCAAGAAACGCGTTGGGGAGAAAGCCAGTGCTTGGATTCGTATGGGTAATTGAGTATGCTCTCCTTCCCACGTCGCTCTCTCGTCACCATAGTTTCATTGGAGTTATCCATTTCTGTACTAGTATTCTTTTCGTTCGTAACGTAACATACTCTCCTGCATCGTCTCACTAAGACCTGTTCTGTGTTTTACGCGCAAACCCCGGCTGTACTTTAACCGGACCCATGCCCATGGTCTTTTCACTTTGTCGATATTCCGTACATGCAAAACTTGACTTTATCTTCATCGGCCCTTCCAGGGCTGGCAGGGTCGCACGGAGGTTCTCGACCTCGCTCTTGTTCTGGCCCTTGCGTCTAGTCCCCCTCTGGGTAGGGATACCCACCCTCTCGGGTTACCTAGCCGCAACCTATGAAGAGGCTCCCAGGCAGACACAACGTAGAGGAGCATCATGATCAGCCCACTGGTCAGTCGGCAGTAAAACGCCCTGGCCACGATGATTTCTCAAGCCGGAAAATCGCCATCAAGACTACAAGGTTCAAGGTCCGTACAAAACGACCGACGCTAGACATCTGCAACATGCCTCTAAGAACCGTCATGATGGAACGTAAACTTTACGCTACCTCCACGTGGCCTCCCATATGCTCAAGTGTGTAGCAACACAAGCTCCCTCGGTAGTCCCATTAGATTTCGCAGTGCACCTAGGTACGTAGAATCAGGATCACACCCAAAGCCAAGCCGAGAAACCCGCGCATCTCCGGACGAAGTTCTGAAAAGTCACACCCCCATCCATCGCTTCCGAGCTTGCCATAGTAGCCCCAACGATTTCCGCACACCCACACACATAGATCCAATGCTGGCAACGCCGTCATGCCCGAGCAACACACAGATAGACAAGCCAAAAGCATAATGCAGAAGACGGTGCGAAAAGGAACAAACTTCCCACCCCAATAGCCGCATATGCATGTCATTCACTATAACCAATACAAGCAAAACCCTCAACCCATGCCCATTGCAGAATTCTAGAACCTCCCTATTTCGCTCATCACACAGCCCCAAAGTTACACAGTAGCAGACGTGACGGGCATCGCAATCTAGATCAACCAACCTCGATCCGCGTTATCCGCTGACATGCCATTTCACAGTTTTGCCCATGAGGGACTGTGCGTAGCTTTCGCTCCAAGATGCCGATGTGGCGGTTCTCCGAGTCTCTGTCATGCGATTCTCAAGTGGGGACAGAGAGGGTCCGCGGAAGAGAGAGCACGGGCTCCGCGCTAGTACCCGTGTGCACGCAGATGAGTAATAGCGGTATGCTGGATCGCGATTGCTTGATGCTGTTGAGTGAGATGTGACACGCTCCGGCGTTTTGGTGGGTTATTTCTTTTGATCTTCGGTCTTTCCGCGTTGGGCGGTGTGTATGATGCGTGGTATTTGATGTTTGATACTTGGTAGTAGTGGTGGTGGTAGCTACCTACACCTGATGAGGGAGGTGGGAAAAAACAAAGGGGGGAACAGGGGGTTCGCAATGTTGCTTCTTTTGCTGTCTATATTTGCTTCCTCGGTCTGTTTGTACCGAGAGTGCCTTTAGTGGGACTCTCATGTACGTCTTTTTCCCTTGAGGCTCATCAAAAACTACATCTTGGGTAAATCGTGCAAGAGCCTCGTCATCGGTTTCTTGCACTCAGTCTTCCTCGTTTCCTGAATTGTTCTCGCCCGCAGTTGATGTACCCGGTTTCGTCCACGGGTATATGTTGTGTGCGCGACTCGCCCACGGCATTTCCCGTCATACGTGTAGCTTTTCTAGAGCTCTCACCTTTCCCATCTTGAAATGGCTTGTGCAGGTGTCCTCTTGTAGTATTCAACCGCGATGGTACGTAGGACGTGCCCATGGCGATCATTGGGTGTATGTAGGAGGCCAAGGCCTCTTGCCTGGGCTACCCTGACCTGCTTGAACGCGAAGCACCGCTTCGGAGACTTGTCCGCGACATGCTCATTGCTACTCAAGAATCCACTAGATTCGGCGATTTTATGAGTGACGGGAAATTCCGCTCAAACGTTGCGAACGTGGCTTGTTCTTGAGCTCTGTTATTTGACAGCGACAGCACCTGGGCATCTTGATCCACTGTATCGGCTCCGAGATTGCTCCCTTGCCTCGTCGTTGCGCTACTCTTAGGCTTTTACTTGGGTTGGGAGGCGATTAGGCCTGAGTGGTTAGCTCGTAGTATTGGTCGAGCCCCTCTCACGAGACCGACAACACGTTTCTGTGATGAGCTAGAAGATGGCTACCATCACGTGTTGTCGTGTCATAGTCCCGCTCTCCAGCTGCATATTTTGCCCCGTCGTGCCCACTTTCGTTTCACTTCAGTTCTTTGATCTTCCTCACTTTCTAGTCGAGAAAGCTCCTCCATGAATGAACAGGATACCGCATACCTGATGGAAATAGCGCATTCATCTTATATCTACGATATATTATACCTATTTCCAATCCGTCCTACGAGCAACTGATAATGGTAATCTGTATGAAATGACGGCGGTACTATTGTCTTTACCAGGTCGGCACTTGCTAGATAGAACACACCGGATAACGATATACGCCATCACCACTTACCCCTCCCGAGGTCTCCAACAACATCACATATTGACTTCTAGAGTACACATCTACACACTAGTTTTTCCCACACCTGTCATCGTATAACTCAGTTTCCGTAAAGCCAATCACCCCCAAGTCGGCCAATCCCTAAATTAAACCCTCATCCTCAGATTCTCCAAACCCACCAAAGAAGCGTCCCAGTCCAAATTCAATTTCCAACCACCATGACCAAACCCTCTCTCCCATCCAAAATGTGGGCCGCACAAGTCATCTCTTTCAACGAACCCTACAAAGTCCACCAAATCCCCGTCCCATCAGACCTCGCACCGTACGACCTTCTCATAAAAGTCGCCGTCGCCTCCCTCTGCCACACAGACTCCATGGTCTCTTCAGGCGCAATGGCCACACCACTCCCCTGCACCGGCTCACACGAAGGCGCCGGCACGGTCGTAGCGATCGGCACTTCCGTGTCGCACTTTGCGGTCGGCGACCGCGTGATGGCCGGGATCCTGTACGACGCCTGCGGTACCTGCGCTGAATGCACTGGAGGAGCCTCCGCGTGTCCCCAGTACTGCCAGAATACGGGCGGTTTTCTTGGTATCACGACACATGGATTCTTTGCGCAGTACGCGAAGGTTGATGCGAGACAGACGGCAAAGGTACCGAGTAATGTTTCGTTTCAAACTGCGGCTCCGCTGGCTTGTGCGGGCGTGACGGTGTATCGTGGTATTGTCTTGTCGGCTGTGCGGCAGGGGGAGTGGATTGCTATCGTAGGTAGTGGAGGCGGTTTGGGCCATCTTGGAGTCAAACTTGCGAAGGCGATGGGGGTGAATGTTATTGGAATCGATGCCAGAGACGAAGGATTGCAACTTACGAGGCTGTGCGGTGCGAATGTTACTATTGATGCTAGGATCGGGCTTGAAGAGGTCGTTAAAGCTGTGCGTGCTTGTACGGGGAATGAGGGAGTAAAGGCTACACTGAACGTGAGTGATGCGAAGGAGGCTGCTGCACTAGCTTGTGCGGTTACGAAGATGCATGGGACGATGGTTCAGCTTGCGCAGCCGGATGGTGTGGTTATTCCGTTCCATGAACTCATTTTGAGGGATATTAGGGTTAGGGGGTCGGCTGTTGCCAACTTGGACGAGGCGCGGGATATGCTGGAGTTGGTTGCTGGGCATGGTATTACGGTGCAGACGTGTTCGTTCCAGGGGCTGGGTGAGATTGGGAAGTTGGTAGAGTTGGCGCATAGCGGGAAGATGAAGGGAAAGGGCGTCGTTATTATGGATCAGAAGCAGATTGAAAGGGAGAAGAATATCAGATCAGCGTTGTAGGAAGATGCATGATCACCAAGACAGAAGATACGGAGAGATCATGACCATAGATGTCATATGTACCAGCAATGTAAAACCAACTTCGAGTTCAAATTGTACACAAGCGCGATTATACTACAAGTCTATGAATTACCGAATCAACCCAAAACCCTACCAGCAGTGGAGGCTGTGCTCCTGTCCTTGGTCTCTACCTTCCTCAGTCCCTTGCCCGCAGTGATCTCACCAAGTAAGGCTCCACGGTTTGGTGCTCCACCTGGAGCCTTCATGCTAGGCATTGGGGGTGGCGGTGGTGCTCCACCAGCCGGAGGTGGCGGTGGCCCAGGTGGAGGCGGAGGTGCACCATTCGAAGGCATTGGTGGAGGTGGGGGAATGCCTGCTGGAGGCGATGTCACGGCTGGGCTCTCCGCACGTGGGCTCTTGTTGTCCATGGAAGAAAGAGGGCGCGGTGGCGCCATGGTACCGAACAGCATGGATGCCAGCTGCTTGGCTCCACCTTGAGTAGGCGCTTCGTCATCGTCAGACGAGTCGTCATCTGAGTCAACAACGGACCAGTCATCGTCGTCTTGCCTTCCCAACCGGCGCGCTGAAGGTGCAGCGGGCTCATTGAACGTAGGCATGGCAGCCTTGTTGGCGTTCTCCTGTGTCAGACGGTGGAAAGGGTTCGTGGAAACCTCGCTCGTGTTGCTAGGTGGGGGCGGAGGTGTCGAGACGGTGCTGTTCTCCTGGTTGGACATGGCCATCTTCTTCAAGAATGGGTTTTTGGTTTCAGTGTCGCCCATGCCAGGGTGAGGACTAGTTACCGAGGACGTAGGCGGGCTGGCGATGGATGATGGTGGTGTGTTGTGCGAGATCTGGGGCATTGGTGGCGCTTGCGGAGGTGCTGTGTCACGCGGCAACTCCTGGCTGGCAGTAGGTGTGGTGTCTTGAGGCGTGATGTTTTGCGGGCCATCGTCATCTGAGGACTCGTCGTCGTCGAGCGCCTCGAGCTGCATCTGCAGCTGCCGTTCGCGCTCACGCGCAGCTTCAATCTCTGCACGCTGAGCAGCCAGTCGAGACTCCTTCTCCTTGGCGTCCTTGGAAGCAGCCGCTCTGCGCTTCTTCTCTTCGGCCTTCTTGAGTTTGCCCTGCTGGACTTGCTCTTCCAGGGCGCGAAGTCTGGCTGAAGCAGACTCCCGCTCCTTAGCCAATTCGTCCTCTTGTCTGCGTTCCTCATCTCTGATGTTTGTTAGCGCAATTTCGAAAGATAGATCGAGGTATACGTACTCCATGCGCTTCGTCTCGGCTTCTTGGGCCTCCTGCTGCTCGCGGATAGCCTTTTCAGCCATGTCATTGTCAGCCTTCTTCGACTCTGCTTCCGCTTGCTGAACATCGTGCTGTGCAATGTCATTCTTGTTCTTGCGCGAAGCTGGCGGTGGGGGTGCTGGCTTCTTGCCACTGCTTTTGGATGGAGCGGGTGGTGCAGCGGATTCGTCGTTGAGACGTCTTTGACGCTCTTCCTCGCGACGCGCATCCTCCTCTTCAGCCTGGCGTAGCTTCTCCTCACGTTCCTTCTTCTCACGGTCGGCACGCTGTTGGGGTGTCTCGCCAGCCTTTACTGGAGCTTTAATGCCCAAAGCAGCCAGACGCTCGGCCATTCGCTGCTCAGCCTGCTGTTTGATGAAGGCCGCGCGCTCCTCTGGAGTCTTGTATGCCGAGTACGAGCCACCGGCGGGCGTAGTTGTTGATGCGCGAGGAGGGGGCTCGACACGGCCAGCCGGACTCTCATAGCGTGACGACGATGGTCGGTTGTCCTCCACACGAGCAGCTGATCTAGACCTGTAGTTGTCGCGAGATGAACTGCACGGAATTAGCATGGTGCCTATCGATACTAATCGAATAGTACTCACTCGTCTTTGCGGATACGCGAAGCGCGGCTGCTGCGCTGTAAATCAAAGATGAAGTCCTTAACGTCGTCTTCGACACCCAGAGCTTCTTCCCATCTGCGACGTTCGTGTTCACTTGTGTTGTCGTGTCCTCCTTCTTTCAGGCTCGACTCTAGGCCCCTCGTGTATTCGTTCACGCTGTCTTCAACGTCGCGGATCATGCGCTCATTGTTCTCTCTTTCTGCTCGGACGCGCGAAGTCTCCTTCTCCAAGCGCTCGGTTGCTGCTCCAGTGTCATCGCTGGCAGGAGCAGGCCTTCCTGTCAATGCAGCAGAGCGTGCTTGCATCATAGCCTTGGCGCGGGCTTTCAAGCGATCCGATTCAGTCACGGCACCGCCAGGTCCAGTGCCCACGATGGTGGATGCAGATCCGGGATGCGCCTTGGCGTCTTTGAGTCTAAAGAGTTCGAGCTGGGCATCTGCTATCTCACGCTCAGTTCGGCGCACGTTAGACGCAAGTTCAGGTAGGCGATCGGTCAAGGTCTGGAGTTGGCGCTTCAGGGCACGACGCTCCGCATCCGAGTCAGATGATCTCAACGAAGCTTTAGGGTGAGCGTCAATATCTTCTTGTACCCTGCGAATGCGGCGATAGAGATCTTCAGCCTCTCGGCGATCTCGACGATCGAGCGCATCATCCTCGTCAGCGGCGTTCTCGTCTTGTGTGTCCATGGCATCCAACAAGATTTGCTTCTCTTTGACAGACTTCCTGAGCTGGTCAAGGGACATTTCATCAGATCGCTCAGAAGATGGTGAAGCCGGCTGCGCTGGCGAAGGCGAGCGACCACCACCACCAAGGCGATGTCTGGCGCTCGACTTGTAGCCTACATTGTCGTCGTTGTTACGGAACACTGTAGCATCCTTCCGGCCGCCAGCTTGTGGGCTGCCAGCACGGAACGAGTGTGACTTCAGGTAGCTGACACCGGTGCGCTGGGGCTGGAGGAAGGCACCGGAGTTCTTCCTGTCCTCGGCATCTCCACGCAGTAAGTTCTTCATCGCACCAATAGAGTCATTGATGTTGCGCGTAGAAGGGGGGACCAGCTCCGGGGGGAGGCGAGCAGGAATGGGATAGCCGTTAAGCTTACGGTAGATCAAATGCATAGCAACCGCGAATTGATCCAGATCAAGACGACCTCTGTCAGCAGAGTCGGCAAGTGTCCATATGCGCTCCAAATCTGGCTTGGGCAGTCCACTCTGTCCAAAGATCTCAAGAGCTTGCGCTCCGCTAATGTAACCCTTGGTCATGCCGTCCCAGGCCTTGAAGGTGTCGTCATACAGTTTCTTCTCTCCCTTTGTAATAGCCCAAGGAATTGTTGCGTTACCAGTCAACCCAGCAGTCGTATGGTTGCCACCCTCTCGGCCCGTCTGGGGCATCATTCGTTGTGCCAAAGCCTCGATGTTTGGTAGCCCAGTGGCGGGAGTGTTCGCTAGGCCCCACTGACCAGGCATGCCCGTTGGCTGAGCATTGAGGGGGGCCATGCCAGTCTGATTGGGTGCGAGGTTTGAGCCGAAGCCAGTGGGCATAGGAGGCATCGGCGGACGTGGTCCGTTGTAACCACCTGGAGCCTGCCCAAAGCCAGTGGGCTGTGGCTGCATGCCCGTGGGCTGCTGACCGAAACCTGTGGGCTGTGGTTGCATGCCTGTTGGCTGCTGTCCGAAGCCAGTCGGCTGTGGGGCTAGCGAGCTCAGCAACTGGCTGTTCGAAGGCTGCGGCTGCGGCTGCTGAATTGTAGGAGGTTCGTTAAACTTGGGGGCATTGCTTGCCGGCGTTTGGCGGTTTGACGATTCGTCCATGACTCCAAACGATATAATGTCCACCATGCTAGAGACCTCATTCTTGACTCGTTCGGGGAGCGAGTTAGGCAGATCCTTTCCGGTCAGCTTGAGATTGCACAAGTACATGGCGAGGGCAAATTCGGGAAAGAGGAGCTGGCCAGACTTGGTCGTATCCGAAAGGGTCCTACATCTGTTAGAATCGGGCCACGTATGCGATTTGTGCAACATACCAGATGTGAGAAAGCGCGTCTCCAGATAGCTTGGAGCGCATCAGGAGGTCTCGCGCCTGGTCTCCCGACAGAGCTTGGGAGTCTCCCACGGCCGACTTGAAGAGTTGCTCGAACTTGGCCTGGTCTTGCGCCGTGATGAAGGAAAGCCTTATGCTCGGGATCTTGCTCGACTTGGCCGGGACGGGCGGTGGCACGGAAGACGCAGAGCTGCCGCGGAATGAATCAGCCATCTGCGCCGATGTCATGCCTGTGGGCTGCGGCCGCTGCGGTTGGGCAGGCGGTTGCTGTTGCTGCTGTTGCGGCGGGGCGCCAGTCTGGAAGGGCATTTGCTGGGGAGCCTGCTGTTGCTGGAATTGCTGGCTCTGCTGCCCTGGGAAGCCCGTGTACTGCGGTTGCTGAGGTTGCGGCTGCTGTCCAAAGCCCTGCGGCTGGCCCGGGAAGCCAGTAAACTGTTGTTGCATTGGTTGCATTGGTTGCATTGGTTGCATTGGCCCTCCCCCGAAGCCCGTCGGCTGAGGTGCCAGTCCGCCCTGAAAGCCGCCTGGCTGCTGAAAGGGCTGCTGTTGCTGCTGCTGCCCATACTGAGGCTGCCCCGGTCGGGCACTGTTCCCACCCCCTAAGTACGAGTTGGACCCAGAGAACATGGTGGGCGAGGTGTCGCGGGTCGATTAGAGAAGGAGAGATGCGCGCATGCGGTTGAAGAATTAGAAAGGTATAAGGAGCGCGCACAAGCGGGAATGGTGAAAGGTGTAATGGGGTTGGTTGCGAGTCTGTGCAGCTTGCAGCCCTGGAGATCCATGGGTAGGTTCGCGCTAAGGTCCGTCAGTCGTCATCTTCGAGGACGCGCTTGCCTCCTCGGTAACGTGCGCCCACCATTCACGACTTCCTGCATCACCTCCACCATGTCGAATGCCGAGAACGGAACAGACGCTGGGTCGCATTCACAGGCCGACCTCGCCCAAGTAAGTTTTGCGGCAATCCCTCTGTTCTGAGTGTTAACAGCTCTGGTAGGCGTTCAAGGACCTGCAGCGAGGCGAACAGACCGCTGCCGCCTTGGAGAACCACCTCGATTCAATTGAAAAGCAGATCGAGGCGCTTTTGGTCCAGGCTGAGAAGGCGGAGCAGGAACTGAAAAATACTCCGGAAGAGGATGAGAAGTCCTCAAGCGAAGAGAAGGGCTCGTCATAATGTCTGCGCAGCATGCGCCTGCTATGATGTATACGACATACCCCGGACATACTTTCTGAAAGACGAGAGACACGCCATATAACATACGGGCATCACGACCGACGAACACGAGTTTGATGAATATTTTGGTCATGGTTGGCGAGGCAGGATGTAAGCATATACAACGTGCTTTTAGCACAATGGACAGTTCCAATCATGGGGTTGATGGGCACGTTCTGCGCTCTCAATTATTCTAAACATCTGTCTATAAGCCACCGACAGTTGAAGGCTTCACTTCAGAACCCTGCGCCTTGAAGACCTCGTCCAAATGGAATACACCATTGCTATCCTTCTCAACCACGCCTACCTCGGTGATGATGCCATCAATGAGCTCCGCAGGTGTGACATCGAAGGCAGGGTTCCACACACCGATACCGTTCGCCGCTATGCTAATAGTTTCGACAACACCCAGGTCCAGCGTAACACCGTCGTGTCTAGGTCCTTTGACAAGTGTCACTTCCTGACCGGGGCGTTCTTCGATGACAATGTCGGCTCCCGATTTGGTCTTCAGATCGATGGTAGTTCTTGGAGCTGCAACGAGGAACTTGACACCGTGGTGCTTTGCAAGAATGGCTAATGAATAAGTTCCGATTTTGTTGGCGGTATCACCGTTCGCAGCGACTCGATCGGCTCCAACTACGATGCCCGCGATGTTCTCGCTCTCACCGCGTAGCCGGAGTAATGCTGCCGCCATGGAGTCGGTGATGAGAGTTGCCGGTATCTTGTCGTGAACCAATTCGAACGCAGTCAGCCTAGAGCCCTGGTTATACGGTCGTGTCTCGGAACAGAAAGCGTGCTTCAAAGACCCATCGGCGTGCAATGAACGGATCACACCAAGCGCTGTGCCATATCCAGCAGTTGCAAGAGACCTAGAGAATTAGCCGCTGGATGGTTCTGATGCAAAATGGTACAAACCCTGTGTTGCAGTGTGTCATCATGCTCACAGGTCCCTTCTTTCCTGCCTCCGTGTTCTTGACTATCCACTCTGCGCCATGCTTGCCGATGCTCTCGTTGTCGCTCACATCGTCAACCAGCATCTTCTCGGCAGCAGCCACATACGCCTCTCTCACGGCTTCTCCACTTGTTCCCTCTCCTGCAGCAGCTTCCTTGGTGATCTTTCGAAGTTTGCCCGCTGCATCTGCAAGGTTGACGGCAGTTGGTCGGCTGGTTACAAGGTAGTCCAGCTTTTCTGTGATGAAGATTTCGACCTCTTCAGCCACCGAAGAGAGCTTCATATTGGTGAGTTCAACTGCGAGGGCGAGAGCAGCGACTATGGCGATGGCCGGAGCACCTCGCGTCCGCATCTCCTTGATGGCGTGCCATGCATCTGTGCTGGAGTAGATGTGATCATATTCTTCAGCATGCGGTAATTTCAGCTGGTCCAGAATCTCGAGCTGGCCGCGTGAGTATTTAATCGCCTGGAGTACCATTTTGAACGTTTTGTAGATTGGTGTGTCACTTGCATGCGTGGCAGAAAATTTCTAGATGGTGAGCGTTGGGTGTCAACAGCCCCGTCGCGGACCCTGACGCTAACACGTGGGAGCTGCTCAACCCAGGCATGCGTGCGTCCTCATCCAGGTTACGCGACATACCCGAACAAAGCATCCACGGCCCACCGCCTGGCATCGATGCATCTCTGCTACTCCACGATCCGTAGCTCTCAACGCCTCGGCATGACGGCACGCCATGACGAAATTAAGCCACGTGTGGCTCGGTGCCAAGGCTAGCTCCAGCCACCAAGCAACGCACCTGCCGGTATAGGCCACGGCCTCGCTGCTCTAGCCGGTCAAACATGAGCTGCCCCGTATTGATAATCCACATGCATCGAGAAAACGTCTGTAATAAAGGAGACGCACACATGAATTCTGCGACTGAACCTTCCATCTTCACTCGAAAGTATCGGATTGCAGCCCTACGAGAGCCGCAAAAAAAAGGGTCCGTCAGCTGCAAGGAACCGGCAGTGAATTGACCGCGGTTGTCCCATGACGACGCCAACACTCGGACTTCACGCATATACCCTACGGCCCTGCGCGCCCAATTGCTCCTCCGCACCTCCGCTTCTGCTCACCCTCTAGACATCCCTAGTTGTTCGTTGCATAAGAACTGTGTTGTCCAACCAAGACGTTTTCGGTAACCACGCCCGTCTCTAGTTCTTCCCGATAGGCGGAGAAAAAGACCCACATCCTCACTATTTATCTTCCCCAACACCACAAGCAGAGCAAGCCACCCAGCCAGAGAACATTACTGTGCACATGCGCAGACCAGCCAATCGCCTCACCCCGCCTCGCCTTACCTCGCTGTGCCTTACTGGACCCTCGTAGTTTGGGCCCGATATCGACTGGAAGGTCAGACGAGAGAAATCGCCACGCCTCGAACAACCCCGCGCAGCTTTGCGCCAGTTATATAACGATGCCCCTCATGACACGCTCCAACTCGAGCGTTGGGGTAAGCACCGCAGTTATGGCCTCCCAGGAAGAGCCCATACAGCCATCGTACCGAGGCTACGGCACAATCGCTTCCCAGCGACCTGCGCAGCGCCAAAGACGGCACTCATGGCACACACGCCCCTGCATGCAGGAAGCAGAGAACTTCCAGGTCCTGGTAAGTTATACAGCGCATGTGCGCTCAACAGTTTGCTAACAACAACGACAGCTTCGTAACTTTCTCGTCGAACTCAACTGCCGCATGGACTTTCTGGAAGATTATGGCCACCTCAAATACGATGCCGGAGTCGAATACGCCTACAACACACTGCTTGCCGTCCGCGAGTCCTGCTCGAAGATGTCGGATGGCGCAATCGAGGCCGGACGGCGGCAGGCTTCTGTATTCGTCGAGACATTGGAGGGACGATACAAAGATGCGATGGAACGGAAGGAGACATTCGGGGAGAAAGTCCTGGAAGGAATAGTGCTCATGGACAACTACCTGACCGAGTTTGAGACGCGCGCATATGCTATAAGAGACGGATCCATCGGCTCCTACGCGCAAGAGGTCTATGAGGAAGGTCGGAGAAAGATGGACGAGGGAATCGAGATCGCAAAGGGCGTGGTAGACGGCGGTCTCGACAAGGCACGACGCGCGCGTGAAACAATCGAACTCCGAGTTGAGCACGCTGTGCAACAAGCCCTCGAGCGAGCAAAGGCACACGGCCTAATACACTACGAGGACTTGCCCGAGCCCTGGCGAGTCAACCCCCACATCCTCAAAGGCTACCGCTTCCAAGAAGGAAAGTGGGCTTGCGTCCGATCCATCTTCGGCCTTCACAACGAGCTGATTAATATCTGGACGCACCTCCTCGGATTCATCATGGTCCTCGCCATCGCCTTTTACTTCTATCCTTCGAGCACCAACTTCAGCATGTCGACAAAAGCCGATATCTTCATAGCAGCAGTCTTCTTCTTTGCGGCATGTAAGTGTCTGGCCTGCTCGACCATCTGGCACACCATGAACAGCATCTCCCACCAAACGCTGCTCGAGCGCTTCGCCTGCGTAGACTACACGGGTATTTCCCTTCTCGTTGCCGCATCCATCATGACGACCGAATACGCCGCCTTCTACTGCGAGCCCGTCTCGCGCTGGTCATACATGTGCATAACAGCACTACTTGGCATCGGCGGCGTGATCCTACCCTGGCACCCAACCTTCAACCGAGCCGACATGGCCTGGTTCCGCGTCCTGTTCTACTGTTCCCTTGCCCTGACTGGCTTCTTGCCCTTTGGCCAGCTTGCCTACACCCGTGGCCTCGAGTGGGCGCAGTACTTTTACGCGCCCATCACCAAGAGTCTGCTCGTGTACATTACCGGCGCGTTACTGTACGCGAGCAAGACGCCTGAGCGCTTCTTCCCCGGCTTGTTCGATTACGTGGGCTGCTCGCACAACATCTGGCATGTTGCTGTGCTGGGAGGTATCATCTTCCACTACATGGCTATGCAGACCATGTTTACACAGGCTCTTACTCGCGCTCAGACTAGCTGCTCTGTGTACTAGGAGCATCTTTTCTTGACGATTTTCTCCGTACCTCTTACTTATCCTTTCTTTTCTTCCCCTTCTCCCTGCAGAGCGTTCGGCATTATGGAGCGAGTTGGTTTGTTTGCATTGGGTCGGCGTCTGACCTATAGATGTTGAGATGATGGGCAGAGGAGAAGGGTCCGGTTGGCGGACGCTATGCGGGACGCTGTATCTGAACTCATATAGACCGTCGATAATTACTACATCATGAATCTCTGAACACTCATCCCAACCTTCGCCTAACAATGTGCGTTTTTTTTATAAATACGTGCCATTCATTTCTGCACCAGCAACCTCTGAACAACACACAACACGCCGGGGCTTATTTATACCTCGATGTCACTATGACTTCCAAATGCTTCTCTGGATAACACTACCTACCTAGCATTCCCTAAACGCCGTTCGCTATGCAAATAACCCATTGCGACCCTACCAGCAACACCCTCCTCTCCAATCTAATGACTATCAGGCACATCCGGCAACCTCTCAATAACATATTTCCCCTTGGCCACACTAACAATCGGCACACCCGGAATCTTCCTAATCCTCCTCTTCAAATCCCTATCATTCGTCGCAACCAGATAAATCCTATGCTTCTGCACCCGATCCACAATACAGTCATCTGCATACGTTCCCTTGTGCTCGCACTTGAGCCGCTGCCAGCGCTCGTCGCGGGCGATTCGCAGCGCGATGCGGTATTTTGGACCGAGTTTCTCGAGCTCGGCCATGACGCACGTTGTGATTATGGGTGTGGCTTTGGCGTATAGCAGGTCCATGAGGGCTTTGTCGAGCTCGAGCTTGGCGTGAACGGTGTGGGAGAGGAAGTTTGTGTCTACGAGGACGGAGTAGGGGGGCCCGAGGGCGGTGTTGGCTTGGAAGAAGAGGGCGGAGGAGACTTGTGGGCTGGGGGGTGTTAGTTGGGGATCGAAGGTGTTGGCTGGGCGAAGCGCGTTGGCTCTTGTATCTGAAGCTTACATTTCTCGCTTTGCCTTGTTTTCTTCCTCTTTCTTCTTTGCTTCTAGCTCGCCGGCCATTTGGTTCTTCTTGCTGGAGTGCTGTTAGTGCTGCTGTCGCGAATGGTAGTGGAGCGCGTGGTCGCATACAGTCGAGCATCTCGTTGGCCTGGGTGTGTTAGTGGGAGCTCATTCAGAACATATGCTGACCATACCAACTATCCTCTTGGTTTGCGCAAACTTGCGCGTCTTCTTCTGGACTCCCATATCTGCCGAGTGCTAGGACTCGCCCGTTCGCGTGCAAACTTTGTAAGAACTATCAAGGCTCTCTGTAGGTTTCTGCGCGGCAGGCGATATAGCTTGGATGTCGCAATAGCTTGCGCAGGGTCGGGATTGGGGTCGTGTCGTGGTGGTGAATGTTCGCATACCACTTTTGCTATCGATAACGCGGGCAACTTTTTGATGCCAAGACATTCAAAGTTGTCGGAGCCCTTGGGGGCCAAAGCACCGATTGGAGGAAAGACGGCTGCGCTAAGCCCTAAACACGAGGGTCACGCAGGTCCCAGAATAGCAGCAGCGTTCCTGGTAGGAGGATCTGTCATCGCTGGCCCTGCATACTGGTCGTGTTTTTCCTGCATCCCTGAGCCAGCAACGAGGTGCAGACGTCAACAACCGGTTGCTCTGAAGAGGCCTGACACACAGACAATTCGGTTTTCGCGAAGAAGACACCAGTTTCCATTACTACACTTTTCGATTTTCGATAAAGTCCCATCGCTAGTCTACGGCCACCCACACATCACGCGAACCGGGCGCTCAGACTGCGCGTATTTGCCCAGCGGGTCCTCGACTCCGCCCCTTGTTACCCTGACCCCGTATCCGTCTTGCACTCCACCATCAGCATTTCCTCTCGTTCCCCGTCACTCGTTTCGGCGCTTCTCTGTCCTATCGATATCCCCAGCGACTGCGTTCCCCTCATCGTTTCACTGCTTTTCTTTCACCAAACGATTCCTGAAACACGTTTGTTGGAGTACGAGCCTTGAACACCGGGTCTCCTGAGCCCTTTCGAAGACTGCCCAACGACAACCCCATCTCCGCACACACCTATACACCACAACCAAGATGCGGCCTTCCGTCGGCTTCGTGGGCCTGCTGCTCGTAGTCGCACCCACCGTACTCGCTCAGATCGAGAACGCACCCGACCTCAACACCGTTGCGCCAGGAGGCGACGCAGCGACGAACACAGCAGCCGAGACCTCCGCCGCCGAGACATCACAAGCAGCGACAACGAAGGCTGACGAGACTGCAACCACATCACAAGCCGCCACAACGGAAACCACCGAGGCGGCAACCACTGCAGATGCGCCCACCAGCGCGGCCGCCCAGACAGGGTCTACAAGTGTCTTCAACCTCGTAGGCGCGCCAACACTGGCTGGTGTCGGTATACCAGACATCAAGGTCCCCGACACAGCCGGTGCTGCCTTCATGCAAAAGTCCGATCTCCCCGACGGAACCGTCTTCATATGCGTCGGTGCCATCCTGGCTTTCTTCGGTGCGGCGGTGCTGGCGTGGCGCGGTCTCGTTGCGTGGTCGTTGCATCGTTCCGTCAAGCGGGCGGCCATGGCGCAAAACCTGGCTGATATCAAGGCCATGTCAGCAGTGCCTGGCAAGAAGCGGGGGATGTACAATGTAGTAGGAGCAAGTTCGACCATGTCCCTGGATCACCTGAACGCTGCCCCCATTGGCAAGTCATCAAAGGCTTTCAAGGGTGCGGCTGCCAACACAACACAGCAATCGCAATCGTCTCTCTTCTTCTCCCCAACCGCAGGTGGCGCCGCCGGTATGCGAGATTCCGTCCACGTAGCAGGCAACCGATCCTCCACCTACCTGCCTGCGGGATACTACGCCTCTGGCAACGCAGCGCCCGCTGCTGGATCACCACAAATGCACATTGGCGGCCAGAACCCCAACAATCTCTCTGCCCTCTCCCTCTCCACACCAGGAAACCGTTTCAGCGCGAGGTCCGGCATGTCACCACCAGAGTCGCCATCACTCCCTCCATCCCGAGGAGGCTACTCCCGCGCCCCACCATCACGAGACGGCCTATCCAACTACAACCGCAACAGCGTGGCAACCCTTGGCCATCAACCCGGCACCACAAGAAGCCCCGTCTACGGCCAAGACAACAACACCGTCAGCCAATTATCACTCAACGTGCCAGGTGGCACAACTGTCCCTGGTGGCCGCACTCCCAGCGGATACCTAGACGACCTCTTCGAAAACCACGGCAACGGATCCAGAGAACGATTCTAGTTGGATCTCGAACAGCAGCCCGCAAAGCAGCGTGCCGCGAGCGCGTCGTGTTGTAGTCTGAAAAGCAGTCCGTCGGTCGTGTATCGGTTCGCGTATGCGCAGGGCGTGGTGGCTCGCGCTCGAGCTGTGTCTACGAACACTCTATCCATAATAGAAGATTACTACCGGGTGTGAGTTGTGCGAGACTAGAAAGGAAGAACGAGTTATCGAGGTTGTCGAAAGTCAGAGAGAGGAAGAAGCCAGAAAAGAGCGGTGTCTTGTTGAATATCCTTTGCTCATGCATGCATTTTCGCGTGCACGTTTTCGTTTCTTGCTTTTGGGGTCCACGGCCTGGCTTGTGATACCAACATTATGCCGGTTTTGGCTTTTCTTTTTCGTCGTTTTCTCCGCTCTGTGGTAACGTAGCGCGATTCGTTCGCCGAGTCCACTCACCTGCCATCTTTTACTATCTCTTTTTTATTATCATGCCTTCTCTTATTATGAATGTAGGGTAGTCCCGCTCCTTCGTTGTGCTGAACGGAGTTAGACAGGCGTTAGAAGAACCTGGGAAGGAGGCGTGCATTAGTCCCTGGCCGTTTAGCTTTGGCATGCTTCGTCGCGTTCTGATGGATCGTTTTGAGCGAAGAGGCATCTACTATTGTAGATTTTGCATATTAGACACCATAATGAAGAACTATTGAGCAAAAAACGGTCGAGTTGTTGGTTCAGTGTGTCGAGCAGGAAGGAAGCAGCGTGTGATGTGTGATACTGGCCGGTGCTGGGTAGCGCTCGTGCTGGCGCTGGAGCTATCGTGCGGAGTTGGTGGAGTACAACATGCGAAATGACGTCCACTGTGTACTTCGTGTATCTTGCTAATGCGTATTCGTTTAGCATGTGGACTCACGGTTAGTACGCATGGCATCACCTCAAACGACGGATGAGGTATAAGACAAGCAAAGGGCTTTGACAGTATTGAAAGCCAGTTTTGATGGGAAGCACACCTTATGGTTCATCTATATCTTACACAAATGCATAGTCCAGTACCCTTTTTGTCTATCTATCACCAAACATAGATGCTACATTTTGCAACGCTACCGCGTTGTGGTGTTCGTGTACATATGGCTACCTTGCCTTCTTGGCCATGGCCTTGCGTTTCCTCGCCTCGCCATTGAGATTGGGCGCGGTGGCGTTCTGGATGGCGGCCTCCTCTTCAGTCAGGTTAGATGTCTCGACGAGCGGCTTGTCAATCATTTCCTTCTTTCCGAGAATGCGTCCGGCGGTCTGGTTGTAGGCGAACATGGGGAGCTTGAACAGGAGGGTGTCGTAGATGGTGGGCTGGGGCTCCTCATCGGGCTGGATGCTGTTAGTGAACGCATTGTGTAGGAAAGGTGGATATACGTACGTCAACAAGGTATTCGCCCTTCATGCCATCCTCATTCTCGACTTCCAAGAAGACATTGCCGACAGAATCAACGACGAGAATCTTGCCATTCTCAGAGACAATGCGCTTCTTGGCTCCCTGAGGACCGGAAATGACCTCTGCCTCGACTGGGGTGCTGATGCCGTCTTCACGCGCCTTCTTGGCAGCTTGCGCCTTCTTGGGTTTTTTCGCATCCTTCTCCATGGCGCGTCTCTCGCGACGGTTGCGTGGGCCAACCTCTTCAGGGGTCTCTTCGGGGGTTTCGTTCTCGAACTGCTGGGCGTTCACGGGTGCGGCGCCGGCGTCAACTCCAGGAATGCCCTGAAGACCACTCTCGTCACCCCAAGCAGTCTTGCGCGCCTGGCGAACGAACCTCTCGGCGTAGTCCCTGCGGCGCTTCCATCCCATGACCAGGGCGAAGTAGTGGAAGCCTCCACCAAGAACGACAAGTAGACCGAAGATGACTGAGCCGAGACCAGGGCGGAAACGCTCATAGTAGTAGCCAGAGCCCCTCCATGCTGGGAAGCCGTTCCTCAAGAAGTGGTCGTAACGCTCGCGCTCAGGGCCCTTGAGCATCTTTCCCACGACTGAGAGACGCTGGTAAGCGGCGGTGACCTTCTTCACGTGCGCGTCGGTCTCCTTCTTGGACGGCTTCTTTCCCTTTGGATTGTTCTTCGCATATTCGGCAGCAAAGGACTTGCGAGCCTTGTCCGGGTGGAGTTCGCGAGACTTCTTGCGGAGGGCCTTGGTCAATTGATCTTGGGACGCGCTGGGCTTGACGCCGAGGAGATCGTAGAAGGTGATGTTGGCGCCATCTGCTTTGGCGACTTCGTCACGGATGCGGAAGATTTCGTGGTCTGCAGTGTGCTGTCAGCAAGTAGCTCGCAGTTGCACACGAGCTGGAGCTGGGGAAATGCGTGTGGGGAAGGCGCATATGTGGCCGCAAGCATGCACTTGAAGACGGGATGCAATTGGAGAGTACGCACCCTCTTTGGTCCAGGCAGCAGCGAAGGCTGCAAAGAGGCACAAGACCAATGCGAGCAACGCGTGAGATCTCATGTCTGAGGGTTGATCCGGGAGGTGCCTAAAAGTTTGGCTGGTCTGCGAGCAAGTGATAGGGAGGCTGCAGGCTTGTGCCGCCAGATGTCCAGTAGTGCCGCGAGCCCGCTCGAGTGACGGAACGTGGCCCAATTAGTCTGACCGCTGTCGACGGGACACAGGTGTAGCAGGCCTGCGGGATAAAGAACTGCTCTTCACAGTGCAATCGCTCTCCTCTTTCACTCCAAGTCTCTGAGATTGAAACCAAAAAATGTGGCCTCTTCACGACTTGCATGTGAGACTCGGCTGAGCGTGTGGCTGTGTCTGTGGGCAGGCGCGACCCTGAACTACGGGATTCGCGGCAGGGGCCAACAAAAGTTCCCAGACGGTCAGCGACACGCAACCTCCTCAACAACTCGACTTGCACTCATCTACACTCACTTCCGCCGCGTCAGCGCATTCACTCTCTCGCGACTCTTTCCCATTCACGTAAGGCAGCCATCTACTACATACAATTCCACCTCGTTCCCCTCTAGAGGACACATCTCTAGCCTTCCCTCGATCTCCACCACTATCAGCAGCTGAACTGACCATGACTTCCCCTAAAGATCTCGAAGAACAACAGCAGACCCTCATTACCCCCGATCAACGCCATCAAACCCCACCTCCTGAAATCACAACCCACACACCTTTCATCATGTCTCGCTTCAGCATCCCCATCGATGCCCTGACATCCAGGATGAACTTGGGCGGACGCTTCGACAGCATCCGCTCAACTTCAGTCTCCTCGCGATTCGCCAACCTGCGACCCATCTCCGAATTCTTCGACTTCAAGCGCATCTCCAAGCCCGCCAACTTCAGCGAGGTACAGAGCAGGGTCAACTACAACTTGGGCTACTTCTCGAGCAACTATGCCGCTGTCTTCGTCATGCTCAGCATCTACAGCCTGCTCACCAACTTGATGCTGCTCTTTGTCATCATCCTTGTGGTCGGTGGTATGTTTGGAATCGGCAAGCTAGAGGGCAATGATCTCCAGCTCGGTAGCTGGCGCGCGAGCACCTCCCAGCTGTACACCACGCTCTTCGTCATTGCGATTCCTCTCGGACTCTGGGCCTCGCCATTTTCTACTGTTCTCTGGCTCATCGGCGCAACTGGTGTCACAGTTGTGGGCCACGCTGCATTTTTGGACAAGCCCATTGAGTCAGCTTTTTCCGAGGAGGCGGTCTAGGTGGTCGGCCGCGAACTCCTCCTTACACTACGCCCCGCTGGGGAAGACCATCAGGGGGCTCGTCGGGTGTGGGGAGATACTACGAGGGGGGACAGAACGACGTGCATAGGTTTCAAGAATTGGATAGCGACGACGAGAAGGGTGGCGTTGTATTAGATCAGGCGTTTCAGCCGGCTTTGAACGGCAAGAGCATCAATCCGGATGAGCTATACTTTAATGATATGGATATTAGAGCGTGGGAGGGCAGGGCATCAGCTTTGGGTGAGGCAACATACCAAGACCGTGGTCAGCAACAGCATCATGACGAGTATCTTGGTAACATGAGCAACAACTACAATTCGGCCGAATACGAGGAGATACTTTTCCGACGAGTACTTGACAAGATTCGCATATCAAGAGCAGCAGGCAGGGAAGACGTGGACCTCACTTCAGAAGAGCTAGACGCGTATAATTCACGATTTCGCGGCCCAAGGACAGCAGCAGTTCGCCCTGAAGTCCCATCTCGACCGAGCAGTGCTTACTACCCCAACGACTCCGCAAGTGGGGTTAGAGACGATACGACTAGCAAGCACGGCAGTTCCTCCAGATCGAAGAAAGACCAGAAGCGGAGTTCAATCTTCGGATCAAAATCAAAGGAGAAGCCCAGCAGTCGCAAACGTACCTCTACCGTATCGACCACAGATAGCCATGCACCGCCACCCGGCTTCGTCATACCTGGCCCAGATGGACAGTCTATGTATGCGCCCATCAATGCTTACCAGGGTAGCCTGGAACGGGAACGGGAACCTCCACGTCCAGCGTCCCGTTCCGCGTCTGATATTAGTCATTACGTCCCTTCGCCATCACACGCCAGTTTTTCTCGAGAAATGCTCGGCGCTTTTCCAGAATCTGTGGTTGATTACCGTCCCACCACACCTCCACGGCAAGGTCGTTCTATATCATCCCGACAGGCTGCATACGAAGCCGATCTCCAACACGGGTCACGCACAAGATCGTCCTCTATTCAATCCGCTGGACTTGTTCCATTCCCCGTAGAGCCCTACCAGTATCACAACTTCAGTCCTACATCCTCTGCATCACCGACTTCGCCTCAACCCCAATATACACGGAGTGTAAGCTCGGCCGTGTCAGAAGCTAGCTACGCATCAGTACCACGACGTGTTCCTGTCCCTGCTGCTGCACCGGCATCACTTCAGCGAGTGGCACCTGCAGCGCGTAGCCATGTCAGCCAGTCGGACCCAGCTTTGGCTGCGCAAGCATCAAGCTCTGCTACTCCAGCTCAACCTCAGGAAGCTGCCAGAGGAAGTGGCCATGGAGTTGAGAGACGGCGGAAGAGCGGTAAAAGTAGGAAGAAAGGTTGAAGCATCTCGATGTAGCTGTACATGGTACAAATCCCCCGCTCTCCAATCTGACACTTCTGATCCAATTGATTCTTGCTTTCGTAGACGTTGCATACAAGATACTGGCCTCGAAGACGGCCACGTATGTAGTGGGCCCTTGATACTTCTGTTGTACTGATGAATATATGTATTGCTTGCTCCACTGAGGTGTGTTGTTCGATAACAGTCATTCGATCTGACTCTTAATCAGTCAAACGTGTCTCGAACTGGGCAAAGAGCGCATGCAGGAACGGGACTGTCCCCTCAATCCAGCCCTTAGCACGAGTTGTTGAATGCCATATTGCGTGTGCTGCATCTGCATCTTGCAGCTGCATCTGGGTCTCGAACACTTGCAACGGTTTTCTAGACACTTATGCGACAAGGGTACGCGCACAACGGCCGTTGCATAACGGGAATTTCGATCGCGATCGCGTCAAAAGCTGCGAGGAGCAATCAAACAAAAATCGATATCCGTGTAGGAAGTTTTGATGCCATCGTGTTGCACTGCTCTCGCGTAGAGACGAATAATCTCCGCGATTTTCATGGTTCACGCACATCATCGCACAGTGCACAAGTGGGATCTGAGACGGCATAAATCGAGGTGGCGGTACCTGCAGGGCTACGCCGGTACGCCCAACCACCAAAAAGCGGTCAGTTAGCTGCGACGATCACTCCTCTCAGCTCCACAAGTTCGCGCACATCTTTAAGCTGGCCAAAGTTCCTTCCTTCATCAGCGAGCCCGCCGCAGATTCCCCAACCGTGCCATCTTTTGTGGTCTTTTTACCCGTCGACGTGTTCCTTACTAGTCATTTCCATTGTCTTCGTTGCGCACGGTGGCCTGTGTTGTCATAGTGTGAGAGTTGGGTTGTAGCCGCGAATTAGTTGGCTAGTAGGGCGCGCATCAGGCCAAGGCAGGGTCAGGAAGCAGGGAAAACCTTCGCTGGAGTGAGGCAAAGAGGAGGCGATTGAAGCCCAAGAGACCCACTCCCTTCACCGGTTGTGTGTTGCGACAGCTCTTCTAGTCCCTGGACACTGTTGTGCTGGCTTCAAGACTCACAGTCATAGAGTTATTGTTGTCGCTAAACCTCATCACCGCGCATACCAATAGCATCTTGCGCTGAATGCGCTGGGCGTCCCAATACACTTTACACCACCGCATCCCGACTTCTGTCGCTCGCGCGCATTCATCCCGACGCTCATCAACAACAAGCCTCGGAGTATCAACAACACCCCTTTCGGCTTCCATACACCCAAAACCAACCTTACTCCTACCCTCCTCAGCCCACACCACACAATCCGCCACCATGGGTTACGGTAGCAGCAACTGGAACCCCTTCTCCACGGGCTCACCCTCCCGACGCTCATCGTCCGGATACCGCCCCGGCTACGCATCGTCATCGTACTCGGCATCCTCGCGCCACCACAGCTCAACCTCACGCTACAAGCGCTCACCACGCGACTCCTACATGCAACACCTGTACAAGAAAATGCAACACTTCCTCCGCGAAATCTGGCGCTACGCCCAACGCCACCCGTACAAAGTCTTCTTCATGGTCATCATGCCGCTCGTCTCCGGCGGCGTGCTCCACAAACTCGCCCGCCAATTCGGCGTCAACCTGCCTGAGATGGGCGGCTCAGGAGCAAGAGGGGGGTACTCCGGCTCAGGACACACCAGTAGCAACAACCACTACAGCGGCGGTGGAGCCAGCAGCGGCTACTACGGCAGCCAGGGATACGGCATGGAGAGCAGCCGGAGCGGCCCGAGTAACGGAGGCGGAGGCATGATGGCAGGCCTCGGCAACATCGACATGCAGAGCGTCTCTTCTGGCATCGGCGGTCTGGCTAGTCTGGCGAGTATGGCAAGCAAGTTCATGTAAAGAGTTGAAGAGGGGGCTGACGAGCCGCCTTTTCTAGGAACGGTTGAGAATATCTTTACTATTACGCGCGTTGTGGGGAATCTGACGGGCAGTCGGAATGATTGGTGACATGAGGAGCAGAGGAGTGATCCTCTGCACCCTCTCCCGCAGATCATGAGTGAGGAGATGGCAAGGAAGTGGGATTATTGGAAGGGGGGATGACAGGTGGTAAAAAGGCGGTATGCTTTTGTTTTTGGGCTTTCTCGTTGCCACGACGTTACGACGGCGCGTTGGGGGGACGTTTAGTCACGTTCTCTCCTGTTCTTTCCGGTTTCGGCCTGCTTAGCTTTTTTTTTTGTTCCATTAGAGATATCCCTCCTTTGAGTAGGCTTGGACCTACCTGGCGTTCAGATGCAAATGCAAACTTGCTCTCCCTATACCTCACTACACACCCCCATGCGTGCACTCAGCTCATACCATCAAGCTTGTAAAGTCCATGTAGTAGATTGTCCAATCTAATCCAACAGTGAAAAGGTACTCAGGTAACCAGAACAAACTCCAAGGATATCGCCATTCATACAGCCCGTCACTCCCCCCCCCCCCCTCCTTCTCCTGCCCCCATCAACCACTTACAACATTAGCAAACACCTTCGCCGCAAGCCCACTCAACAACCTTGCCTTATCCGCCTGCGGCATCTCCTGAAACACAGCATAAACGCTCTTCCCCTTCGTATCCCTCACCGCCCCTAGTCTATTCCCCGCTACCGCCCCCGCAACCATACCCGGGAAGTTTGCCACAATGAACCCCATAGCCCCTCCACTCAGCCCACCTACAATACTCCAAAACTTCGACGTAGGATGCGCATCCTGATCCGCCATACCTTCCTCCCGTAGCATCTCCTCAAAGATACCGCCGAACTGCTCTTCGGAGAACCGGTTGTGGCTTTCTTCCGTGTTGCCGGCGGGCGCGCTGCCGAAACCGAAAGCCGACCACGGGAAGCCTTGGGCGAAGCCTCCTGCACCGGCGCCTGCATTGCCCGGGATTTCTTCTTCAAAGTCCGAGTCGGGCGTTGCGGTGCTGCCGGTGAAACTGTTGTAGGTGCGGGCGGCGTCGTAGTCGCGGCGCCGTGTGGCGTCTGATAACGTGTAGTAGGCGTCGTTGATTTGTTGGAAGCGCTTTGTGCGGCTTGCGCGCTCGGGGGAGTCGGAGGGGACGCGATCGGGGTGGTGCTTTAGTGCTGCTCTGTGGGGGGGAATGTTAGAGATTGAGTAGAGAGGTGTGTGTGGGGTGGGTGAGAAAGTACTTTTTGTAGGCATCGCGGATTTGCTGCTGTGATGCTTTCGAGTCGACCTCGAGGGTTTTGTCTATAATGGTATATGAGTTTTCGGGTAGGAACCAGAGATTTGTGTGCACGTACAGTAATCTGGTTGGGGAGCTGCGTGGTGTCAGTAGGAGTTAATGGCTAGGCTGCTGTATATCTCACCCATGATGTTGGCTGGTTTCGGAGATTGGAACTCGGACTGGAGAGTAGTGTTTAGATTGAGTGTTGGGAAGGCGATAGAGACCACGAGCAAACTTCAGGTAAGTGAGGATGTAGGATGTAGGTTGTGGGTATAGTGGTGCGAAGTTCAGGGACAGGTACGCGGGTCGCAGCAATGACGTAGACGCGAGAGGCCTAGCCACAGTGGCTTCACGTTTGCACGTGAAAAAGCAAACCTGAAACCATGGGCTTGGGAATTCCTGCAGATCATGTGCTATACACAGACGCAACACAGGGATTTAAGCTTTTCGATTGAATTATCCTAGTTCGAGAAGAGACAAGCATAAGGTTCGGACGAAAATAAATCAGCATGTGTTGTCTACCAGTTGTGGAAGTCAGACGAACTCAGCCTTCAGTCTTTAGGTACATAGAACGGAATAGTAATTAGTGTTAAGGCGATGCGGCGCACGTCCTAGCTAGGTATCATACAACAAACCTCGATCAAACCCCCTCAATCTCAGCCCTCCAATGCTTCCAAGCCATCTCTTCAATCATGTCCAATAACACACTCCCTCCAGATCAAAAGTATCAACAAAGAAAAGGATCTCCTTATAGAGCTCCGTACAATGAAGAGGCGATGCAACACCAATCATATCTATCGCCTGAAACTCGAACTTAGGCCGGCGAATGCGTCAGGAGAATGCCGTCCACTCATTAATCCAGAAAAGTCCACGCTCTCGTTGCTGACATGTCTCAGGCCGGGCGTTTGTGCGGCAGATAATGCTTGCCCTTGTGGTGCCCCGGCCATGCCAGCAAACGGGTTCGCGCGTCCAGGCACTTGTGCAGCAGGCATTGAAGCTTGCACAGCTGTTGGTTGAGCTTGTTGCTGCGGCGCTTGCTGAGGAGCCTGCTGAGGCTGATTGTATAGCGAAAGAATCGAGGCGTTCTTGTCGAAGGGATTGGAGCTTTGCTGTTGGTAGAGCGCCTGTTGATTCTGGAAACTCTGCTGCTGGGTCTGATAATTTTGTTGTGGATCCTGGTTTTGGAAGCCTGATTGTTGGGTCTGCCAAGGGTTCGCTGATTGGGGAGCTGAGACCTGGTTATACTGCGGCTGTGGTTGTTGTTGTGGCTGTTGCTGTTGCTGCTGTTGTTGCATTTGTTGCGACCAAGGATTAGGCATCTGCTGCTGCGGTGGAGCAGACATCGGCTGAGACATCTGTTGCTGTTGAATAGCTGGCTGCCCAAATGGATTTGAACTTGCCAGATTGGTCGGTGTAAACATTTGGCTTTTCGAAGATCTCAAAAAGGGATTTCCTGGGCTCGAGGGATTGGACATGGACTGATACTGTGGCTGTTGCGGTGCAAAGAAGGCGCTGTATTGTTCGGGTATTTGCGGCATCGGTGGCGGAGTAAACGACTGGTTGTACGGGTTCGTTTGTGCAAAAGACGAGGGTGTTGAATCAGCGTAGCCTCCAGTTCGGTTCGGGAATAAGGGTTGTTGAGGTTGCTGATTCGATATTTGCATCCCTTGAAACGTCTGTTCGAGGCTTTGCTGCTGTTGATCCCATGGGTTTTGTTGATAGCCGAAATTTTGCTGCTGCTGCTGCTGTTGCTGGGGGACCTGTTGCTGGGCATATCCTTGAGGCGCCTGTTGCTGAGCATATCCCTGAGACGCTTGTTGTAAAAATGGATTGTAGGACGTTTGCTGGGTCTGGAGAGGGGCGAGTTGTGGTTGCTGTTGAGGAGCCTGCGCGGGAGCGTCTAACGCATCGAAAGGATTCGTAGAAGACGCGGTAGCGGGTGCGGTGTTAACAGTGTCGAATGAAATGCCATTGGACGAAGGCTGCGAAGCCGGTGTCGGTGTGCTTCCCCTCGATCTGCCAGGATCCTGCTCTCCAAGTCGAATCAAAGCCTCCACTGCCCGGTCCAGATTCCCATTTAGCCCCTTCAACACCGTGGCGTTGCGCTTGTCGTCTGGGAAGCCCATATCCCGAAGAGTTGAAAGCTTCGAATCCAGACCATCGCCCGAAGTGTGTATGTTGGACCCAAAGACTCTGGACGGCTTGTTGATCCGTGGCGGCGACTGGTCTTGTTGACTGAACCCTCCCAGACCTGGTGACAGGGGAGGCGTGAGATCCCGTGTCGTGGAGGCCTTTCGCAATCCAAATCCAAAGCGGCCGGTGGGCTTCGGCGGTAATGGCGGTGGCCGGTCCTCAGAGCTCGTGCTGCCTGTATTCTGTCGCGTGCCCGGTCGCGAAGCATCCAAGTACATTCTCTGCTCGTATTTTGCCCGTATGTATCTCTCCATCGCACTGTCTACTTCGTCGATATCGATGGGTATGGAGGGCTTGACGTTGCGCGGGTTGTACGTCTTGTTCGACTCGAGATTACCAATGCGCTTCATGTTCTAAACAGAAGTCAGCAATCCGACATGAACCGCGGAGGTCTAACAAGTCTTACGTCTACTTGCGCATTGTCCCACTTGTCCATACTCAAGGACTTGACCTTGGAAATGTGCGTTCCCAGTTTCCGATGTAGGGCCGCGCATCGCATGCACAGGAAGATGCCCAGCTACAGCAGACGTCAGTTTGGGCTTACGGTCGAGGAATGGTCGGTTCGTAGAGGGGTACGGTTTCGTATCGTGGTATGGGTAGACTTACACTCCAGCTTGCCCATCCTGTATAACCTGGTTAGCATCTGAGAGCCCAACGAGATGCGCCTGCACTACATACCTGGATTCCGCGCGCCACAGTCTGCGCATGTCCCATTTCCAGGGACAGTCTTGATGAGGTCCTGCAGCGCACGCTCATTACGCGCCTGCTGGCGTTTGTTCAGAGCCGACGCCATATCGTCCAGTCTGGAAGGAGGAAGCGGTTCGGGCGGAGGTTGAAGATCGGGGAGCGGCAGAACGTGCACGAGAGCAATACGCGCGGGGAAAGGGGGCAAGACGGACGGCAAGAGGGCGCGTATGTAAGATTACCAGAAAATGAACAAGTCCATCGCAAAGCAAAACATGAGCACAGAAAGGGGAGCTCGTAGGGCCCTTAGTTGACACGCGCGATGACGAGTAATGCATCCGTTCCACTTCACACATGGCATCCGCACAAGCTCCAGAACCCTGCGTTTTTGGTCTATATACAGCATCATGCCCCTGTCTGAGCTTGCTACATTCCGCCCAAAAGTACATCATCGTCCTCCCAGCCCGATGGGCGTGGAACAGCTTACGACAGCGCATGAACGACGTGCAGGCTTGGTGGCGCGACTCCTAGACGCTGCCGATCTGGTATAGATAGGGCCGAGGCCGCCGTTCTCGTTGCCGCAGATACGACTTAAAGCTGACAGACATTGCAGTCGTCAGCTCTTTGGTACTCTCTCTAGAGAAGGAATCTTCCCAGCTAGTCAAAAGCACACGAGCATACGCAAAATACACGCAAAGAGCACGTTCGAAACTCTCAGCACTGTTGAAAAGAATGTATGGTCACGCAGGTGGCTTCAAGCAACATAGAAATCGTAGCAAAAAGCCTAAAAGTGCCAGGTATTGTTCTAGTGACGCAAATATGACAACTATAGAGATGAAGAGCTCAGTATAGCCGTTGATTAATCGTCCATTGTGATTTTGTGAATATGAAAGGAAAGGTGAGCCCGAGCTGCGACGAGCTTTTCAGGCGCGCGGGCGGTGCCAAGCAATGCTGACAAAGACTGGGGTCCGAGCGGGCTAATTCTTCGCACCTAAAACCAAGCTCTGGCTCGTTCTTCTGCTCATCAACAACCTCGCGATGTACAGTTTGCGGCACGTGCTCGACGCGGAATGATCAGTGTTTGTCGTTCTTCGAGTCGTCGCTGCTGTGCATGTTGTATGCTACTACCCCACTCTTGCCTGCTCCCTGGCTCGTCTTCATGGCCAGGAAGCAACTTTTCTCTCTGTGGGAGATTAATATTGGTTTTTAGCAGAGCCGTGTCTTCTCCACCCTACCCATATTCATCTGTGGATGTGTAGGACTATAATTGGACATACATCTTTTTGTCGTTTTATATACTTTGTGCTGATTGTCGTCGTGACAATCTGAGCTTCGATGTGCGTTGGACGACGTGCCTCAATGATCCTCTAAGATGACCAACCACATGGCAGCTCCAGTTGATCGGGTTTCGAGCTTCACTTCACGTTCAGATATCATGGTCGTGCTCTTAGCTATGCTTCGAGCGGGTTGACCAGCACAATCTCAAGACACAATTACTATGCATCATCATGACATGTGGAACGCCAAACTAAGCTGCCTGCACCGATACATTTCGAAGCCATCTATTTCCAGCTTCGAGCACTAGTATACACAGTTCCAATATCCACACCAATACCGCACCTTATAGATGCGCCTTTGATACCCCATCCCCCCGGAACCGCTTTGGCCAGATACCCTGCTTTCCAGGCGAAAGTATACCATTAGGATCGACAGCGTCCTTGATCGTCTCAACGAACCTTCGGTAAGCATGATCGTTGAAATCGTACAGCGAAGCGACGCGATCTGGGCAGGGAGTTAGCGACTGCAGACAGGCAATCTCAAGGCAGAAGATATTAGGCATACCCATGGTGTTCACATGGCTTCGATACTTGCTGTATCCCCTCTTCTTCCCCGCCTCGAAAAGGTTATCGAAGATGTTCTGTACTGCTTTCCGATGTGTCGCGTTTGTCTTGTCAAACGTGAACATGTTGACGAAAATGACTAGATAAGGTATAAAAGTCAGTATATGTCAACATCTCATACTTGGACAGTCTGATCTTACCATGACGCTCATGCATGAAGAAGTCACAAAACAGATCAAAGTTATCCGCCTCGCAGATCTTCTTCGCCGTCTTGACCCAGTCTAAAATCTCATTTCCTTTGGAAGGTATGATAGGGCTGTAGTCGTAGTGCGCACCAATGCCGCCTCCGGACTTGGGTAGGCGGAACTTCACCATGGGAAGCGACCAGAGCGTCGGTATGCCAACGAAGAACCCACCGTCCATCTCAGGAACAGATGTAGGATCCAGCGTCTCCCCATCCGGTGCAGAGAAGATCTTCCCAATCAACCGACCCTTTGGCGCTTTCTTCCCAATAATCTTCTTCAGTTCGTCGAAATGCGCTTGAATGACATCTCTCGCGCCATACAGACCGAACTTGGCGTTCCAGTAACCCAGGTCAAACTGCTTCTGTAACTCTTTGATCCTCCAGTCCGGTATCGAAGTGTCATGTGGCCAGAAGTCTTCTCTCGGACCCATCATACCCAGCCATTCCGTCACGTTGGACACGTAGACGGTGTTGGGAAGCAAACCATCGCGTCGCAACGGCCCGAAGATATCGACAATTGTTTCCACGTCTTCGAAATCCGGCATGTCGAACGAGCAGGACATAAAGGCTTGAGGTGCGGGTGTGAGCCAGATACCAAGCTTAGTCACGATACCGAGATTAGACTGCAGGAACAAGCCTTCGATACTGGGGCCGAACGAAAACTTGGAGAGATGTGCGGATGGCGAGTTGGACATGGCGAATTGACCTGTTCGGACGAGCTCGCCGTTCGCTAGCATGGCTTCTACGCCGGCGATGTGTTGATGGTGCGTCCCTGTGGGTGTGAAGCCTGTGCCGCGATCGATTGTGTTTCCGATGACTGAGCCCCATCCGAGCGATGGTACTGAAGGCCATACGTTGAGCTTGTTCTTGACGCAGTAGTCGTAGAGATCGGTGAAGGTGACACCCGGTTCGACGACGGCGTAGGCGTACTCAGAATTTACTTCGATGACCTTATCCATGCGGTGGAGATCTAGTGCTACGCATCCGGTTACGCGAGGTGCTGGTCCGCCGTATCTATTCAATGGTCAGATGGCTTGTAGCTGGTTTGTACATGGGAATGTACTGACCCGAGATTCTTTCCCCGTGAGAATGTCCACACTGGAATGCCATACTCGTTCGAAATCTTCAGCACGTCTCGTAATTCCTCGATATTTTTCGGTCGTACGGCTGCGCTGGGCATCTTGCGAGTTCCTTCTTCCTCGTGCAACTCATACGGGTCGATGTACTCTGTCAATGCATCACCTAGGCACACCTGCGCATCACCAACAACACCCTTGTATCTCGCGATCGCCTTGTCAAATGCATCCCGGCTAACACCCGGGGGCAGTACCGACTTTAGCGGAACAGTAATAGAGTCTTTGAAGAGGTTGAAATGTGTGGACTGGTATTCCGGGTCGATGTACATTGGTGATGGTGTCATTGTGAAATATGTCTGATGTGTGTTGCAAGGAGATGATCTATATCTCTACGATACTCTGCTGTTAATGTATCCTGCAGGAACGGGCTCTCCCGGCTAGGTGAAGACATGGGTGCCGAAGCGCTAGCTGACATGTGTGAAGGTGTCGTTCCCCACATTGCGGAGAACCTTGGAAGACCCCACATCTACCTTTCTCCAACATTTTCGGCCCTTATCGTGGCGTCACGCCTCTGGGTGGGAAGCTAGCGTTTCCAAGACGCGTATTTCTACGACGTCTGCAATGTAAGTAGTTTTAGGGGTACTCCAGAGATCGTGTGTTATAGCACTTGTCGTGCGCGAGCAGATCTCTTAGTGCACATACGTCTCAGTTACGATGATAGAATTTCTTCGATCTGGGTGCTCTTTATTCGCAAAAGATTCGAGATGGCATCTTTGAGACGCCAGAGAACCATCGCGGACAACATAGTCTCATGTTGTGGCAATAAACAGTGCCACCCCGCCTGAACATTACCACCTCAATCCCGTCTTCTCCTCCCATATCTTCACGACTGACGTAGCCTTGATTCCCGTGAACTTTTCTTTGTGAGAGAATGCTAACTTACGCAAAACTCGTTCAAATACAACACGTCTGGTCGTTTCTGGAAGCTTGTGCGCCTTACAAAGACTGTCGACTTGCTCAAAGTTGACGTCAGACCCAGCCGCTGATTCCTATCATATACTTAGTAACGGAAACGATAATGTGTGGACGGGAGAGTAATACCTCGGAGATGCCTCGTCGCTGGAGAATCTTCATCAGTATATCCCAGACTTCATGGCCAGTCATCATTGATACTGCGGACCAGGAACCAAAGAGTAGATTCACAGTAACCGGTATATGCTGGAGCTTGTTAGCGCTATATCCAAAGATGTATGCGAAGTCTCACTGTCAGCATATAATCAAATACGAAGGGCATAGCTCTCAGTTCTGGGAATGCATTTGGTTTTGCAACCACCCAAGGTATGAGCTGTTTCTCAATATTCTTCAAAGTATCGATAAAACTGAATGGTGGTCCGGGTTTGGGAAACGCGTAGATGATAGCTTGTTCGAGCTCAATCTTTGTACGAGTGCTGTCCGTGCCACCCAAGCTCGTAACGATGATTTACTCACACGAATTAGCTGAGGTGTTACAGTTGGATAGCGAGATCTTACTGCAGCCGAGATTCTGCGGTCGAGGTTGTTCATGATCGTTCGTGTAACTTCCATACAGTGAAGTGCGGTGATGATACCCGTGCCCCAGAGCAATACGGCCACCGGAGTCTCGACTTCGATCGTGGGCGCCTGTATAGGGTTAGTTGATTGAACTGTATCCGCTTCCAAAGACTGACCAGATCTATGATGCCACGAGAATGCCGAACAGCGTGTCCGCCCTCAGCTTCTGCACCGCTCACATGTGGCTGGGAGTAACGTTTGTCTGTCGATAAACGTCCTGACGCGCCCGTCGCTTCTGATGTCGAATTTATTTGAGCGTCTAAATAAGGAGCGCCCGATCTTCCCGATGGATGAGTCACAATCTCGCGTTTGACGACAAGCCTCTCTGGTGAGGGTGTGCTAAGCCTTTCTGCATAGATGAACGGGCGAGATAAGCTGCCCTGTGTATTTTTCGTAGTTTTCCGCGAGACACTTGGAGTGTCGACAGGCGCTGGTGTTGCGCGAGTTAACTGCTGCTCGTCACCCGATGGATGTGATTCTGGTCGCTCTAACATCTCGCGGTCGCCACCTAGTAGCTTTTGCAAACTCTCAACCCATTTTTCGAACTCTCCAGCTGGCATACCATCGATCAGGGACTGCATCTCGCATCTGATTTGTTTCTTTGATGCATCAGGTCCAAGCTTGCGTTTTGCAATCGGTAATGCATGATAAGCAAATAGATCACTCGTGCGTGAAAAGGTATCAGCTACAGCGTCGCCTGCGATATCTGCTCTCTTGATGTCCCATAACCACTTCGAAGATATCTTGCGATCTTTTCCCTTTGAAGTGTGTTGCTGAAGTGGAAGCGGAGCTGCTGGCAAGCTAACGTGGGGGTTTGTGGATTTTGCACCACGGTCGTCAGCACCTGGCCGTGCTCGCTTCGACTCTTTGTCCGGCTTCTTATGTCTCTTCATCTTCGGTGGCGGTGTAGGCTCGTAATCAGAAACACCGCTGATACTCACGTCTCCATCACTGCTGTCGTTTTCTTGTGGTGCGTTAGCATGGGCTAGCCATTCCGTGGAGCGTTTTGGGGCCTTCGCCTTCATTCGAAGTAGGCGAGCAGTAACGTAATCCACAATGTCTTCTCCAAGCTTGTCTCCATGCGCTCTTGCGCTGGTAGATAACATAGCCTTCAGAACTGCATCAACCTTGGCAGCCGTGTCGAGATTTTCGGCGATCATCGAGACCATGCGCTTCGTCATCTCGTTGCCAAAGATCTCTGACATCCTGCGTATGTTCTTTTCCGGAGCATGTTCTTCGCGCATGTGCTGTTCTAGTGCTTGAGGTCCCAGTTGATCCAAAATGCCCTCAGGAAAGCACATTCGTACGAGCCCTTGAACGGCGTTCTTGAACACATCATTGCCGAGGTCGGTTGCAGATGATATGACCTTAATTCGGAATATCCAGTCTTCTCCAGTGGGTAGTGATGTTGAACGGCCCTGCTTCTGGGCCAGGTATGCGTCCTTGACGGATCCGGCGCGCGACAAATGCGGATCGGGCTCGTCGTATTGGGTGCGTTTCGAGGTAACACGTGCGCGCTTCGAAGCTGTACTCCGGGCTGTAGATTGCGACTTCTGCAAATCATTAGCTTAGTCGCGACTGAGGTGCACTCGCGTCATCGTGGCTGGTAGAAGCTGACGCGGTCGCATTAACACTTACTCGTCGCTTCTTTGTTCCGCTCGCCATGATCGTGACCTTCAAGAGACTGAGAGTCAAGCGACGGGTGAGATTTGAAGTGGACGAGAGTTGGTGGAGTGGAATGAAAATTTGGCAGTCATGACAGGTGAACGTGAGAGAGGGAAAGAGCAGAGTCCGTATGGAAATGGGTAGCGAGCTCAACGCATCTCATCTCAATACATGTGCAACATCAAAATTCCCGTTGCAGACCCGGTGAGCTGAAGAATCATGAAAAATACTGAACAGGTGGAATGCATTGTCGCAGATAGAATGGTTGATGTATCTTCCCTCCCGCCTCTTTAAAGTGTGTCATGAGTGATGACATCTATCTATGGGGCCTGCAACACGAGTTCAAACTCAAAAGGTTCGCAAAGTAGACTGTACTCATCCAGCGTCCTCGGTCCACAGCTGCCACTACCCAAACCATGATGTTCCGCATCCAATCTCAGCACAACCTCCTCCCTCTTCTTCTTCCTCAACTCATGCGGATGGTCTGCAGCCGCAACATCCTTCATTCTGTAATGGCTAACCTGGAAGTCAAACAACTTCCTCTGCTCACTCTTCTTGTCCGCGAATTGAGCGAGCAGTCCCGCGCCGCTACCGTTCGTAACGCTAACATAACGGGTATCTGTGCGGTTCGCCGATTCTTGAGGTACTTCGTAGTCGACCCAGAGTTCGTCGATGCTGGATGCTGTGTACTTGCCCACGGGCTGTGAGAGCTTGCTGTCGCGGTAGGTCTCGCCGAAGCCGCGGCCGAACCATTCGACTTGTTGGAATTGCTTGGGGAGTTCCATGACGAGACCGATGCGGGGGAGGGTGCGAGGCAGATTCTCGCCCTTTGGTGTGCCGTTGACGTGCACGGATAGTGTACCATTGGCGCTGAATGTGTATGTGAGAACGCAGTCGATGGACCACGAAAGGACTGGAGGCGCAACGCGTTGGTGCACAGTGACCTTGAAAGCGTCCGAGCCAGACTGCGACCACTCGACCTTGCGAGTCAATGGCTTTGCGTGATGGAGTTGTTTGTCCTTCCAATCCCAGCCGTCCTGCGGAATGTCGTTGTCGGTAGGAGCACGGAAGATGTCCATCTCAGGTGCTTTGGAAATGAGCTCAGTCGAGCCTTGCTTCCAGGAGGTGAGACTTCCATGGAGGGTATTGAACTCCCAGGTGGCTTGATCCGTAGTAATCTTGAGGGTGTTGCGGGATGGTGTCTCAACGGTGACTTGCTTGCCTGATGATTGAGCCTTCTTCAAGGATGGCACTGGAGTCACAGGTACCTGTGCTGTTGCGATCTCGAATCCTGCCTTCAGGTATGGTGTAGCCTCCTTCAGCTGGAACGAGATGCTAGCCAAGACCTCCTCTTCGCGAGCTTCGATCGTTGGAAGTTGCATCTCGAAGGTTTGTCCAGGCAGAATACCACAAGGAACTTCCAGATCTCCAGTGACCCCATCAGAGGATGAGGAGGATGCCGATGTATATTTGCAGACCAAGTGATCGAGCGTGATGAAATCGTACCGGTTGATGAACGTGGCCTTCGAACCGTTCACTTCTAGAAGCTGTACAGGCTCGATAGCCTTCTTGTACTCAATCAAGCCAGCGTTGGGCGAATGGTCGGAGTTGACAAGACCGTCCATGACGAAGGTGCTGTCGTGCACCTCTTCACCGAAATCGCCACCATAAGCGTAGAATTCTTCGCCGGTCTGCTTGTCTCTGGTAAGAAGACCGTGGTTCGCCCACTCCCAAGCGAAACCTCCCTGTAAGGATGGGTACTTGTAGAAGGCATCGATGTACTCTTTGATGTTACCGGGGCCGTTGCCCATGGCGTGGATCTGATATTTTTAGTCTTGGTACCACAGTCGAGCATGGTAGATCTTACGTATTCACAAAGCACCAGTGGCTTCTTCTTTTCCTTGTCTTGACCAAACTTGATAATCTCGTCGAGCGGGGGATACATCCTGGAGTACATGTCCATGGTGTCTGCGTAAATGTCCGCTTCGTAGTGAATAGGCCGGCTGTCGTCATACTTCTTGATGTGTTCGTACATGGCCACGAAGTTCCGTCCCATGAAACCCTCATTGCCAAGACTCCAGATGATGATGGACGGATGCATCTGGTCTCTTTTAACGAGTGCTTCCGCACGATCTACATACGCCTTCGTCCAGTCTGGGTTGTCGGTCGTCCATTCCGCGGCCTTATCCCTAGTTATAAGCTGACGCTCACGGAACGGCAGATTGCGCTCCTCCTTCGAAAGCGCAGCATCGGCGATACTTTCGAATCCGTGGCATTCCACGTCTGCTTCGTCGATGACCCAGAAACCCATCTCGTCTGCGAGGTCGTACAGTCGTGGGTCATTGAGCTGATGGGATGTGCGGATGGCGTTGATGTTGTGACGCTTCATGAGAAGAAGATCCTCTTTCATGAACTCATACGGCACAGCACGACCAAGAGTGGGATGGTGTTCATGGCGGTTGACTCCGCGGAAAACGACTCTCTTACCATTGACTTTGATCAAACCATCTTTCATCTCGACTTGTCTGAAGCCGATGCGTTGGGCGATGATTTGGTCGCCGGAAGAGACGACGAGATGGTAGAGATTCGGCGATTCAGCAGTCCACTTTAGTGGGTCTTTGACCTGGATGCTGAGTTCGGTCACGCCATCACCCTTGATGTCCGCCTTAGATGAGGTGACTTCCTGCTTCTTTGCATCCAGAAGCTTTACTACAACCTTTCCAGAGCCAGTCGCGCTGATCTTGACCTTGAGTTCTGCATCAGTGTAGGAGGAATCCAGAAGCGTTTGGGCAAAGACGTTCTCGATTCGTGAAGCCTTGGGGAAGCCTACAAGGAAGACGTCACGGAATCTGTGATGATGAGTGTGAGTTCATCTCGAAAACAGACCATACTCACATGCCACTCAGCCACCACTGGTCTTGGTCCTCGATGTACGTTCCGTCGCAATGCTGATACACCCTAACAGCTAGTGTGTTCTCGGCATTAGGATCGACGAGCGAAGTAATATCGAACTCATCAGGGTTTCTGCTACCCTGAGAATAGCCAACTTCTTTACCATTCACCCAGACGTGGAAGGCGGAGTCAACGCCTTCGAAACGGAGTCGAAGCTGACCGTCCTGGAGATGTTTCGGGACCTTAAACTTACGAACGTACGATCCCGTCTCGTTCTCGGTAAATGGCACATTGGGAGGATCAACCGGAATATGGTAGATCACGTTGGTATATTGCGGGCCTTTGCCGAAGCCCTGCAGCTGCCACATACTTGGTACGGCAATGTCGCTCCATGATGACGTGTCGAATGTAGTTGACTCAAAACCTTCCGGGGCCTCAAAAGGCGAGTATGAATGCTGGAACTTCCATGTGCCGGAGAGGCTGTGGGTTGTAGACTTGTTCACATCGGAACTAAGCGCATCAGCCTCGGATGCGTAGTTGTGGAAGTATGCGCGCGCAGGCAGCGTGTTCTTGTGGAGGATATCGAGGTTGTTCCAGTCTGGAACACTCTCTGGGTGTTGACCTGAAGACATGATGGATGAATTTGAAGTTGATGATACTCTCACGAACCACTGCTCTACGTCCTCTATCTTTGATACAGTTGTCAACACCCCACAGTAAGGCGGCTGTACTCCGGTAGGTAGCGCGACTTGGACTGATCGGGGAAGCCGTCCGCCCACACATCGCAGACACCAGGAGGACCACCCATCTGCTCCTCAGGTGACATGCCCAATGAACGTTTCGGTAATATACGGCGCATGTTGCATGTAGGAGTTGGGAAGGGCTCGCATCGGGGGCGACGTCCGGGCGCGAGCGAGGGTTCTTCGCGCCTGATCAACAGCGAAGCTGCTCCATTCGGCTACTACTTACTCCACGAATCCATCCCCATACCCCGCTGCCCAGCCCTACTACGCCAGATTGACCCTCGTCTGGTTCTTCGCGACTCAATGCCAAACCGACCGGCTCAATTCTTGATTCATATCCTTCGTACAGACTTCGCGCGTGGCGCTCCAGAGCTGGTACTTTTTGGGAGGTCCGTCCGCTAACCGGCCTGCTTCTGGACCTGGACCCGCCCCTGCAGAAGGCCCTATTACTTGGCCTTGGTACCATCATGGCATAGCGAGCTTGGAAGTTGAAAATTTCCCAGTAATCCCGTTAATATTCCGCCCCTAATGCGGTGCTATTGCCGTCCAACAAGCATACTTGGCCAACGGGGTGGCGCCTGAGCGCAACAGTTTGCATGCAGAGCAGAAACCATGCATCGGCTCGAGAAAGTAGAGCAGATACCTCGGTGCCATGGGGTAAGATTACATGCAGGCGCTACTCGTTTTGCGGAGAAGCCTGTATACTATAAAGAGACCCAGTATTCCGGAACTCTTGCGCATCGTTGCAAATCGGCCATCAAGTGGAGAGCATTTCCCTTTTTTTGCTCCACAATTCTAATTCTTCTCCAGTTCTTGCCAGCGACATATTCACGATGGCGGAAAAGAGTGAAGACATGGGCGCTGTGACGCACCAGTTGAGTGCAGTTGACGATGACATGAACAAGCATGCGAACGTCAAGGAGGCCAATGTAGCTTCAGTAGCTCTCAGTAAGTTGTCGAGCAGCATACGGCAACACAAGAATGAGTGCTGACGTGTGTAGCCGCTGCTATCGAGGCAGAGAAGCCGAAGCTATGGTCCCGGGGCATGATCCAGCTGTACATGATCATGGGCGTTGGCTACCTCGTCTCTACGCTCAACGGCTTCGACAGCTCACTCATGGGATCCATCAACGCGATGAAAGCCTACCAGAACACCTTCGGATTGACTGGTGAGGGATCCAGCACTGGCATCATCTTCATCATCTACAACCTTGGTCAAATCGCCGCCTTTCCGTTCTGTGGATTTCTTGCTGATGGCTATGGTCGCCGTGTCTGTATTGCCGTCGGCTGCGCACTCGTCCTAGTCGGAACCGCCGTTCAAGCTACAGCCCACGAGATGGGACATTTCATTGCCGGTCGCTTCATCCTCGGATTTGGCGCATCTATCGCCTCTGCTGCTGGTCCCGCCTACACTGTCGAACTCGCGCATCCTGCCTACCGTGGAACCATGGCTGGTATGTACAACAACTTCTGGTGGGTCGGCAACATTCTGGCTGGATGGACCACGTACGGAACAAACCTCCACATGGGCAACTCTTCGTGGGCCTGGAGGATTCCAACAATCGTTCAGTGCATTCTACCGACCATTGTCATGGGCTTGATCATGTTCTTCCCAGAAACGCCGCGTTGGCTGCTCGCCCATGACCGCAGGGAGGAGGCCATCGCCATCATGGCAAAGTACCACGGAAACGGCAACCCCAACTCTCCCATCGTCCAGCTCCAGCTACACGAGATTACCGAGGACTTTGCTGTCACTCGCAATGACAACCCCTGGTGGGACTTCCGTGAGCTAGGAAACACCAAGGCCGCACGCTACCGCTTGGCCATGGTCATCGCAATGGCTTTCTTCGGTCAATGGAGTGGTAACAACGTCGTCAGCTATTTCATGCCCGCCATGGTCAAGAACGCTGGAATCACTGGTAAGTTCCCATTGTACAAAATACGTGTGAGTTGTATACTGACTTCGTACAAGATCCCAACAAGCAACTTCTCATCAACGCCATCAACCCAATCTTCAGTATGTTGGCAGCTATCTACGGTGCCACACTCCTCGACAAGCTCGGTCGACGAAAGATGCTCATGGGCGGTCTCTGGGGCGGTCTCTTCGCCTACGTTCTCCTTACTGCCTTTACCGCCACCGCTACCCCGGACAACAACCTCGCCTACGGCACCATCGTCTCCATCTACCTCTTTGGCATCTTCTTCGCCTGGGGCTGGACTCCCCTCCAAACCCTCTACGCCGTCGAGTGTCTCGAGAACCGTACTCGTGCCAAGGGTTCCGGTCTCAACTTCCTCTTCCTCAACGTCGCCATGGTGGTCAACACCTATGGTATCTCTGTTGGAATCGAGAAGATTGGCTGGAAACTTTACCTTGTGTATATTGTGTGGATTTGCATTGAGATCGCGCTCATCTTCTTCTTCTTTGTCGAGACAGCTGGCAAGACGCTTGAGGAGCTCAAGGAGATCTTTGAGGCGCCTAACCCAAGGAACGCTAGTTTGAGGAGGGCGAAGGTCGAGATTGATGAGACGGGGCATATTCACAACATACATGAGTAGTGGCACTATAGGTGCAGGGCTGCGTTATGATGCTTCATGGTAGGACGAAGCTTGACTTGAATGTAATGACACTTGACGACTTGGGTCTCATCGTAAGAATCAAATCGCCTTAGGCATGCCATCTTCCAAACTGATACAGCTCGCGTGATTCTTTCCATCTCTAAATGATAGTCACGATTATAAATGTTAGTGGCAAAGTCTAGAGTAAAACAGATCTTTACTCACGACACGACTTCTAAAGTGTTTATCAAGATCTCAAACAGTCATGTTGTACACAAGAGTATTAATACCCTCTAATAACGTCGTCTCTCAAGTTGCATCGACCTTGTGCCACATCACTCCACCCATTCATCTCCTCAGCCCACGCATCACCACCAATCGACCCCACGCTCCACACAGCCTGCAGCATGCTTGCTACATCTCATGCAACGCAACCTACCTGCTCGACCAGGGTACCTAACCCCGCCTCATGCAACGTCCTTTTTGCTTGTTCCTCTCCGAAAAGATGTACTAGAGCCCCGTTCGGATTGGAAATCTGTCTCGCGCAACAGACTTGGCGGTATGCATGAATTTGCGTGTGGTTAAAATGATCAGGGACAACACTAGCTCACGTGATGTGTAGCTGCATGCACATGTTACTTTTTTGTGACGACGTTTCTTCTTCGCTTGCAAGCCTCATTTGGTGTGAACTGATGCCGCGGAGAGAGAACTTTGTGCCGGGCAGTGTCGGCATAACGGCATGGAAAACAGGGTAATAAAGGTGGACATGACCAATGTACTATCTGCCAGCCACACTGAACTGTTTTTGTTTTGCACGTTTGCTTTTCTTCACGATGTGCGGTGAAGCGTTGACACGCGTTGGGTAACGAGGACGGCGATAGACCCGCATGGTCTAACTAAGCGAGACTGACAGGAAACGCTCGCGAAAGGGAGTGGGACCGAGAGAAACAGCACGTTAGATTCAGCGGTTGAGGAACTGTAGTTCACGCGGCGACGCTAAGTTCTGAATACGAGCATGTGAGACTTGGCAAAAGGTGAAAGGAATACGACAGTGGCGTCTGGCTTGCATATTCCCTCTGTTTGAGCAGGCGCCAAGGAACAAAAAGCAAGATCACCTCCGAAAGCGTGCAACATAGGAAATGTATATGATGCATCAGCTTTTTAGATGTCTATTCCTTAGCCTCATGCTTTCTCCGCACTTCCATATCAGCCACCACGCAGGTCTTTCAGCTTCTATCCAATGTCCATCTCATCAACCCCGGCTGCAGCTCGCTCTTTTCTGATAGCATCTTTCTTCGCTCTCCGCGCCGCTGCTCTTGACATGCCCTTGCCACTGCCGATCTTGCGGTATGCGTCCAAGGACATGCCTATCCGCTCTGCAGCTGCCATCTGGGCTTGCAGTGTCTTGTCTTCCGACACGTCCATCTTGGGGTTAGCCACTTTTCTTTCTTTGCGTGCTTGCATTCTGGCGAGATTCTGGCGAGTGCGTTTGTCTAGACAGATGTTAGTATGCCGGTGAAGTGGAGGTTTGAGGGTCTGTTGGAGAACTCACTCATCTTCTTGCCGGTAGGCTCGGAATCAATTGCCATAGTTTGATCACCGTTGGCTTGCTGGACCGGGCCTGCATCATGTTAGACTCGCTCACCCCGGTAGCGCGTGTCAAAAGCAAGTGCCCGTAGGATCAACGGACGTTAGATCGTCATATCCAGCACGTGACATACCAGTCTGCAGGTCGTCTTGGGGCGTCGAAAAGGCGTCGCCCAAGACGTCGACTAGCTCATCAGCCAGTGCGCCCATCTTGCGTCGGTCCTTTTGCTTTTTCTTCTTTGACTTGGTCGCAGGCGCCTGGCCGTTTGCTCGCCTCGGGGAAGCGCTTCGCTGGCTTGTCTGTGATTGGTCGCTATCGCTTGCATCTGAAAATTGTTCCTCCTCGCCCAACCTGAATCCTGTGTTTGCGACAACCGGTGTGTTCGCAGCGGTAGCGTCTGCTTCGGGCAAGGTGGGCGCCATGTTGCTTTGTGGACTGCCGAACTGAGGATAATGCAGATGCAAAGGTTGGCTGCACATCAGAAAAGGTAAGAGCAAGGGATCGGCAGAAGGTTATTCCGGCGCATGTGATTTGTCCGTCGGTGTGTATTATCGAGTACCAATGCTGTGTCGCTCCATGCGCTCTATTCTCTACCTCATTGTCCGCCTTTTGAGGAGTAATTTGTAAACATGCTATGCACAATGCCGCCCTAAACGCAATTCGAAAGAATGTAATGACGCGAAGGATTGACGGCCTAAGTGTGAGGGAATATGGCCCCGCAGCGGGGATGAGAAGAAGAAGAAGATACAGTTAAGGAGATTCGTGAGTCGTGAATGCATGTCCAAGCACCCGTTTCGGCGGCCGACCAGGCCAGTCCTTTGCGCCCAACTCCAATGCCAAGCCCTGTCTAGCTCTTGATACCAACTCCAGTCCAAGCAAATGTGATGCGACACTACTCGTCATCGTCAACAAAGAAACCCCAGAAGAGCACTTCCTCGTTTTCCCGGCCCCGCAGACAGCCGCCGTAGACGTCTGCGCACATCTCGATGGGCACCTCGAGCTTGATGCAGCCGTTGCCAAGGAAGGTGAAGAGCAGCCACGAGTCGTATTCGGGGAAGGTGCCGTCGTCGTCAAACTTCCTGCTGCGTATGCCGCGGTTCTGTAGCGAGGGCGTTGTGGGCAGGCGGAACGTGTGGTAGGGCAGCGTCTCCTCCGAGTCGGCGACGAAGAAGGAGTCGTTGAGGGCGAGTTCGACGGTGACGTGGGGCGACAGTTGCGAGGGGATCTCGGGGAGGCTCAGCGTGTCCTTGTGGAAGCGCAGGGTGCCGAAGCGCAGCTCCGTGGGCTGGCCGAGGAGGTCGAAGAGCTCGGTGGAGTAGAGGCGGAAGTAGCCATTGTGCAGGCTGCCCAGGCCGCTCTCGTCGTCGGCAGCGTGACCGCTGAGCGAGAGGTTCTGCAGCTGGTCCTCGACGCGCTTGCCCTCGAGTTCGGCGGCATCGAGCGACCGGCGGATGTACTTGGGGGTGTACTGGTTGCTGAGGTCCGAGATGGCCAGCCGGCAGGCCTCACGACGGATCTCGTCGCGCCGGGCGGTGCTCTTGGGTGTGATCACGTCGTCGGTAGCGGGGTCCTCGAGCGAGCGCAGCAGCCCCGTCTCGAAGCCCTTGACGAGCTCCTCGAACTCGCGCATCACCCGGGCGAGGGGAGACGGTTCGAGGGCGTCTGATTTGGCGTCGCGGGAGACTGCGGTGCTGTCCAGTACGGCCATTGGAGCAGGCCGCGGCCAGGACGTGGCGTAGGCGCAGGGTGGTGCGTGTTGGGGACGGCGGTAGTTGCTGGACGCGGTGGAGTGCGGACGAGGCTCCCTGTGCGGAGAGGGGTGTGCAGCTCCGGCTGGCACAGCAGTCGAGTCAATTGAGGTCGGCCGTGGAGTCGTGGGCGTCGGGGGATCGGCCGTTAGTCGTGAGGAAAAGGCGCAAAACAACAACAACAGGACAGTGTCGCAGCAGACTGGCTAGTGCATCAGGAGACAAAGAAGGTCGGGACCTCGAGGGAGGGACCGAAGTTTTGCTCGCGGCTCCAAAGCCGCCAAGAGTGCTGGGTAGATGCTTCCCTCTTCCAGCCCACCGACGCGCCTACCGCATTCCCCGGCCAATAAGCGCGGGGCTGGCCCTCCACGGCGATGCGCTGCGAAGGGGGCTTCAGCGTGCGACGGCCCTCGACTGCACGCTGCGAGTGATGCTCGGGCTACAGCGGTTAACCGTCGCCTATGCCCCAGCGCGAGCGCTAACTCTTGCTTCTGCTCAACAGTCGCTGTGCGCGCGCCGCTTGTAGCAGACTGACCCAGCCCAGTCGCTCGCTCGACTTGATGCAACCTGCGAACCGCCCTGTCGGTACCCAATCAGAAGCGACTACACCGGCTCGGTTATAAAGACTGGAACGGACCGAATGATTCGAGACACAGAGTTGCGATGCCTCCAGCCAGAGACGACCTCAGCCGCGGCATGCCGATCCCTCACCCCACGCGGCTTCCTTGCCGCTGCCCTCACTCTTACTGTTGATTGTTGATGGTTCCTCACTAGGCCTAACGCGCCTTCCACAGTCGCATCGCCACTTCCTCGACCACTCCTCGACCACTCCTCGACCACTCCTCGACCACTCCTCGACCACTCCTCGCCCACTCCTCGCCCACTTCCCAGCCCAGCATTCTTCGTCAGCAATCTATCCTCTGACCATCTCGTATTGATGACTGGTGATAGGCGCTCGTCGGCCTGCTTTCCTCACGCGAACCATCACCATGTCTGCTCTCCTCACACCCCGTAATTGCACCAGGGAGCCCAGCCCACTCTTTCGGCTTTACACACGCCTGTCGGCACTTTGTACCTGCCTCGACGTCTTATGCGACCTCAGATGATGTACATGTGCAACCACGCTGCTACCTGGAACCCCCGCAATTCGCCATTTGCCGTCACTACGTCACTGCTGACCGTTCCCAGCCAACACGCGTACAGACATAGTCATAGCGGTGAGACATTTGCCCACATCCCACGCCTGATTACATCTGCTCGACATACACCTGCTCACCTGTCTGCATATCGATGCTTCATCCTTCGCCGAGCATCGACGCCGATCCAACATCGCCGCTTACCGTCAGATGGGGGCTCCAGACCGAGAAATCAGCCCACCTCCCTGGCTCCAGTCGTTCCTCCCCACCTCTCCGGGCCTGCCTCGGCTTCTTACGTGATACTCCGGCCTGTCAGTGTGCACGCCTAGACCCATGTGTCCGACGACACCAAGGCAGGGCTGTCCATGAGAAGTGCCATGAGGTATGCAGTCTTGCCTCGTTCAAAACCATAAAGTCGACGTTTGTTCCACGGTTGACTGTCTTGGAGGGCAGTTGAAGTGCTATACCACTTTCGATGTCTTGCTCTTTTCTTCCAGGATGGCAGTATATGTCTCGCGCTCTGTCACTTCCACACTGCTCGCGACTGCAGGCGGCGAGGGAGTAGCGGAGGAACTAAGGTGGACCAGCGAGCAGGAACCAAGGTGAAGCATACAAACTCACCTACAAGCACCATCGTTCTTCGTTCTACACCCCAGCATCACCCACTAAAGCTATCGTTAACGAGTCCCTCTTTATCAAAACCTCAATATGCATTCAGTCTACGGTCCCATCAAGTATACATCTCGCTCACCTGTTCATCAAACTGCCAGTATGCCTTCAGCCAACGGCTCCGTTGCGCTCGCATCGCGTTCACCTCCAATCGTCTTGTCCCCAGCCTTTGCCGACGTGTCAGGTTCCTCGTCCAACCATGCTCGCAATGGAAAGGCCCCCATGACCAACGGCACCAGCAAAATCTCTACTGCAAGCCACCGTATCGGAGACTTAACGGAACTCCTCATCGACGTCAAGGCGCTCACCAAGCTGTGCAACCTGGGCGCATCAGAAGCCGCTCAGCTCGGAGCCTTTCTCGTCGACAGCTACAAAATCCTGAATGAACAGCAAACCCGCCGCATCGCAGCCGCCGCAAAGATCATTGACGAAGTCGAGACTATGAAACAGGCACACAACCTTCTCGACAACAACGTCGTCAACCACTACGACCGCTTCGTCCGTGAACTGGAGGAAGCCGAGACTGCCATGTACGACGGACACAAGATAGTTATGTACATAGATGCCACAAAGAGCATCAGGTTGGCCCGGGAGAACGCCGATTTCGCCAAGAATCTGCGCACAAAGATCGAGAGGTTGGATGATGAGTACAAGGCTAAAAAAGACGAGATTGTGGCTGCGAGGGATGAGATGATTGATATTATGTATGGTGCTGTTATGCGGTGCGTCGTGGTGGGTCCTGGTGCTGTCGAGAGTGAGAATGATAAGGGTAGGTTGTTGAGTTCATTCTTGCGCTGAAGGCATCGTGTTGGGCTTAGTGTTGTTGCTGCGAGGCTTATTTGGTATGGTAGTTTGAATACACCCCAGACATTTTTGATGTCGTGTAAGGTGAGAAGTGCATAGTCGGAGAATGCAGTGAGTATGTCCCAGATGCTCAATTCTTGTTTATCGTGGTGCTTCGTTCAAGGCGATGAAATCGCTGTTCTCATAGGCCATGTGTGACTGCACCGAACTTGCATAGGTATTTGGATATCTTCTCGAACAGGTTTACCGATTGCTTCATGGCAACTCAGCATTTGCGCTTCACTAGCCGACAGGCTTTCGTCAGGCCAATCAGGCCGACCTTTGCTGTCTAAGCCACCACCACGCTAACACTCGAATGAGCTCCGCCATGATGGAGCAAAATCAAAACCCATCATACTATGTTTCTTCTTGCGCACGATATCACCTCACAGTGCATCCAGAACTTGCCTCCAAACCCTTTCGCTATCCAGCCCGGGTGTTTACCTGAGCTCTGAATCAAAGACACGGCTGCAGTTTCTCAGCACTATAAACGGCATACCTACGAGCTTCAATCCCATCAAATGAGGCAGTATGGATACTTCGGTACGTAGACGCACCGTCTGTTTGTGCAAGCATCACCAGAGCTGACTTGGAAAGTTTCGCCTGGATGTTGAAGAAAACACGAAGTCGTTCGAGATCCAATCGGCAAGAAGGTATCGACATCAAGCCCTGAACACCTCTACTCAGCAAATACGTCTCATCAAACTGCATTTGCGTAACACAAATCGGCCAGAGTTCGATATGTCAGTCTTTGAATTGAGCAACGCGCCACCTTTCACCACTCTTTCTTATATGTGGGGTCCACCATCACCACGCTTCGATATCACGATCAGCGGCAAACCTCTCGGAATCAGAGAAAATCTGTTTCGGTTCTTTGAAACCTATGTGAGGAATACAGAGAACGATTTCCTATGGGAATATACAGGTCCCCTGTACCTGTGGATAGACCAGATCTGTATCGACCAGTCTAGCGTAAGCGAGCGAAACCACCAAGTCGGAATGATGGCATCAATTTATTCTGAGTGCTCTAAGACTATCATCTGGCTTGGTATCATTCCCAATAATCCAGATGCGCCGCGTATGATTAAGAAGATGGAAAGTTCGTCGGTTCCAGAGGAAAGTGTAATACAAGCTGTAGCATCTATCATACGACACGATTATTTCACTCGCCTGTGGATCGTACAGGAGGTTATACTGTCAAAATGGAAGAGAGTACTATGCAGCCACCCCTCGGCTGGTGCTGTCTGGGTGGATTGGGACAATTTGGCTTACATAGCCCGCCGGTTCCAGTATCGCCTCCCTTCGACACCCGCAAAGCATCTGGTAAAAGACCATCTTCAAGAAATTGGATTGAATCTCGTACAGGCTGTTCGCTTCTTCAGCCAGGGTCGATGTCATGATCCTCGCGACAAGGTGTATGGATTGATGGGGCTTGTGAGAGAAGAACAGCGACTTACAATCGACTACGCAAAGCCATTGGAGGAACTCTTAGCCGACATGACGAACATATTTCACAGAGAGATGCGGGACACCTCGGCTTATACTCATACTGAGTATCAGGACGCGTTATTGAGCCTGGTGAGAACCTGGGGCATATTATCCGAAAGCCTAATTGCATTCTTATACGAAGTCTGGGACAAACCGACTTACGATTGGCATCAGAAATTTGGCAGCAACGGACCCGCATCCATTGTCTACCCCCCGATTTGTACGATGGGCTTTCTACCTAAAGGACCACATAAGAACATGAAGTTGAAAGCAAAAGAACTGCTTCCCTACAGCATGGACGTGGAACGAAATTTAGGAGACTTTAAGCCGAATGACTGGATACCAACGGAAGACTGCTGGTGGTATCAGACTGAAGCCACCTACCGGACGGAAGACGCTATCTACGAAATATACGGCTTGGTGAGCTCAGACCCTCTTCGTAATGAGTACACAACGCCAGGGTATTATGGCAGGAGAGTGAGAAAGGCACAACAGGAACGAAAAATTCGGAAACTGTTGCCCTCTTGGTTAGGTACTCGTCGTTCATTTCAAAGCGCATAATATATCTTGTGTACATATCTTTGTCATGGCGCTGGGGTGGAATCAACGCAGGCAGAGAGAGGCAAACAAGAATGACATGCACAGCAATAGCTACCTCTTTTGAGAGGACCAGCTTATTCGAGGACAAGACTAGACACCCCAGAGCCTACGTTAACGTTAGTGCACCTACTTTGCATGTTTTCATCGGAATGTATGCTTCAGACCTGTTTAGGTTTTTTCTTGTTCTGAATGGGACTGACTTCTCAGTGATAGTGATAAATGGCCTCACAGCCTCAGACATTGTTGCCAGTCGCAACACCCCAGAAGTAAGCCGCCCACGAGCCGACGACCAAGAACAACAACGCGACAAACAACGACATGCTGATCTTTCTGTTCCTCTCACCCACAGATCCGCACTCAAACTCCTTCCTTCGCACATTAATAATCTCGCCCTTCCTAATGCGCTGGCGCCTAGTCCACTGGAGGTGCCCGAGATCGCTCGTCCAGAAGCAGCCGACGAACATGCTCGCAGCGACCACGACCGAGCAAGCAGATAGTACAACATATACGATAACAACGTTATCGTAGGAGTTGTCGTCTCGGTCTTGGATAACTCCCGTAATGATACGGATGATGATGGACATGGCGTTGTTGACGGCGATCTTGACAGCGTAGCCGGAGCCAAATACCTCTTGATACCACATGGACGTGCGGATCGAGTCGATGATGACGGTCGGGCCAAACATCGATGCGACACCATAGATACCGAATGAAGCTGCGGTGCCGGCGTATGTCGGGCCCCAGGTCGCCAGACACATGGATAGGAGCATACCCAGACCACAAACCAGCATCAAGGTAATGCGATTACCCAAGATATCTACGAAGATGCCGATGATTGGAACGAGGAAGAATCCCAGATATTGTGCTAGGGAGGAGTACCATCCAGCTTTGACGGCATCCATGTCGAAACGCTGCTCAGCGAATTCTGTTGCATTCTGAGCGAAGACGGAAGCGGTGCTGGTCTGGAAGAGAGAGAAAGCAACGATACTCCAGAAAGTCCAGGGAAGCCGCAGGACCTTTCCAAATTCGAACTTCTTGTTATTCTCCGTGAGCTGCTCACCTGTCGCGGGATCAGCCGTGCCGGTATACTTCTTGCCGCACCAGCGCGTGAAGAACCAGTACAGAAGGGTCGTAACGTTCGTGAAGAGGTTCATGAAGACAGCGACCCAGTATACCCAGCTGAAGTCGCCAGTATTCTTCGCAATGACGTTTGCTGTAGCCTTTCCGACGAAAGATCCAATCTTGCCGATGCCGAGTTCGAAGCCTAGGGTTGATGCGAAGCCATTGGATGGTGCGAACCAGGAACTGAAGACCTTGTACTGCGCGACCTGCGTGGCTATATCGCCGAATGCTTGGACAATGGATCCGAATATCATGAATTTGTATGAGCGGACGGTGGTCGCGGCTGCGATGAAGATGGCACCGACGCTGTAGATGGCGTTGCCCCAGAGCATAGCACCTGAAAAAGTCCCACGTCAGCATCGACATAATCAAAGGGTAAGGAAAGACAAACTGGCACCACCAATCCTATCTGTGACGAGACCACTCACGAGAATCAGAGCGGTCTTCATGAAATCCTCGCTAGCCTCCAACACAGAGTACTGCGCGTTGTTGATATGCAATTCCTTCTCAATGTTAGCAAAAGTACACAGAACAGTAATCGTACAGTCAATACCTTCTTGACCGTACTCTTCATCGCGCCAGTAACACCACTACTCCAATGCGATCCAAACCCCGTTGCCGTAACCAAAAGAATAGCAATAAGCTTCATCTTCAGCGGAATCGCCGAGCTCTTATCGCTGCCACCCCGCCCATCAGACGACGCATCACTGCAAGCCACGACGTCTGCAACCTTCTTTTCGTTCTCGAACGAAGCTGAACGCTGCCCATTGTCGTCTACCGACACCCCACTCGAGGGCACAAAATCGGGTCGTGCGGCCATCATCCCTCCTTATCGCAGGTGAAAGATGATCTGATAAAATGAGAGATGTGCCTGCGTTAAGACGGCGCTTACGATCCATTTTAGTACTGCCGAACGGGAAAGGAAAATCTCGACATGGCTCCGCTTCAGGGCGAAGACGGGTCCCTTTGCGGGCCGTTTTGGCTTGGTAGCATGTCATGTAGGTCGGGTCCACTGTGTGAGACTGTGCGCTTCGTATAGGCCAAAGTGCTGATACCACCGGGAGATTACCGTGATGGGGCGCGATATCGCATGCTGTTGGTTTTGTGTATCCATCACACTGTGGTATTGTTGATATGTTCAATGAGGGCGGTCTTGTTCATTGTTTGAACTGCAAGAGCTTTGCCCACGAGTCTTCTTAGACTGTTGTTCTTGTTTGAACTTTCTAGGGGTCGCGGGTCGCAGTTCTGTATTCGGGAAGTACGAAGACCGGCTCACCACGCCAATCCCAAGAAGGAAAGGTGAAGTGCAGAAACTTTTATCAGATCATCTTATCAGCCCGAAGATTAGATCCAGCCCTCTAGAGAACAAAGGCTATCATGAGCACCGGGTGAACGCTTATCATGCTTCTACATGGAGTCCGTACGGCTTCTACAAAGCTGTTCCTACCCAGAGTTTCAAACATGTCCGAGCACGAACAACCTCAAATCCCACATGCGGCAGCAGCGCAGGAGCCTGGGAACACTTCGGAGTCGCTCTCACTCACATCCATACACCCAAACAGCACACCCTACGTTCGTAGTGTAATGCTCTCTGATCCCTTCTAAGAAATTGCTGGTCCTGTGCGACCAGGTAGATTTGCGATCTACAACGTCCCGTTGAGTCTGACTATCCTCCGAACAAGCAAGTCTGTACTGTATTTGTGCAGAAGTGCTATTTAGGGTATGTGTATCTGGTGGATGAAATGATTGAGGTGTTTCTGATCTAGGCTTATGACGGTGACGAGAAGCGTGGGATGGAGCTTTTCTGCTGTGTCTGAGCCGTTGAGAGTAGACTGTACTGAATGCGCGCTCTTGATCTGGTCAACCGTCGTTCATGGCGAGGTGCGATGGTGTACAGTTACTCTCTGGTGTGGTAGTTGTCGGAAGGGGAGCGTGCGACCTATATCTGGTGTCACTTTACAAAAAGCTTGGCTGGCGTACCATGGAACATGACAGCCTCGGTGGTCTTGGTACATTAAAATCCACGCGCACAAAAGAGAGAAGCCTGATTATTGGAAATTCATTCCAATGGATTCGCTATGAATGCCCCAAAACCTGATAGGCTCAAGTGTGGTATACGCCTTCCAGCGCCAAACGCCTTGCCAATGCCCATCCTCCCACTGGTCATGCTCGTATCATAGAGACCTACTAGCAATGCCACTAGCATAGCCCCACTGTATACCTCTGCTCCCTGCTTGCGCCTTCGTCTAGTCCAAATCCTACAAGTGACGAGGCGGAAGTCCTCCATATGTCATGTGCGCAAACGGATCGCTGGCGAGAACAACCTAAGCCTCGCCTCTCTGCTTCCTCTCGATCTCGTCCTTCAAGTTGACGAGGTCTTGCTCTGTGGCCTCGAATTCCAGACCCTGCTTGACCCACTGCTCTGCCTCGTCCAGTCTGCCCATCTCGAGCAGACACTTGCCCCGCCTCCACCAGCCCTTGGCGTTGCCCACCTTCTTCATCTCCACACTGGCCTCTGCGTCCACGGCGCCCTCTGCCCAGTTCTTGAGTGCCATGTTTGCTTGTGCGCGATTGCTGAGCAGCCCAGAGACCTCTTCCCTGACAAGACCCGAAGGCTCCCATGCCGGACGTGCGAGCGCCATGTCAATTGCGAGGGTGTAGAGCTTGCCCGCCTCTTCGGGCTTTCCTTTCCTGAACTCGGCGTTGCCCGATTCGCGCAGCTTGTTGATCTGGGCAGAACGCTTGGGGTTGACGGGGACAGGTGGCGGCGGTGTGCCCGTGGGTGTTTCGACGTTCAGGAGGTTTCTGTGGAGGTTGTTTAGGGCGTCGAGCTCTGTCTGGAGGGCATTGCTGGTGCTTTGGGATGCGGTGATGGTGCTGGTTTGCGGGTCCATCTCGAGAGGGAGGAGCGTGAAAGTATCTGGTGACTCCATGATCGCTGTATGCTTATTTTGTGTTGAACTTGGAGTTTCTTGGGGTCGTAGCGATATGTACGTGGGTAGAGGACAGGTTGGCGCAAGTCGTGGTTTGGTGGAGGGCAATGAGGACAGTTGGATAATTCCCCGGTACTGTTATCGATAAGCCGGATTGCGCGCTAACACGTGTCTTGTCGCTTTCATCCAACTTCACTCTTTCATCACACCCGACTACCAACCATCATTGGCATCTTCATCAGCTTGACGCCTTCTTGTTAGGTCCTCGGAGATATGGTGCAATCACACCAATGTAAGGCGCTATGGCTACAGTATTGCAATCCATCAGCGCGCTCCTCTCTTCGTCTGTTGACATCGTCTACGCGTGCTCCTTACGGACTTCTTGTTCGTATGCATGCTTTGTTCTCGAAAGTTACCAGAAAGCCTAATTTGTCTGAGGGGAGCGAATGATTTTGCTGTTCATACCAGAGGACAAATTGGACATTCCACAGTATGGGGAAGTGGCGTATTGACGCGACTACCCGCGCACGTATCAGTGGACACTGAATGTGATACTGGTAGCTTGTTGTCTCCATCGTGAGTAAGTATCACATTTGCTTCTCAGCCTTTTTCTTGCTACATGAGATCCACTGGGGCAATACTATCGTCACGTTGATCTGATACTCGTGCGCATGCGGACTTCGAGGCAGTCGAATCCTGCATGTAAACACCGCTACGTCACTTTGTTTGTGCGCCTTGAAGGTACTTATGTAACTTCCTTCTCAGGTCACTGCTTCTATGGCTCGCGTTTTCTGGAGCACGCTTTCTCTCAGCGGTTCTTGACACATGTCGGGAAGACAGCATGTCCTTCACTTTGCTTATCTAACTGGGTTGTGATTGCACACGACCTTTCCTCCTTTCGGCGTGACCCGAGGCTGTCTGGTTTTCTAGTGGGTTGCTGAGGAGCACGTGAACACGCGCGCTTTCCTCCATAGCTGAACCAGCCCTGCCCGACCAATGTCCTTCTCTCACCTCACCTCATCTCACCACAGGCTCGAAATCAGCGCATGCGACAGCCTGCGTACGCACAGCATGGTGAGATACACGGTCGCCGTCTCAGCTCAGCTCAGCCCTACACGACAGGGTCACGTCACGCCTGCCAGCTCTGGGTCTCACCGCCGCGGAGGGAGCTCAGATTACGCTGCACCTGAACACAGGAGATGGACCAATGCTGGATGTCGAGGATCTCCTGTCTGACGTTCTACCCAACGCCGAAGAGACTGTCTATGCAGTCGTCCATGTGAGTCGCCAGGAACTGCTTACATTCAGCCGCTGCTAACCTCCTCTAGCTGCACGAGGGGCAGCCCAGTTCGTCACTACCATTAAGACTAGCTGCGTCCGACGGAACGGCAAAGAGACTACGCGTTCGCGTCATCACTCCAGATTCGTCCCAGTCCAACACTGAATCCATTCTCCCAATACCGACGCACGTGTCGACTGACTGCACTCTGAAGCAGTTGAAAGGCCTTGTTCAAGAACATTTGGGTGTCCCCGCCGAGGACGGCGACTGCCCTGCACTATAGTGCAACTGCAGCCTGGCTCGACAGATCGACAACAATGCCGTCTTCAATGTCAACGGATCTGGGGACTACGACCCTCTCCGCACATTTATCCTTGTCCACTCTGACAACATAGTGGTCGCCATCTCAGTCAATAACATGACGCTTAGCACTATTCAGCAGGCAACGAAGGCGTATCTGGAATTCACGCAGAACCAAAACCTGGCCAACAAGCATGTAAATGTCGTCAACGGTGTTGAGGATACAAGTATTCGGACCTCGGGGGACAAGAAATACCTCAAAGCCCCGGTCATGGCCACCTGCTCGAAGCAATGCCATTCTCATCGCCAAGATCGAGAGGAGGATTCTGAAGACGACGAGGACGACGAGAACTCTGCAGCCCAGCGGCATCTAGTCGTCGACGTACACACATCAGAGTGTCCAATCGAGATCACCGCACATAACGCTGACATCACAATCGAAGCTGCTGGGCTGGAAGATTGCGCTGTTAATGGTGTACTCAACATCTACGCCGTACGACGATGGACACTAGGTCGCAGTGAGCGCGCCGATAAAGGCAAAGCTGGCATCTTCAAGAAGTCTGAAGCATGGAGGAAGAACAACGAGACGCCGTGCTTCATATGCTTCATCTTTTGACGCAATTTCCCCCTGCCATACGAGCTGCACATATCTTAATGCACGGCGAGACTCCAGGACTTCCGGAACGTGCTGCGCTGGCACAATGTCTTTACGAAGTCCTGAAGAATGTAGTTCCGCTCCAAATTATCCGCTCCGATCCGAAGCGATTCTTTGAAGGATCTCGTTTGCTATTCGGTCTCATATTGGAGAAAGCCAAACAAATGAAGATTAGCAATGACAATGCCCAGCTATCGTATATCGACATGAAAGTTTACGACCTACGGAACTTGACCACGATGCAGCCCGTATTGTCACAGCCGGTGCAGACAACATCTGGTCTTGTCGATGCGGGGTTCCACGAGGCTTTTGTCGAACGCAGACTTCTATGCTGGACGGATGGAGACAGCTCGAAGAGAACATCGACATTCGACCAAACCTGGGATCGCATTGCTAAAGTGTCTGGCGGTACCAAAACCCAAGTCCTGGTGTTCAACTCCGGTGTCATCAGGTCTAGCTGTCGCTATGTGGACGCTGGTGACGTCAACAGTATCATTTCGCCTGCGGAGTACGTTGATCTCACATATCTGGCCAACCTCTGCAGCCGAAACCAACTGAGCGTCACACCACCTGCCAGCCTAGCTTCTGCCTCTGCTCCCGTTTTGACTCTAGATAGACATGGCTTTCTTGCGGTATACGTGGGCCGTGCTGCTTGTGCTGAGGCAGGGAGAGACATCCTCATGTTTCGACCGGGATGTGCCGAAGAAGAAGAAGCAGCAGTCGATATTTCAATTATCACCCAGTTATTGGAGCCAATTCTCACTCAGCGCAGGGCTGATGGCACCATTGTCTTCGAGGCTTACGGCGATTATTATCGCAAGCTGACAACTCCGGATGAGATAACCATGATATGCGTCGATCTAAGCCGAAGCATGGCTCACCATTGTGGTTTCGTCGATATAGAGCATAGCGAAGATGCCGAGGAAGAGCTTCAACAACAGGTGCGATCGACTACGGATACCGCTCCGCCGCTATCAATCGAGAACCCTGCTTTCGATTTACCCGATTCAGATGAGCTCAAGGAGTACCTAAAATTGCACGAATCGTACGACGACTTCCTTGCTATCGTCAACACAGGCAAAGACGACTACCATCGCCGACAGAACGCCGAGAAGATGCTACAGATCCTCCAGCAGCTGCACGAGCAGTAGATAGACTCCAAACGGAAAGAGCTAGAAGGACTTAGGCAGCGAGCAAGTCAACAGTGGTTTCGCAACCGATCGGAACTCATCGATCGCGAAATGAGCGTTCTCAGCAATCGGTCCTTGCGCTTGCAAATGTATAAGAGCCTGCTCTGTGCATGGCTAATTGTCTGCCTTGGCAATACCGTCGTATCCGACCCGTTGACTTGGAAGCCGGGCGACATCATCCCGAATGTCTACAAAGTGCTTCCTGCCACTGGTCAACCCAGATTCGAGGTGCCGCGAGAATACTGCTGTCCTATCAGCAACGATGTGATGCAGAATCCTGTGATCACGGTCGACAATTACACCTACGAGCGTAAAGAAATTGAACGATGGCTTGGGACTGACGAGCGTTCGCCGTTGACAAACCTGGTTCTTTCCAGCAATGACCTGCGCCCTGAAGTACAGATACAGGAGTACATCACCGCATGTTTGAACTGCTCAGATATCGTGGGAAGACATGTGCAGAGTCCTAGGACACGAGCCTCTTCCCGTACAACCCGTGTCACTTTCAGATCACCACTGGAGACACACTCAATGGATGCGCCATACAATCTGAAGGCGATAGAGCTGTGGGAGATTGCTTTTCGTCTGACCAAAGGTCGCTACCCGAGCTATGAGCTACGTCATCGGAATGCACAGGTCCCGGCTACTTCGGAACCTATCGGAACTATCATAAACGCAGCCCAAGAAGTGTTCATCACACCTCTAGAGCGAAAGCCGTCAACTGACAGTACCAACGTGGAGGAGCTATGCCTCGTCAAGGTATATCGCGGCTCTAGATTTGACGACCCTGTTGTATCATACTGGATACCAAAGCAGACCACGAAATCTGTAGCATCCACAGCTTTCCGATACTACCGCCAGAGGTTCATGGAGAGATCGATGTCCGCCGTGGAGAAACCTTTGGCTTTCTGGACCTGTATGCGAGGTGCTGGCGACAGCAATTGGCGTGGTAAAGGAATACACGACCATTGGGGACGAATCTCATCCTATTTCAATGGGCAAGATTCTACAGGAATACTATCGAACGAGAGCTGCGTGGATAAACTCATTGATGACAAGAATTCAGAGAGCGTCAATCACGAAGACACAGCAGGCAACCGTCCTTTTGTTCTCAAGATGTGTCTACGGAGCGCTTCAAGCTTCAGCAGGAAGCGCGTTTCGCTGACACGCTTAGACGTCGTGAAGCAGATGTTTGATGCCTATATCAATCGTCTACTGGCATACAACTTCCAGACACATCTCGGATTGATCACCTTCAGCACCAGGCCCTCAGTGTCGCAGGAAATCACTGACGCTGTTGAAAACTTCCGCCACAAACTCAACAACATGAAAGCCTCCGGTGACACGGCTATTTGGGATAGTATTGCTCTTGCGCAAGACCAGCTTCTAGAGTACGCAAAGCAGTACCCAGGCGCAAAACTCAGAATCGTCTGTATTTCCGATGGCGTAGACAACCGATCCAAGAACGAAGCTCATGGGCTGCCGTCGAGCCTGTTTCGCAACAACGTGGTAGTCGATTCTTTCTGCCTGGGTAAAGAACATGAGAATACCGACCTGACGGCAGTCTCATATCTGACCGGCGGATATGTCTTTCAACCGATGACTCTCGAGGAAGCCATGGCAATCTGTGAGATGGAGCCTGTGCTTTCGCTATTGGAGCGTCCAGACAAGTCGCTGAAGGGTAATGAGTACTACAACGGGTTTTTCGCGAATCCAGATTTGTATCACTTCTACCTTGCTCGGGAAATGGGTAAGGTCGAAGAGGTGAGCCACGACAAGTTTCCAGAACGCAAAGAACATCCTCAGCTCTCAGAATCGTTCGTTAGGCTGGGCTACTTCGACAGGAGCATATCTGCGAATCGTACAGGCAACAATATGCGCCTGAGCAGGATTCATAATGAGATTCGTAATTCAGGTGCCAAGCCGCATCCGCACTATGATATCTTCATCTGTGAGTCGAACATGGGACTCTGGAAGGTTGTCATGCAAGGTAAGCCACTAAGCCTCTTTCCCTCGAAAACCTTTTAGTCTCGGTACGCGGCTGTACACTAGCGATATTAGGCCTACCAGATAGTACCTACGCTGATGGAACTTTCCTCCTGTACCTGGAAATGGGAGCTGGCTATCCCATGTCGCCACCAGAAGCACGCTTCGTCACACCTATCTATCATCCGAACATCAACCGCCATAGACGCATTTGCCATTCGATTTTGGATCATAACTGGACCCTGGACACTTCCACCAAAGATCTCATCGATACCATCTACTCCCTTCTGCTCGTGCCAGAGTTCAGCGACCCCATCAACACCGTCGTTACACTCGACTATCACTGGGGCGAGGTTCAGTTCCAGGAAGAGGCGCAGCGTCACATTGAGAAGCACGCAAGCAAGAGTAGGGCTGCTTGGTGCAGCGAAATTGTGGGCTAGGCTCGAAGGCGGAAGAGACATGAACGGCACAGCAGAGAACATGGATAAGAACGGATCGAAGAACGTGCGAGTACGTGTAGCAACTGATATCTGATGCAGTGTAGCTATGACATCAAGAGTGGTACTGTCCATCGTTCACTCATGAGTTTTCGAAGTGCTGATGACCATGTTTCGTAGCGAGTATCCACAACACATCTGAACATTCTTGAGGAGACGTAGCACACAAGTAGGGAAGCACCTCATAAAAGAAAGAAGAAAAAACTAAGCAGATCTGCAGACTACCTCAAGATGAAAACACGCAAGGTAGGTGAGCTAACTGTAATGTAGGCTGGAGGGTATTCAGTTTTTTTCTAGGTTGATGTTGAAGTGATGTTGGAGAGAACAGGCCAGCGAGAGTTCGTGTTACACTGGCGTGGCTCAATGAGCAGCCAGCCCCCAGCTTACATTCTGCTCCCCACATCGCATCTACCGACTCACCGTTGAAGCACTCATGTCTTTTATCGCATGAATCCAAAAGCTGACACTTTAGTGAGACGATTTCGTTGCTGCATTGGGCAATGCAGCGTTATAACCGGGCGAATTGGCATCGATCTTCCCGCCCAGCCACTCTCACCAGGGAAGCGAGAGCTAGGGAATATATGCATCACATGTTACGCGAACGAATCTCCTTTCACGATTTTGTTCGAGAGAGGAAGCAGACTCTTTAAAGGCCTTCGTCAACCCGGGTGGGCTCATCGCGAAGCATTGATTGCGCTCTGTGCTTGCATATCCGGCGATATTGGCAGGTCAACAACCATGGATACGGAGGGTACATGAGCTTCGCTATCGCCACTGGTGCAAGCTCGATACCTTTCAGTTCAGTCTTACATCCGCGTTGTCGATGATGGCCCCGCTTTTCTCAATCATTGCGGCTATAGCTCTTTGTGCGACAGCGGTCGCCGCAACATCAATTGAAAACAAGACCTATGAGTACATAGTCGTAGGTTCTGGACCCGGCGGTGGGCCACTTGCATCCAATCTTGCCCGAGCTGGTCACTCAGTGTTACTTCTTGAAGCGGGAGATGACCAGACGGAAAACCTCAATGTGTCGAACTGGGTGAACTTCAATCTAGCCGGCAACGATCCCGTTACAGTAAGTCGAAAGAACATCGTGATGGAAACATGACTAAGAGTTTGCATAGCGCTGGGACTTCTTCGTGAAGCATTCCGATGACGAGGCTAGGGAAGCGAGGTACTTGCATCGAACGTGGCGTAAGTCGGATGGAGGGTTCTACGTCGGCATCGAGCCGCCGACGGGATCTGAAGCTCTTGGGATTGTAATTATGACTTCTTCCGAACGCTCATAGCAGACAATAACTACTAATGCAGTACTATCCGCGCGCGGGCACTCTAGGTGGGTGTGCGATGCACAACGGCTGCTTGACCATGAACCCCAACGATGCAGACTGGGATGAAATTGCAGAGATGACCGAGGACGACTCATGGTCGCATGAGAATATGAGGAAGTATCTCATCAAGCTCGAAAAGGTGCACTACAACAGCACATACAAGCATGGTCACGACGGCTGGCTCGACATGACCATGCTAGACCCAGGTTACACTACCAGTGCGGATGCGAAGCAGCTCAGTGAGCTCGCAGCACAGGCTGCTGGCTACCCAGTCTCCTCCGCTTCGACGTTACTGCAGCGCGATATGAATGGCGCTCAGCCAGATCGAGACCAGCTTGTTGGACCTTTCGGTGGGGTCAGCCACATCAACCCCAACGGACGTCGGTCATCTCCTGGGTACTACGCAAGAGACACAGCTGCTTCTGGTAAATACCCTCTAACCATCTCGCTGGATACACTTGCCACGAAGATCATCTTCGATAAGGTGTCTACAGGACCACCTAGAGCAGTCGGTATCGAGTACTTGCAAGGCAAGAGCTTGTACGGTGCTGATCCTCGTTCCAACGCTGAAGACAAGGGTGTCGCAGGGAAAGCGTTCGCATCTAAAGAAGTCATTATCTCTGGCGGCGCATTCAACTCACCGCAACTGCTCATGCTCTCTGGGATTGGTCCGCTCGATCAACTTACGAAGTTCAACATCTCGCCCGTGGTAGAGTTGCCAGGTGTGGGTAGACAGATGGCCGACAACTATGAGGCTGGTATATTGTCAGTCGGAAAGCGTGCTGTTACTGGCATGTCGGAGATCTTTCCCAACTTCTGGAAGACTTCCACTTCGCAACTGGGAATTCGCGACATCTACATGTGGTGTGGTTCTTTCGCATTCGAAGGCTTCTGGCCAGGGTAAGCATTTACAGCCTTCTCTATACATGCACTAACCATCAATAGCTTTCCAAATCGCCCTCCACACTTCAACGAGACCTACGGCCCAGCACAATACGAGTGCGCAATGGTCCACATGAACCCGCGTTCGCAAGCCGGCACGGTCGAACTTCGATCCGCCAACCCGCGCGATGCGCCTGCCATCAATCTCAACTTCTTCAAAGACGGCGCAGAGGAAGATATCCAAGCCATCTACGAAGGTGTCGAGTGGGTACGTTCCTGGCTGTCAAAAGTGGACCCGTCTGCGCATGATTCGCTAGCACCTTTCGAAGAGCTCCACCCCTGCGAGGGTGTGATAGGGAAGCAAAACTGCACAGTTGAGAGCCAGAAAATGTTCATCAAGGAGCAAGCGTACAGCCATCACGCTAGTAGCAGTTGTAGGATTGGTGCTAATGGAGATAAGTTCGCGGTACTGGATAGCAAGTTCAGGGTGAGGGGAACGAAGGGTCTGCGAGTTGTAGATGCAAGCTCGTTCCCAAAGGTGCCTGGAGGTTTCCCTATACTGCCTACCATGATGATCAGCGAAAAGGCTACCGAAGTTATACTCGCTGGGTTGTAAGGTCGCATACCTACGTAGCTCGCCTGCGCATCCAACGCAGTCAGTAAATTGTTCGCAGACAAACTCAGCTTGTACATGCTCTGATATGGGTCTGTTTGTCCGTGGAAAGTCTGCGGCCAGCATAGACAACAACGTTTAGTCTGCTCAGCCGGAATGCCATAACGTCCCCAAGGTTGGAGATCGCGATCTCGGAGTTCGCAGCCCGCACAGTCGGACCTTCTTGTCCGACCCAGAACGCGACCGCCGTACCTGCCCATGCAGCGTCCTATCGCGTGGACCTACTGCATCGGGATTTTGCGACAATACTCACAGCTTCGATGAATAGGCGATGAGAGAATAGTGCAGCGTCCAAAGATGGTAGCTGTCATACACGCGGTGCATCGTGCCCAGAAGGCAATGTACGTGGAGAAGTGGGGCAGGCTAACCAAGAGAGGCGCGATAGTCCCGCGGCCTCTTCTTATCATGTTGATAACAACGTTCAAAACTCCGAGTAAACAGCTGGGAATAATACAATGCGTTAATGGCTTGATCGATTCGCCAATAGGCCATGATCCGATTCAAAGGGAGATATCTGAGATCGCGCTGCGATGCCGTTAGACCGTTGATCTGCCTCCAGTATATAAGACCCCGCTGGACCCTGATAGCTTTGAGCGATCAACCTTATCCGACCACCCTCACAGCATATCAACACTATGGCGCTCGATCGATTGAAGCAAGCAGCCTCGCACATTACGGGCATTGGAGAAGCTCCACACCCATTTGATCCTTTGAGGGAGTCAGAGATTGAACGCGCAGTCGCTATCATCCGAAAAGAGCACAGTGATGTGTTCTTCAACGCCATCACATTGTTGGAGCCGCGTAAGGCAGAGATGATGAGCTGGTTGAAAGATCCTGAGCACACACCACGACCACATCGAGTTGCCGATGTAGTTTGCATTGGCCGAGGCAGCAAAGTGTATGATGGACATGCAGATTTGACCGAAGGCAAGATCATTGGCTGGGCGCTGACTGATGACGTGCAGCCACTTGTACGTTAGAGAGTGTGTATGCGGTTTAAATTCTGCTGACTTAGATCTAGATCACGATGGAAGACCTGCAGATTGTGGAGACGATTGTGCGGAAAGATCCAAAGGTCATCGAACAATGCGGCTTGATCGGTATTCCACCAGAGGATATGCACAAAGTGTACTGCGATCCTTGGACGATTGGTTATGATGAGCGTTTTGGCACCAAAGTCCGTCTCCAGCAAGCGCTCATGTACTATCGCCCACACCCTGATGATTGCCAATACACGTACCCATTGGATTTCTGCCCAATCTACAACTCCGATACTCAAGAGATCATTCACATCGACGTGCCACCAGTCCGGCGACCGCTCAATCAGGCCCCACCGAACAACTATCACGCGGCAGCCATCGAGGCCGAAGGCGGATTCAAGACCGACTTGAAGCCTATTAACATCACACAGCCAGAAGGAGTCTCGTTCAAGTTGGACGGACGATACATCAGCTGGGCAAATTGGAAGTTTCACATTGGCTTCAACTACCGCGAAGGCTTGGTTCTGTCAAACATAACATTTGACGACAAGGGCACCGTTCGCGATACCTTCTGGCGCCTATCACTCGCAGAGATGGTGGTACCTTATGGCAACCCAGAGCACCCACATCAGCGTAAGCACGCTTTTGATCTAGGAGAATATGGCGGTGGCTACATGACCAACTCACTTAGCCTGGGTTGTGATTGCAAGGGCGCAATTCACTACATGGACGCTGCTTTTGTCAACCGCGCAGGCCAGGCTACTACAATCAAGAATGCTATCTGCATTCATGAGGAAGATGCCGGTATTCTGTTCAAGCACACAGACTTCCGCGACGACAGTGTTACAGTCACTCGTGCTCGCAAACTCATCATCTCACAAATCTTCACAGCTGCAAACTACGAGTACTGCGTGTACTGGATTTTCCACCTCGACGGAACAATTCAGCTGGAGATCAAACTCACGGGGATCTTGAACACCTACGCGATGCTTCCAGGCGAAGATCTGAAGGGTTGGGGAACCGAAGTGTACCCTGGAGTGAATGCACACAACCACCAGCATCTGTTCTGTATGCGCATCGATCCCAATATTGACGGCCCGGAGAATACCGTTTTCATGGTCGACGCGATGCGCGGCGAAGGCGAAGTTGGCAGCGCGGAGAACAAGTACGGCAACGCCTTTTACGCGAAGAAGACGAAGCTCAGCACTCCTGAGCAGGCGGCGACGGACTACAATGGTGCGACAAGCAGAACGTGGGAGATGGCCAACACGAACAAGCTCAACCCATACAGCAAGAAGCCTGCTTCCTACAAACTAGTCAGCAGGGAAGTGCCCGATCTGCTACCAAAGCCTGGAAGTTTGGTATGGAAGCGAGCGGGTTTTGCGAGACATGCGGTACATGTCACGAAGTGTGAGTATCCCCAGAACATTGTGCGCGGAACTGTTAGCTGACCCAACCTAGACGACGACACACAACTCCATCCAGCAGGTCGTCACGTTCCGCAGACTTCTGGCGAGCCGTCTCAAGGCATACCTGCCTGGATCGAAGCCAACCCCAACGAGAACCTCGACAACACCGACGTCGTACTGTGGCACACATTCGGAATCACGCATTTCCCATCACCGGAAGACTTTCCGATTATGCCTGCTGAGCCTATGACGCTGTTGCTACGACCGCGCAACTTCTTCACGCGTAATCCTTGTATGGATATTCCGCCCAGCTATTGCAGCGTTCCGAGTGGTGTCAAGCAGGGAAGTACGCTTGTGGATAAGCTGAGTCGTATGGCGTTTGGAGAGGAGAAGAAACCTGAGAGCGCTGCGCCTTCGACTTGTTGCTCGGACCAGAAATTCGGTGCAGGTGTATAACGAGCTCGTGTCATGTATGTTTAGTGTGTTGTGAATAGAGCAATTTCTTCAGTGAAACGATCATCGCAACTCCCTAAATCTGTGGAATGTGGATGTGCCGCCCAGGCGGACCCTTGCAACGTGTTGCATTGCTCACAGTGTCGGCCACGTGCGGTGACGCAGTCCCACGCGAGCTGTTCGCGGATAGCTCCGCCGGCGGGCCCAAGCTTCTACCGAGTCCGCATCCGACATCTTCTCCCCTCCACAATCACCGGCGCAGATTCCAGTAACGCACAGCAGCAGCAATGATATAGCACCGATATCCCAACGTTCCCAGCACCATCTTCATCTCACCGAGCCTGAGGATGTTCCTGCCGATTTGGACTGCCCACCATCCGAACCCGCAATGCCCCGCGCATTCCCACCCGTAGAGCAAAATGATAAAACGAAACGAGCAAACGTGCCGAGGAGCGCCTTATCAGCCTCTTTAGTTGAGAGCGTAGCCGGTTTCAGCGCTGGCGTTGTCTCCTGTCTCGCCGCCCATCCACTCGATCTGCTGAAGAACCGCCTACAACTCAACACCACAAGTCGATCACGACCTGGCGACTCTTATCGAATCCTTCGAAACGTAATCAGAGATGAAGGAGGCGTACGCGCACTATACAGAGGACTATGGCCGAACCTCCTCGGTAACAGCCTGGGCTGGGGGCTATACTTCCTGTTTTACGGAAACCTGAAAGAGTTGTTTCAAAGTAGAAGGCAGAAGGGCGAGCATCTGGGAAGTGCTGAGTTCTTTTCCGCGAGCATCATAGCTGGTATGTTCAGAGAAAAGAAACTCTCGTGGGTATCGCTAACCATTTGCTAGGCCTCCTTACCGGTGCTTGCACGAATCCTATCTGGGTAGTGAAAACGCGCATGCTCGAGCGCGGCGCGAATCACCCTGCCGCATACAAGTCCATGAAAATTGGCCTCCAACACGTATACGAAACTCGAGGGTTGAAGGGCCTTTGGGCAGGCTTTCTGCCTTCGTCGCTGGGTGTGCTGCACGGCGCAGTACAGTTCAGCATATACGAGAATATGAAGAAGAGAAGGGGGACACATATCGGTGGACAAGATAAGCTGAGTAATTGGGAGTACGTCTATATGAGCGGTGGCAGCAAGCTACTTGCTGGAGCAATCACGTACCCGTACCAGCCTATACGCGCGCGGTTGCAGCAATACAATGCTGCACAACAGTACAATGGACTGGTGGATGTGCTCAGGAAGACGTACCAGAACGAGGGGTTTCTGGCGTTTTACAAGGGGTAAGAAAGCTCCTACGCTCTAGAATGTGAGGGAGAGTTAAGCTAACCTCCACAGTGTCATACCCAACACGCTCCGGGTTATCCCGACCACTGTTGTTACGTTCCTAGTATACGAGAACACGAAACTATATCTACCGAAGATGTTCGCGGATGACGAGCATCAAAGTCACGACGAAGATTAGAGCCACGAATATACGCACACAACTATTATACTGATGCGCGCTCTACTACACGACATTTACTGGTGTCAAGGCCGATGTAGACAAATGAGAATCACACTACTTGACGAACTCGATCCATACAACATGAACAGCTTCATCGGCATACCCCGAAATGAAGGCATCTATTGTTTAGACTGTACCCATATCGGGCAGCTGGTAATTGACATTGCGCAGGAATTGGGTTGTGCCATGATAGCAATCCCTAACATCAGAAGCCACTCACCTATAGCCCTTAGAGTGAATCAGTGTGTATTTGCCACACTCCTCAGTCTACCTGGCTTCGTATGAGTGATTCGATCAGTCTGTCTTAGACTGCATTCGATCAACCGCTTTTCCACGTCAATTACAACCATCACCAAAGCTTACCATAAGGTAGTGAATTTCCAATCACTTGACGTCGAGTAAAGAGCTGCTGAGGTGCTTCACCACAAGCGCCGTTACCAGGCCTCAACCAACACGCAGCCGCAACCAGCCTACAGTGTGTCCACATCGGCGAATCTTCGCAAAGATCAACAGCAATGGCCTCACCAAACAAGCTGCAGCGCAAGCCTTCCATACTCGGGATGGGCAGGAACTCTCGGCCGCACCGTCTCACACCTTCTGCTAACATGCTGCCTTCGACACCCATATCATCCGAATCTCCTGGCTCTCAACCTGAACGTCGTCAAAATGGCCTGCGTAGATTCTTTAGCAAATCTCGCGGGCCAGAGACACAGAACCGAGTGCTCACACCACCCTCGTCATCTCCGGCATCAGCAGCGTCTCCACTAATCATCTTGAGGTTTGCCAAAGCATTTGTAGACGCTATGAACGTTACGCAGCTCTCCAATTTCCTCATCTGGATACTATACTACGAGATCGTTGAGCTGCCGGAAAACCCAGAGGCTTGGTATGCCCTAATCGACAACATGGACATGCGTGGGTGGGTTGCCCTAGGAGAGTTCCTGGCGAAGTCACAAGAATCGGGTGATGGATATGGCTTTGATCTGATTGTGTTGGATTCCATCTGTGATCGAATTCGATTATCACGTCTGACAGTCCACACGTTGCTGATCCGCTTCGCCGATCCAGAGAAGATGAAACACAGCATTCTCGCAACAGTAGGAGGTATACCACCTAGGCACGACGCCACAACGATGAAAGCTCTCGAGACCGCGCAGTCGAAGTTGGATGACTTTTTAATTAGCAAATCATCTAAAGCCACCACAAGGGTCACAGTACGCATCATGGCAGGCTAGCATCCAAGTACGCATGCGTGCATTTCTGGATATGGTGATCGGCCCACGCATTACTCATGTGCGTACAGGTAAGCCGCTTACGACTGTTGCAACCTCGGAGCAGCTCTCGAAGGAGGTTACAGAAGGCATCAGAATGAACTTTCTCTACGAAGCCATGCAACAGGAGCGTAATGTACCATTGAAGCGCTATGGCATTCATCAAGGTCACAACAAACATGGAAACCAGACTCTGCAATCGTCTTCGTCTCCATTGAACGAGAACGAGGTCGAGCGATCACGAAATCATGCTATTGCGCTCATGGCCGAGAATCGTGAATTGCGTTCTGATATCACAATTCTACTGCAGGATAAGGAGAAATTAATCAAAGCAAACGAGAAGCTGGCACAAAAGGCTTCTAAACTCGGTCGCCTATAACCTGCAGGCTATATCCGTTCGCCTCCCTACGACGACTGGCCCGTAGACAAATTAGGCAATGAAAACGCCAACTGCGAACAACTAGTCGCTTCACAAGTCCCACTACGCCCTTCCCGCCCTCGTTCTGTTTCTACCGGCGACATGGAAGCTCTCGCTACAGCTCTCGAACAAGGCCTCAACATCACTAAGCATCATCGTCAGAACTCGGAGATTCTAGCTCAAAAGTATGACGACGTGTTTTCTAGCTTGCAGTCTTCCCCGCTGCCCGCTCTCCGCCTCTCGGCACTCCCAGCGCCATTGACGCCTTCACCTTCATCAGCCAACGGCAGTGCGACTCGACCGATGACTCTAGGGGATGCGCCGAGGAGTGGGAGGCGTAGTGGCATGATCTTCGGTGGAGATAATATGGGGCATCTGGCTGGGGGAGGAACACCAACAGCGGAGGATAGTGATGAGGATGAGGATGGAGGAAGGAGTGGTGGGTATGTACCTGTTACGCCGACGCCGCAGGGGAGGAAGAGATTTGATCTGCTGGAGTAGGGGTGAGATGGGGGAAGATACTAGGGCATGAGCTCTGAGGTGAGCGTATGTACCTGGATCTAGATAGTGTACACCAGGTCATCGGAGAAAGAATGCGATTGTTCGAACACCTTACAGTTCCACCTTGCATTTACTTTAATGAGCATCGTATTGTAGTATAGCGCTCGTCGATGACACCCACTGAATGAACTAAATTTGACGTTTTCTGTCTCCGCGTCTCAGCGCGTACGCGTAGGCGGCGAAAAGCAAGCGTGCAGTAGCACAAGTAAGACCGGCAGTATGAGAAGAACTCGCATATCGCCTGGTCAAAATGTGTTCAGTAGCCAGCCTAAGCCCTTCAGACCTCCTCCTCAATCTCGTCAATGACCTCGTTACCACCATCTAGGTCCTCCTCAACGACACCCTGCATATCGTCTTCCTCAAGCAGCGGCTCAGGCTTGATCTTGGGAGTAGCGGCTGCCTTCTTCTTGGTGACGCGACCGGTCTTGACGGCTATATGTTTGGTCAGTAAAGTGAAGGCAAATTTCAGCGTTTAACACTCACCACCCTTGGTCGGACTAGCACTACCCTTCTTCGCGCGTGTCTTGACAGGGCTCTTCGCAGCACTGTCGCCGCCGCCGGCCTCGTCCTTGAGTGCGGTGGCTGCCTTCTTGAACTTGCGCATACGGTTTTCAAGCGCATCGTAGGTCATCTCGCCGCCGTAGAGAGTAGCGATCTCTCTGATGTTGACCTGGAGGTAGATGCGGGTCAGTGTGCGCGCTTAAGACGGAATGTATTGTGGCAGTAGATGTACCTTGTTGTCGAAGGACGCGAGTGTTGCGATGAACAGACGCTCGAGGACGCCCGGGTCGTTCCAGTTCATAGGCATCTTGGCGACGAGACTGGTAAGTGTTAGTAAGATGGTGTCTTGAGTCGCCCCGGGCGCTTGAGAAGATCATAGGAGCAAATCATAGTAGCAGTGACAACCAGAAAGCGCAGATGGCGGGATTGTGCGCGGCTGTCTCGAGCTGTTGCAGCCACTCTCCAAGGCGCGAGTGCGGTCACTTGGGGGAATGCTGGGCAGGGAAAACTTACTTGTTGAAGATGGCTGGTGAAGCTGGTGTGTGGGATCAGAGTGTCGATGGAGATTGTTGATGTTGTCACTGTTGTTGGGGTGCGAGGGTGTCTGAGAGCAGATTTGAAGGTGGCAGAAGGTTGAAGATATACGGCGGGAAAAGTGAAGGTGACGATAAGACACGGAAGGACGCAACTCAGCCCGCTACTATTCTCCGCCTTCACACCGCTCGCGTACCTCCTACGTGCGAGACGGAGTAAAGGCACGCAAACTTAACGAAATACGACAAGACTGATGCGGAAGGCAGGCTATGGGGCTACAGTTCAACATGACGAGGGGAATATCATGGGTATATTGGCAGGTACCGTGCTCGAGCAGATGTACTCCATATCCAGTACTTCCACATGTCACGAGACGGTGACTAGTCCGGTCTGGTCGAACGCAAACTCTGGGTATCGAAATTACATCAAGCCTTGGTCTTGGCTGCCTTTGCATCCTCGCGCGCTTTTTTGTCCTTTTTACCTTCGGCTTTATGCCGCTTGGCCTCCTCTCTTGGGTCGATGACCAACAACTCTTCCTCGTTTTTCCGCTTCCACTCCAAGTCTTTCCCTAGTCTGTCTTTTGCAAAACTAAGCGAATGCGACATCCACCCTGCATCGTCATCCGACTCCTCCTCATCCTGCTTGTCCCAAGCTTTACATGACTGGCATCCTACTATGAAGTGTAGATCACATGCACCTTCGTCTTCTTCGTCGGCTTCATTCGCATGTCCATTGCTTTGGTTGCTCGGTGTTTCTTCTGGTAATGTTGGGGTGGCCATCTTCGGGGCGGCGGTGGAATCTGCCGAGTCCAGCTTTGATTTGAACCGGTTGAGAATGTCCAGTGCCGACTGTTCGTCCTTTGCATTGCCGCCTGCTCCGCGTTTCCGTCCCCGTGTTGTAGTTGACGGTACCATTGACTCCAGTAGCGACTTCTTCTTGGCAGGCCCTGTATCTTGGGCAGCTGTGTTCCGCTTCATAGATGCCTTGAGGTCGGCGATTTGTTGGTTGACACGATCTAGCTTCAATCGCTTTTCGGACTCGGGCGAGAGTTCTCGTGGTGGGGTTCGGGCTTTGGGTTTGGGCGGTGATTTGGGAGCGGCTTTTTGGGCGGGTTTGGGCGATGGCGATGGTGGCGGTGACTTTCGCGACGGTTTGCGTATAGGTATCTCTCTCGTCTCCTCGGGTGCTTTCGACGCAGGCTTCTCGTCCCCCGCGCTGACTAGCTTGGTGTTGAACTTGGGCTTCTTCGCGACAGGTGCCGCGTCAGCCTCGGCTTCATCGCCAAAGCTGAGCACGTTCTTGCCAGCCTTCCTCTTCGGCTTCTTTGCCTTCTTGGTCTCGGACTCTGTCGTTGTAGCCACCTGCACCCTCTTGACCATGTCCTCAAACGGGTTTATGATGATCTCGGCGCCCGTGACCTTGGTGGGGTACATGGGCTGGTCTACGCTCCCGTCCCGTATCTCGGCCTCGGCCATCTTCATTAGGTTGTAGATGGTGTCGCCTGCGACCCTGCCGAACATGGTGTTCTTGCCCTGCAGCTCTGGTGTGGCTGCCAGGGTAAAGAAGAACTGGCTGCCATTGTCGTCCGTCTTGCCCGTATTGGCCATGCCCAGCAGTCCGCGTCGCGTGTACTTCAGCCGGCTGTGGAACTCGTCGGCGAAGGGCTCGCCATCGTAGCTGCTCTCTCCGCCCTGCCCCGTGCCCGTGGGGTCTCCGCCCTGGATGATGAAGCCCTTGACCAGGCGGTGGAAGACGGTGTTGTCGTAGTAGCCATCGAGACACAGCTGCAGGAAGTTGCGCGAGGTGATGGGCGTCTGCTTGGCGAAGAGCTCGATCTCGAGATCGCCCGTAGTGGTGTGCAGGACGACTTTGGCCGTCGGGTTCGGTTCGAGGTTGTACGTCGTGGCCATGTCAGCGACGGAGGTCCGTTATCGAGGTGCGTTATCAGGGCCGTTATCAGGATGCGCCGTGGTTGCACCCGTGGAGGGTTCGCGAAGTCGCGTCCCAACTCTATCGCGAAAATGTTGGCCAGTGAGCGCTGAGCTGCCCTGCACGGGCCTCGGCAAACGTGCCCCGACGTCATCTTGGCTTCTCACCCACCATGCACCTCCGCCTGCATAGTCTCACTTAACTTTCCGCCTCCCGACACAGGACCGATGCCTTACATATAATACCGCTGTTGCTCAACTCTCACCGCTTCTGGTCCTCCTCCTCTGCCTTCTGGGTCTGAATTTGCGTCGGCTTGGCAGTTGGCACCATGTTGCCCTACATCAACGCACGTACGTGTTGGCGAACTCAGCCACTACTACCAATACTGACCATGGTGTAGCTTTCGAATATGTGGCTGGTGCACTTGGGAATTCGGCTGATGAGCGTAAGACCTCGCAAAGCACATGTGGCTGACGTTCTGCTGATCCCACCCAGTCAAGCTTATTTTCTCCTTCTATCTGTCGTATCCTCTAGCTGCTGTGTTGAAGAGAATTCCCGACAAGGACCCATGGAAGAAGAATGTCTTCGTCATCACGTGAGGCTCCTCGCGACTTGTATCGGATGGATTGATGTTAATAACCCCAGTGTGTCCATGTTCTACCTAGTTGGACTTTTCGACTTGTGGACCGGCCTACGGACTATCTTCATCAGTGCTGGCGGCGCCTATCTCATCTCCTCTAAAATCCATTCGCCGTACATGCCATGGATTGGATTCGTTTTTCTCATGGGCCACATGTCGGTGAACCACATCTACCGACAAGCTGTGAATGACCCATCCGTCTTTGACATCACCGGAGCTCAAATGGTCCTGGTCATGAAGCTGACTGCTTTCTGCTGGAACGTCCAAGATGGCCGCCTTCCGGACTCTGAGCTATCCGAACAACAGCGAGCCCACGCTATCCGGACGATGCCCAGTCTTCTCGACTACATAGGCTATGTCTTTTTCTTTCCTGCACTTATGGCTGGCCCGGCCTTTGACTACGCCGACTATAGCCAGTACATCACTACGACCATGTTCACCCTTCCACCAGGTACGGATCCGTCCAAGGCACCCCCAACGCGCAAGAAGCGGAAGATTCCTCGCAGCGGTATGCCTGCCGTCATCAAAGGAGTATATGGTACTCTCTGGCTGGTCGCGTTTATCAAATTCTCCAGCTGGTACTACCCTGATTTCTACCTTGGGGACGAATACATGCAGTACAACTTTTTCCGCAGGATCTGGCAGCTCTACATGCTTGGTCTTACCACACGTATGAAGTACTACGCAGTTTGGAGTCTATCTGAGGGATCGTGCATCCTCTCCGGAATCGGCTACAATGGTCTTGACCCCAAGACTGGTCGACCCAAGTGGGATCGTCTCACCAACATCAAGCCACTCGAGATTGAGGCCGCGCAGAATGCTCGTGCTTATCTTGGTTTCTGGAATATCAACACCAACACCTGGCTGAAGAACTACATGTATCTTCGGGTAACGCCAAAGGGACAGAAACCAGGCTTCCGGGCTACGCTAGCCACATTTGTGACCAGTGCTTTCTGGCACGGCTTCTACCCTGGCTATTACATGGCATTCATTCTAGCAGCTTTTGTACAAACTGCTGCGAAGAGTAGGTCGCCGATGATGCGCTATGTGCATTCCATGCTGACACTCACCAGATGGCCGCCGATTGATTCGTCCGCTGTTCATGACGATAGACGGGAAGTCACCTCTACCTTCGAAGCGATACTACGACCTCTTCACTGTCGTCCTTACACAGACTGTGTTTGCGTTTGTAGTAGCTCCCTTCATTCTTCTTGGTTTCTCGGATACTATCAAGATTTGGGCAAGGGTTTACTTCTACACTCTTATCGGCGTAGCTGGATCCTTTGCTGTCTTTTCGCGGTCGTTTCCCATCCGCAAGCAGCTCGTTCAACTTCAGACGGCTCGTGCGCCCCCAGTGGCAGCCAACACATATGACGATCCTGCCATCGAGAAGGCAGCACGGGAGGAAATTCGACGAGAAAGGCTAGCGAGGACTAACTCGGCAGACAGTGTTACCAGTCATGCCAAGATGCCTCTCCTGGGTATTGCGGATGACCCCGAAGCGGAGATTGACGAGATCGTAGCCGAAGTCAAGGCTGAGATCGAGCAAAGGAAGAGGAGGGGTAGTGTGATGCAAGGATTTGATCTCAAGCAAGCCGTGCAAGACAAGCTGAAGCAGTTCAACAAAAAGGAGTAGAGCATGATACACTAGTGGCGATGCTCCAGTAGCAGTTGCAGGTGCGTCTTTGAGGTATAGGGATGGGAAACAGGCCGGTTTGGGGTTGAGCCGTTCAATATAGCCTGAATACATACTCAGTCGCAAGAGGCGTTGCGGACTTGGTTCCGAACCTTCCCGCCATTCACCGGATTTATCACAGGCCTTTGTGCACGTTTGTCGCTTCAGCCCAACGTCAATACTTCGGGCAAATCATACCGCCCAGTTCAATCGTTCAACCCAGCGCGAGCTGTCGGCGACCACAGACATTGTCCGCTCGTGTCGGAGCTAGCGGGTGTCTTGCGTGCTAAATGTGGCGCAAACTCTATTGCCATGTGGTCGCTCGGTAACGCCGGACTTTTGACACCGACGCCGCATCACTCCAGCGCCGCTCACAAAGTTTGCGGCACCTTTTAGCTTCGGGCGTCAAGAGGCTCCTGTCACCGAAAGTTACTTTGAACTACCGAAATTCCATGGAGAATATGATCATCGCATCGTCGCGTGGTCGCACAAGTGCATGCGATTTCAGAATTCGAGGCTAACAGCCTAGAACGCGAGATCCAATGATTGCATGATCGGACCGACGAATCGTATAATCGATCGCGCATCCCGCAGGTCTGAGACTTCCTAGACGCACATCTGCACGGAGCGCCCGTCGCCTCATGTTGATGACTTGACTCCCTCCTTCAGGTCGCAACGCTCACATGCCGCGTGGTCATTTCCGGGACCCAGGTATCTGGAGGGTCTATCCCAGTTCAGCCCGCTAGACGATCGTGTTCTCTCAAGCTTCTTCGTCTCTGCTTGAACGCTTGGCTGGAATTCGTTGCCGGATGTGCAGCTAACGGTGCCGCTTCCTCCTACAGGCTTAACGCTCGAGCAATGCATCCATACCCATTACTAGACATATCGCAGCATGTGTGGCGTTTTCGCCATGCTAGCCTGATCCGACTCCACTTCCCGACGACATGCTTCTAGTGTACCGATTCCAAACACACCATGTCGCGTGTCGAGTAGTCGATCTAGCATCCCATCACTACCATTCTTCGTTCCCGCCCCAGTGTACGGCGAATACCGAGATGATGGACTGCAGGCATTGGGTATGATCGGGGCCGTGTACGAAGTGCCGGAGCTGATCCTTCTTCATGGTTCCCATCCCCACAACCCACAACCTCTCTGCTTTTCCCTACGATCGTCGCATGCACGCTCAGTACGCATGACTGCATACTTTCTCGGGTTCATACGAATTGGTGGTCCTCCAGACTGACCGCACCGAGATGGGTGTGCCGGATAATGGCCCTGTAATTGCTGGAGTAACATGGATGTTGACGGTATTGAGTGGTGGATTTCTGGCTTTGAGATTCTACGCGAAATTATCGAGGAAGCAAGGTCTTTGGTGGGATGATCACATCCTGACAGTCTCATGGGTAAGTCTTCATCTTCCGTCCGCATGATGTCTCTAACGGGAATGAACAGATCCTCCTTCTCGCGCAGGCCATCATCACCCAAGCTGGACAACAACTAGGATTCGGAAAACGACTGGAAGATGTCGACCCTAAATACCTCATGACCATCGCAGTCGGAATGTCCGTCGCCGCATCAATCTCCTGTTTCGCCTCCACTTTCTCAAAGATATCGTTCGGCGTCACTCTCCTCCGCCTCACGTCCGGGTACCTGCGCGGGTTCGTATGGTTCTGCATTGTCACCCTCTTCCTCATAATGCTGCCAAGTGCACTGGCTACGTGGGTCCAGTGCCAGCCGATGGCGAAAGCTTGGAACAAAGATCTGCCTGGGACATGCTGGGACTCTAGCCACTCAATCGATTATGGCATTTTCAACGCTGCGTGGTGCGCTGCGGCAGACTTTGCACTAGCGCTGCTTCCATGGTATCTGATATGGGGTTTACAACTGAAGCTACGTGAGAAGATCGGAGTGGGCATCGCCATGAGCATGGGCGTATTGTAAGTATCTTCAACCATACGCGACTAACGAGCAACAATACTAACATTCCTCCCCAGATCCGGCGTGTGCGCCATCGTAAAAGGTGTCTACGTAATCCAACTCGGCCAAAAAGACTTCTCCTACAACGGCAAGGAACTCACAATCTGGACCGGCGTCGAAACAGCAACCGCCATCATCGCCGCTTCCATTCCCGTCCTCCGCGTCTTCTTCAAGGAAACCATATCTTCCTACTCGCGCTCACACACCAAGACGAATCAAAGCGTCCCGCTGTCCCGATTGAATCAAAGCCAACACTCTACCACGACAACTACCGTACATGCGATGGGCAAAGGCAAAGAGGGGCGCTGGACGGTGATTGAGGATAATGGGGATGACTGGAGTCAGAGGGGTATATTGGAGGATGAAGAGATAGGACGGAGTCGACGGAATACGGTGTATGAGGATGATCAAATCATGACGACGAATACTGTTACGGTCACGATTGAGAGTGATGCGCGGTCGATGTCTGATCAGAAGGCAAGGTCTTTTCTGGGAATAGCCCATTGATATATCTTTTAATGAACTTTATGGCAACCACATCTCAAAATCACTCTAAAGACCTAGGAAGCACGTTAGCACTGGGCTGCAGAGGCGTGGGCAGGGAGATGGATGGTCTCACGACTAACAGTGATCGCTCCGTGGTACCCCAATAAGGCTTTGAGCCATTACGAAAAGCGATACGTAAAAGATGCACATCACCTATTTCATCAAGTTCATCTCGTGATATTACATTGAAGCAGACGAGACAGTCACCATTTATGGAGTTATACCATCAGATTGTCTCAACTAAGCAGTATCGCGGTGTAAGAACCTATACTACTTCGTATAGCAGCGCCATCAGGTCATCACTTATTCACCATGCATTTGGGGCTAGACTTGATTTCCATCAGTGTCATTTGGTATCTACGGTCTTCATTGGAAACCGTCGTCCTTGAAGTTCTCTGCAACCAGCCGATGCCGGCGCCATGTGTATACCCCTTAGTCATCGCCATATCCCCTCCCATGGTGTCCTCCTTTCTTGTCTTCCGTCGTACCTAGCCATATTCTTCTCACTCCACAAGCCTGCCTCCTGCGTCGCTGATCATATCGTCCTGGCTAGTCGTCAATGACCATCGGTTCGTCCGCGTTGGCACCATAGAGGATGTTGGTGGAGGATTGACTAGACTTTTGTGATGGCTTGTTCTTCACCCATCGATGTCGCAATTCCCAGGTCATCTTCTTCTCTAAAGCGCGGGAATAGCGATCAACTCCAGTAGCCACCTCCCCAAGAGCGGCTACGCGAAGGTGATTAAACGAATGCACCTTTTGGTCATCGGACAACACGGTGGCTAGGGCCTCACCCTCAGCAAGTCGGAGAAGAAACACATCGTGCGCAGTTTGGGTCATCCGGGGCTCTGCTGCGTTGTAGTCGAAGTCGTCATGCACATCGCGTAAAGGCTCATACATCTCGTACTCGTGATCCTTCACGAATTTCGCGACTGGGGCCCATAGCTTGTTGGAGATCGTGCGGTCATCTTCTTCCTGGCGCTGCAGGACTTGGGACCATATACCAGGCAGCTCGGCAGCAGTGGCCTCCAGCCAAGCTTTCATGAGTTGGTCGTCGTCCATACCGGAAAGGTCCAATTGGTGGCGTGAGTCAATGCGCGATGCTTGCTCGAAGAACCATGACGGTACAGTCTGCTTGGGCCAGAAGATGTTGTATCGTGAGAGGTAGAGCCATATCGCTAGTGCATATGGCGCCTCATGGACACACCCTCGCTGCTGATCCAGGAAACCGCGGAAGGACTTGTAGATAATGAGTCCGGAGTAGTCATCGCATATACAGACTGTATTGACACCATGCCAATCTTCGGGACAGCCGTAATACCTGTCTACGAACCTGTCCTTGGTCATTGGAAGACCTGCGGGTACGGCCCAGCCTGCATCAGCGAATCGCTGGAACCATCGAAGCAAGGTCTGCGGACGCATAGGGTACTGAAGGCTCTGTGCTTGATACACACCAGCCGACGAGGTCGTCTGTCCAGCCAGATCCTCTCCGACGTGTTGAGCCAAGGTCGTCAGTGTCTGGTTTGACCTCTTGAGGAGCTCATTCTCGGCCTTTAGGAAACCAATGAGCTTTGCAGCTGTGCCGGAGGAAGCGCGCTCTAGATCGGCTCTGACACTGTCGACGAACTGACTGTCGGTGGTTGTATCATTCCAGTCCTTGAGCTGGTCATCAATTGGCTTGCTCGTGCGGGTCCACTGTTCCCAAGCCTTGGTCACTGCTTCCCGCTTGAGGAGAGTAGTGTCATGTTGGGTGCTTGTGTTGCCAGGCACGCTGAGGTCATCGCGGGAAAATGTAGGGTTGAGGGTTTCAGCGCTGGTAGGTCTGTTCTCGGAGACGTCGCGAGAGGCTGTATCGCCGGGGATGTTCGAAGCAGCGGTCATCTCGCTGTCGTCTTCCTGGGTAGGCGCAATTTTTCGGACGCTGAGATCCGCCATGGCTTTGTAGAGTGCGGTGGTGGAGATGCGAAGAGATATGGTGCAGGACCAGCGCTGACCTTTATCACTTTGGCAGCCTAGGTTATGTAAACAGAGGTGAGAGCAGAGATTGATACCCGCAGTGACGGAGCGGCAACACTAGCTGACGTCAATGTCGACTGAAAGCCCTCTCACCTTGAGTTTTTACGTCACAAACCAACGCATAATTCCTCGGTGACAGCTTTGCAGACTATTGAATACTATCAGTCACACCCGAAGCTGCACGCCCAGTCTCGTGTTGAGCCAGGGTTGTACATTACAGGCTCCAAAGGTTCTCTTGACACATATCGTTGCAGTCATAGAGCAAGCCGTACTGCTCGAGATCTCCCACAATCAGGTGAGAGAATCTCGAATTGACCCAGGTTTAGTTCTTTCCGCATTGACAAGATTGCACGTATGGGAAACGAGTGGGGACCCCAAAACGCATACAGAGGAGGTTACATATGCGGCTAGTCAAATACTGGGTCTAGACCAAAAACAATGTGTACATCTAGAATGGAGTTCACGCGTTCAAACACGACTCACGATTTGAGCACATTCTCCACGGTGTCATATGCATCGTGGCTGTCGGAGTGATAAGTCATTTGTGATCTGCAAGGCTCGACAGACCAGTGACACTATTATGGCTCCGCAGTTCTGTCTGGGTTGCGACTGCTACCGAGCATGCGAGCCCGCTTTACCACCCAGTGAACGAAACGCCCCCAAAGACGTGGGGTGCCATGTTTCCCGTCTTCTGACATCTCGTATGTCTTGGACTACAATGTTCCAGCGTTCGCTCTTGCCTCGGTAGGTGAGTATGGCTTCCAGCGTTGACACTGAGCATATCTAAGCAGCAATTACAACAACCGGGAAGCCACGCACCTTCACTCAAGTGCCCTTCGCGCGACCGGCACCTCCAGCAAAGTCTCTGCCCCTAACATGCGGCGCTCACACCACGGGTCCGTTGCGATGGCGCCAAGACAACACATACCATACTCACTGCGACGTATGCTAATTGTCGTCAAGACGGACTACAGCTCCCGCCTAAACCGCAATGCACGGAAAGATCAAGCGCTGAAGCTGACCCTTCGTCAACTAACCTACCGCAAACAGGCTTTGGAGGAAGCTGCAGACCGACGGAGGGGATGTTGCCCGCACTGTAACGGAGGCCCTGCTGGCCTCACGCAGTACGCACGACCTCCACACATATTGCAAACCTATGCTGACTCCTCACAGAATCGGCTACAAAGTACAAGGAACGCCTTAAGACGACCCTTCATGACCTACTTGACTATAAAGACAGAGTGACTACTCTGACGGCTACGAACGATGAGCTTCGAGCCCAGCTGCGGCGAGCTGGCGAGACTGCCGAGACCGACAAGGCAACATCAGGCCGAGATCTTGCAGATGAGCAGTAGCAGAGTTTCGAGTTGACGACTGCAAGGCGCGAACTCCAAGCCCAGCTGCAGCTGTCCAGACCTGGCGGTATAGCGATCTGCTATCAAGAAACAACAGTCTCGTCACCTGGTGTTGCAGTTTCGCCCGGCAGATAGCACGAGCTCAGCGCACCTTTTTTCCCCTAGCCCACGACTGCCTTCGGATTTTGGGTGGGCGTCGAGGGCTTCTGAGTGAGCTAGCCTTGGTCAACGCCAAGTATAGCAACCTTTCCGCTCGGCACACGCAGATTCTGACCACCGCACTTGGTCACATGGGAGAAATCAAGACAGCCGAGATCTGTAGTGATGGATTTACTAGTACCGACAAAAGGCTTGTCGCTTGAAATGTGGCGTTTGCGGACCGCATCACGCTTCTCCGCTCGACTTTGGACCAGCTAGCTGGTAATTGACTCCGAATACTGGGCTCTTGTCGAGGCCTGCTCGTACGAGTACAACAGCAGGCAACTGAGATCGACACGGTCACTGGCATCAATCGGGTGCTCACGGCCTTTTGTAGGACACAACGGCAGAAGATTACAGTGCTTCGCTCCACTGTCGGCAATGTCCTAGGCTCTCACCGAAGTCTGAATGCAACGGTACAGAAGCGAAAGACCTGGATTGATGATCTCACTGGCCTCAACCGGATACTTGTAGGATGGACCGTTCAGCTCGGGCGGCGGATTGCGCTTCTGCAAACAACGCTTCACGACATCGCCACGAACCCTAACCGCAGCACGAACGACCGCAGGCACTTGCATACTAAGGTGCAGCGTCTGGAAGACCGCATTGAGACCTTGAGGACTCGGAATACGAGGCCGGACGACTGCAACGTGAGCCTCGTGGGCATGAATGCGACTCTGGCACACTGGAACGTCACTTTCGCCCGCGAGATTTACCTCCTCCATGAGACCATTGATGCCTTCTCAAGGAACTACGAACGACTAAGGAAGGCTCTTCGCGGAGTCTATATTAGGCTGTGCGTTGTGAAGTCCTTGCTTAACGGGTTATTCGCATGGCCTTCAATGCACTTGGGGCCCACAAGCCTTATCCAGCACCACCTACTGCCACGGCTAACGACGTCGGACAAGCGTATGCACGATATCAGATGGCCTACAACTCACTTGCACGGCATATACGCAAAGTGTTGGGGTTATGGAGACGCAGCGCGGAAGAGCCAGACAGCAGCCTGCGCTCTGAGCGGCAGACAACCGAAAACCTCAGGCATAAGATCAGCCAGTTACAGGAACACATTCAGCTGCTGGAGGTTGTTGGCAACGCCGTCGTGCAGCGACGCCGCGAGGATGTCAACACGTTCCAACGGGCAATCGAGGATAAACGTGACTATATCGTCTGATCGGAGACGAAGATGGCCGTACTGAATGGAGTGGAAACCGGGACAGAAGCCGCGGTAGTGCACCTTCCGTCGCTCACTGAAGTGGACGACGATGATCTCTAGATGCGGCGATTGTACGTAGACCAAGATATTATCGTTTGAGAGTGCTGGCAATACTCATGTCTAGAGTGAGCCCATATACGCGATGTGGAGTTAGACCACGCCTACAACATGCAAGATGCATACATTGTGATATCTTAGTTGAGTTTGTTTCATCCACTTCGTCCCATGGTACCGCAACGACGCGGGACAGACAAGTTACTCGCGACGTCCGGAATCCACAACACACCCATTCAGTCAGGTTCGCTTGGATAAGGAGTAGCGCCAACACAAGAACATGCAATTTACATCAGATACATCGTCCCGTGCCAGGCCAACACATAGCAAGCACCATCAGTATTGTCCCTCGACTGTCACACATGTAGGGTCTACACACCCTTCAAACAATCATCGATCATTGCAGCCACCTGCAGACACTCTTCATCACGCATCTTGTTCGTGAAGACCTGTATCGCAGTCGGTGCACCGTCCACAACCTCGGACTCATCTGCGCATTGCACACATTAGCCTACGTCTCAGGCACAGTACGAAGAGTCAAGACGGCGACTTACAACTCGGGCCTACTTGGCCAGGGCCCATGACAAAGGGCTCAGCATCCAGAGCGCTTGAGGCTTTACCAAAAGGAAGTACGCATGCGGGATACTGACTTCACGTTAGCAATGTCCTGTACAGCCACTTTCAAGCGCATGAGCATGACTTACATCCAATACGTTCAACAGCAACGTATACGGCGGTAACCCGTATGTGTCGTGCGCGACCGCAGTGTTCTGTGCAGCCGGTCCGATTACCCCGTCCAATTTCTGCTCCTTCCAAATCTTCCTCCACTCATCTTGAATGGCGTCCCTCTTAACATTGAGCGCAGCAACCTTCTTGATACCTTCCAACCCTTTGAGATCGTCTAGGAACTTCGATTTAAACGAGTGAAAGACGCCCATAGACTGAATAACCGAAGGAACAACAGGCTCACCACTAGCGGCTACATGCGTCGGAGGAGTATCGTCAAGCCCAAAGTAGGCAAACGCGAGGACTAGCGCATTGGCGACCTGAGCGCGCGCCGGCGCGATAGGAACCACCTCGTGGCCCTTTGCTTCGAGCGCGCTGACAGCTTGGGCTAGCGCTCTTTTAACCGGCGGATGCAAGGGGAACGCTGAGTCCTCGGCCAAAAGACCAAGTCTTAGCTTCGGCGCGCTCGGCGGTACTCCCAGGTCTCTCCACGGAACGTCAAGAGCGGTGGTGTCGTACAAGGCCGGTCTCTTTGATAAGACTGACCGGCATAGTATGCCCAGAGCTTGCATGTCGTTTGCTAAGGGACCAGCGGACGGGTTGAAGAAGTTGTTGCCAGCGGAGACGGGGGACATTTGGCCGCCATCTGGTATGCGCGCAGTAGAGGGCTTGAAGCCGTAGGTGCCACAGCAGAGAGCGGGTATGCGGATCGACCCTGGTGTAGATCAGCAAGTCTGATCGCTACAACTTCAACGACATGTACTGACCTGCAATGTCTGTTCCAATACCAAGAGGAGATCCTCGGAACCCAACGAGTGCACCTTCGCCTCCGCTTGACCCTCCTGCTGTGAGGGCAGTGTTGTGAGGGTTCAGAGTACGTCCGAAGATGTTGTTCTGTGAGTCGGCCGTCTATGTTTTATCAGTTCATGGTCAATGTTAATGCCAAGGCGGGATGATGCACTCACCATCATCGTCTGAGGGATGTTGGTCTTGACATATATGACTGCACCCAGCTCAAGCAGAATATCCACAAGCGGTGAGTTCTCCTTAGATGCGGCACGATCCAAGAACGAAACAAATCCAATCGTGGCTGCCGAGCCAGTGACCTGGAAAGCGTCTTTGATACTGATGGGTAGACCGTGGAGGGGGCCTACGATACGGCCGCTAGCTCTTTCACTGTCTAGGAAGCGTGCCCGCTCCTGTGCTTCAGTGAAGTATGTCTCTGTGAGGCAAGACAGCTATAACACAACTTTAGTAGCTTGACCTTCATGCTAGAGTGAGACATACGTACCAGCTGCTGTGCCATAGCTGCTCTCTTCGAGAACGCTATGGTAACCTCCAGTGACGACAGGGCACCATCCTCCAGCTGCTTCAACAGCTCCTCAACGGTATACTTCTCGGTAATCTCCAGTTCCTTCTCGCTCAACAGTCCCGACTTTCGTGCAATGCCCATTTTCATCAGAAGATTTGGATGCTCCGAAAGCGGCATTTGAAGCACGTCCGTGACTGATGCTGGAAGAAGCCATTCTTTTGGAATCTTCTCGCGACTGGACTGCTGCTTCGCAGCAACCTTACTCTCCCATGAAGTGGAAGCCATGTTTGCTGAACGAAGGGAATTGCTAAGTCTCGGAAAGATTCGAGTTCCAACGATACGGACTGAACGCGTAATATTGGTAATGACCAGCATTCGGAGATGCTAAGATATGTATATGATTGGAATGCTCAGGTGCCGTAGTATCTAACCGTAGCTGAATAATGCGGGGTCTAGATTTTGTCCGCATGATGGCGAGATAAAGTGTTGATATCTCGCCGTGTCGGAGCAACATTTCGTTTCGTGTCTGAGCGGCAGATGTTAGCGCGACACTACCCCACAGCCGCCAGCGCCAAGCCGGTGGGTTATTTAATTCGCAATTCGCCCAATTCGCCCCGGTCGCTTGCGGAAACACGCAATCCGGGGTTCAAGATAGGGATGCGCAGATAACGTGCAGAACACAGCTGACACTGCCTCAGCGGTCGCTGTGGTATATATACGCACGAAGCTCTGGGTTACAGTGGGGAAAATATTCACGCAACAAGCTCCATGCCTGTGATAGACAACCTCTTCAACGCGATTATCTTTGTTTCGTACCCTCCTGAGAGCGATGGCCGACAACAATGGCTCCAGACCGGATGATGGCACCTTCTGGGCTCCGGGAACGCTACGACTAGAGGATTGTAAGGCTCGCATCTGCCGCTGTAAAGACCGCACACTGACTGTCCCTCCGCAGTGACGGGGCCCGCAACGGACGTCATACTCCACCCAGTGCCTAGCACCGAACCAGATGACCCCTTGAACTGGAGCAAATTGCGCAAAGCCATCAACTTCGGCCTGACCGGCTTCTTCGTCCTTTGGACCTTTGTACAGCTCCAGAGCGGCACGACATCATGGGGCGCCCTGGTGCCTGAACTGGGCTTCAGCAACGATCAGCTGAACAATGGGAGCGCTATGAGTTGTGCTGGGCTTGCAGTCGGCTGCATGATCTTCATGCCATTCGTACACAAGTATGGGCGACGACCTCTGTACCTGCTCAGCTCTGCGTTCCAGTTGAGTGGGGTGTTGTGGCAGACCCAAATGTCAAACTATGGTGACTATTTGGGCAGCAACTTCCTTGCTGGACTGGGCGGTGCTATTAGCGAGGCTGTAATCCAGATCACCATTGCCGATCTGTTCTTCGTCCATCAACATGGAACTATGAACGCATGGTACCTCGTCTTCACGTCCGTGGGTGCCTCCCTCGGCCCGGTAGCCGCCGGCTTCGTTGTGGAGTCGCAGGGCTGGAGATGGATCTGGTGGTGGTGCACGATCTTCCTCGGTCTGAATTTTGTCCTCGTCCTGTTCTTCTTCGAAGAGTCAAAGTATGTCCCCATTCTCAATGGTCAGAGCGTGCCACATACGGCTGCCATCTTTGGCTCGGATGGACTCGAGGACGGCCGTCCCGATTCAGGCCTGCAAAAGGCTGCAGACGGCAAAGGTGACGCAAAGCACACCGCTATGGAGCGCATACAATCCAGAATCGACACGTCCTTGCCACGGAAGACATATCGTCAGCGTATGGCCCTCGTCACCCCTTCCAATCAACGAATCAGCCACCACTTCTACCAGCCGATCATTGTGTTGTTCACTTTCCCTGCCGTGAGCTATGCTGCACTCACTTACGGGACCCTGCTGGCGTGCATGGCATTGATGAGTTCGCTACAGGCCGTCTACCTGCTGCAACCACCGTACAATTTTGGGCCCTCTGGCGTCGGACTCATGAATATCGCTCCGTTCGCTGGCACGTTCTTTGGGTTCTTCGCTGGTGGTTACCTGAATGACAGATCGATCATGTGGTTCGCCAGGCGGAACCGAGGTATCTACGAACCAGAGATGCGCCTGTGGATTACTCTTATATCAGCAATTCTGCTCCCAGGCGGTATCCTGATGTTCGGGCTAGCCTTAGCTAGGGTATGTTGGTAGCACCTGGCTGTCACCGTCGTTCACTAATCGCTTCTTAGGGTCTGCACTGGATGATCCTGGCCGTGGGGTTCGGATTGTTTGGCTTCACATTTGTCCTAGCTAGTGGTGTCGCGCTATCCTACGTGACAGATTGTTATCAAGAGGTGAGTCGCCAGCGCCCAGCCTCTTCAAAGCAGAGCTCCCACTGACATAACAACCTTTAGATTCTCGGAGATGCTATGATAGGCATCGTCTTTGTCCGGAACCTATTCGCCGTCATAATCCTCTTCGCGCTCACGCCTTGGACGAACGATATGGGCATACAGAACGTCTCTATCATCACGGCGGCTGTCTGCTTTGCAATCTTGCTTATCCCCGTCCCTTTGCTATTGTGGGGCAAGAAGATCAGGGTCGCGACGGCGAAGAAATACAAGCGCATGGCAATGCGACAACCAGCCCATAGAACAATTGAGTAGTGCTCATGATGGGTCTCGCATCGCGGCGCTGCTCTTGGAAGAAGTGGAGCGGTTAGAGTGTATGTTCCTGCACACACGACTTCGTATAGTCTTTCCATCACACCCCGATGCTTCCGACCAACGACATTCGTCCTTTGGGTTGTTTGTTCTCCATAGTCGAAAGGGTCATTGAGGAAGCCATGAAACGATCTCGCTCCAATGTATTTGAACCGTACTATCTTTGATGACCCAAAATGCAATCAGCTGCTTCTTGACCTTTGTTCGCAATTCTTTCGAAAACTCGATGACGACGTCAATCTTGTCGAGCGCTATTTCGCGCTGAGCTGAATCGACCAGCTCGAAGCAAGCGAAAACATATGGGATAATGGCGCCTGGTACCGAGCGCTTAGTGGATTGGAGCATCATCCGCAGTTCTTCGAAGATTGCATTTGAGATGACAGTTCCTCTCGCTGACGCTGTGCCATATGGATGTCGCAGTCGATGTACGAAAAGCAGCACTGACCAGCGATACAGTTTGGCTTGAGACATAATGCTAGCCACCTCTTCTTGTAGGAAGCGGCTGGTTTGGTCAACGGGCAAGGTTGGCGTCCAAGCCTCGACAGCGACTTCGATGTTGTTCAGAGCTTGCGTAATCTCGGATAAATCGAGGTTCGGATCGTGACGTAGCGAGTCGGTGATCTTGCAAACATCGTAGAGGTACGGTAGCATAGGCCAGGCAATTCCCATATATCGATCAACCATGTCATTGGTTTCTTGGACCTCGAGGCGCAGGGTTGGAACCTCGCCACGTATGATGCACTCTTCGGTCTCCGCTTGAATGAGGCAGATGACGAAAGCCTGGCAGTCAGGGCTGAGCTCCACTGTCGATTCGTATATGGGCTTGATAATGTCGAGAGCGTGTCGACAGATCTCCAATGAGCTCCCAGATATGTGCAGGGCAAACGTGATGGCGCTCACTGCAAGCATCAACACGGTCTGAACGTCGCCAGGGTCAACGGCTTTGACAGACCGCAATGTGGAAACTGCAGAGGCAGCCCGTCTGTGGCCAATGACTTGATTCTCATGGTTCGGACCAGGCTCGTACTCGCAAGCCAGGAGGGCTGCTGTGGCTATCAATGAATCTTGTACCCAAGACGTTGCGTTGTAGAGTTGACGCGCGAAGGCTTTGTGATGGCAGATGCGGAAGCTTGGCGCAATCAGGAACTGGTCGATGCGCGTTTGGCCTTGGGACACGCCCTTGACGAGGTGCATCTCCCGCTCACTCAGATCTGCGAACGGGGATGGAGCCCTGGGTAGCGCAACTATGTCCCAATCCGGCATCGTCGGGCTCGCGGCCGAGGCTGGGCATCTGGGTGAGGAAGAAGCAACGGAAAGGCTGTCGCTCCGAGCCGTCTGTAGCGGGCTGTATGTCGTATCCTCGGTGCGCTGGTACCGAGGTTTGCGGCCAGCAGTGCCAACTGGTCGTAGGGTCTGGCATGAGTTGCGGAGGCGTTGGCATCGCTCGCAGGCATCCTGGCCGGGGACGCGCCTACATCTCTCTTTCACGGCATGGCACCTGTCGCATGCTCGTCTTGCTGGCGGTCTGGCCATCGCGGACGCTCTCCGGTGGGTCGCAGTGGATACATGCTCAGTGAACGGTGGTGTCTGGAGAGCAGACAAGGTAGCTGAAACACCGGCGGATGCTGAGTAACGAAACACGTGCCGTCCGGCAATCCCCGCTCCGCTGGCTTCGAGGAACCGAGCAAGACATTGACCTGGAAGGTTGGGTGAGTTCATGATACGATGAGCCTGCAGAACATAGTGTTTGTTTTTCGTCTTCATCGCGTGTCTAACCTAATCATCTCGTGTTCGTCGTCTTATCATCACGTCTCATCGTCCACTTTTCATATTCTACAACCTTCCACTGTACAAGTCCACCGAAAGCATCAACCATATTCCTCTAGTGCGCATGATCCTCACCGCAACCACAGTCAGGCCCAAATTCGCGTCGGGCCTGTCTTGCTTCCTCCTGCCATGGCTGCAGGGTGCCCGCCCGCTTCGTCTCCCGTTCCCACTTTCCGTGACCCTTCTTCTCGTTGAGTTCAACGAGAGCATCCAGCCAAGCGGCAAGTCTGTATCCCGCCTTTGCAAGTTGCTTGGTAACGACAGGAATCGCAGTGTCCCAGTAGGCCCCTGAAAGCTCTTGCGCGAACACTGCATCAGGGCCGTTGGGAATGACAGTGGAGCAGACGAACTTGTTGGCGTCACGCGCCCATGTCATGGAGCTGCTGACTGCATCCTTTGCCTTCAATCCCTTGAGCCATGTCTTGCTCTCCTTCTTGAACTTGCCGTGCTTCACTTCCGCGGTGAGGTTGTTGGCCAGAGCCAATGCATTGGCTTGGGAGAAGTTGCCATAGGCCTTTTGCGGGATTGCTGTGTCCCAGATGGAGTGCAGGTTTGTTCGCGCGCCGTTGAAAGTGACGTTGATAAGGTTACCACCTACGGCGATGTTCTCTACGTGGAGTGGCTGGTGGATATCGCCGACGAAGTGGATGACCCATTTCAGGGCTCTTTGCTGTTCAACAATGCCAACCGACTTCTGGAAAGCGCGGCTGGAGTAATTGGCGATGGCGGAAACGATGCAACCCTCCTCAGGACAGTCACGTTCGAAGTCGACATTGCAGCTCTCAGGCGGGTTGTCGAGCGAATCGATGTAGTGAAGAACGGAACTGAATTTCCCCTCCGGCTCAGAGCGGAAGCTATCAGCCCAGGTCGCCACATTGGCGAGATATGCGGATGAGGTGTCGTTCAAGAGGGTCTGCGCAAACTTGGCCGTCTTGTGGGAGACGAGGTTCTGTGCCATGTATGCCACTGCGGTGTGGCCGAGAGAGCCCCAAGCTGAAGCATAGGGGACCGCCGCAAGGAGAGGTAGAAGCGACTTCGGTGGTGCCATATTGGACGTTGAAGTTGTACGCTTCCGTTCGGAATGATTGTAGTGAAGCAGGAGAGAGGCTTATCGACATGCTCACTCAGAGGACATGCGGCGTTATAAGCAGCTGGGACGGCAAACATGTTGACCAATAGTCCTGACGGTATCGGCCATGGCCGTTCCATCGCCACAATGCTTGATCGAGACCCTGTAGAGCGTGAGCGATGATATGCAGGTCCATGGGGATGCTAGCCCAAAAAGGAAGGTGCTACGCCAAGACAGGCAGGAGCTAGGTAGCCGACCTCAACTTGAGCCTCTGCCAGAGAGCACGTTGTGCGTGTTGATTGGACACCCACGAAGCACAACCGGAAATGAGGATCTAGAGATGCCGTGGACGTGGTAGAAGTTCTACAGGTGTCTGATGTATGTACCTACAAAAGCAATACAGGCTAACAATGCTTCGAAGACAGCTAGGGTATCTCAAATCTGTGAGTCTTCGCCAAACGCCAATTGTAAATGCACGTGTTCGTAATAGTGTCTACCGCTCCGCTTCCGCCGGGTTTATCCCGCCGCCTACGTCCGCGTCCATCGGCGCCTCATCTTCAGCGATCTCTTCTACCGGAGCGGGCGGGCCCTCGATCATGCGAAGCCACCACGAGGGTGGGTCGAGAGGGCTGTGGTTGTTGTGCAGCGGCGGGTAGATGTCGTTGAAATAGTACCAGACTGGAGAAGTTTAGTTTTTATCCTCAAGAGTTGGGAGCGTAGACGTACTATGGCCGACAACGATGCCGCACATCTCATCCTTGGGCACCGTCCCGTGCATGATGAGGGAAAAGGCCAGGAGCACCCAGGGCAGGTATGGCGCCTTGAAGACCAGCAGCCCGAGGAAACTGAGCACGGTGTCCGGGTTCTTCCTGCTCCAGATGTAGATGAGCGTGCTGGATAGGGCCGAGCCGAGGAATGCCATAGAGAACATGGGCGCGATGCAGAGGAGCAGCGTCGAAGCGAATGTGAGGAGCCATGCGAAGTGTGCCGTAGAGCGGCCGGACGATTCCTCGAGCAGGCGCGCGTATCGTTGGAGGAAGAAGATGTGGTAGAGGAGGTCGAGGCTGAGTGGGCCGAAGTAGAAGAAGGTGGTGAGCAGTCTCCAGTACTATCCATGTCAGTACATGGGGCAATGCTGTAGCGCTGAGGCAAACCTACCTGGCTCTTGAAGAAGACGGTGCGCACGCTGTAGAAGAGCTGGAAGGGTGAGATGATATGGCATTGCACCAGCACACTGGCACTCAGCGCAGCCGTCATCCACCAGCGCGTGCACACGGGCATTTCGTAAAACCACTGCTCGAGCGGAAAGCCTCCGGCCCCTCCCATCATGCCGTCCCCGCCTTGCAGAACATTCGCCATGGTGGGTTGAGTGCTCTAGGGATAACACAAGAGGAAGAATGTGAGGAAGAGCCAAGTTGCAGCGCCTGCACTCGAATATCTAAGTAAGCAGCGAAAGGCCAAGTGTCGCTCAGCAAACGCAGCCGCTTTCCGAGCGTGTGAACGATGGAGCCCATGTGGCTACGTAACTTGTCCGATGGTCCGCCAAGGCGCTAGCGCTACCAGCACGCGATCGCACCTTCCGCCCGGCGAGAGTTGGGGTCCAAGCTCCTGCCCTGGGTGAATGCAAACCAGCCACAGCACCAGCCCCTCGTCTCAGTCGCGTAGGCAGACCGTCAAGACTGTGCAGGACGATGCGCCCGTGCTCCCTCCACTATTGCGACCCTCGTATGCCATCTCATCGATATTCCTGACGACGACGTGCCGACAGTTCGTCCTGTTGATCTTGACGCGCTTGGGTCTCGCGACTTTTCGCGCCGTGCACGCGTCGTGATCCCTCCCTCGTTGCCATTCCCACGCCCCAATTGATCCACCTGGACCCCGACACATCGCGCGATATCCTTACACATCAAACCCAACATGTCTCCCAAATCTCCCACCACCAGAAAGAACAAGGCGCGGCCGTCGCGAGGTGGACGAGCGAGTATCGGAAGCAGGAAGGAGTCGGGCAAGAGACGTACGTTGTGCGCCGAATAGTCGAGTCTGCGCATCCTAGCTGATATGCGCGCAGTTGGACAAGCAGGACCCGCTCCCGATCGCGCGAAGAAGCGCTACAAGCCCGGCACCGTCGCCCTGCGTGAGATCAAGCGCTACCAAAAGTCAACCGACCTGCTCCTCCTGAAGCTCCCATTCCAGCGCCTCGTAAGGATGCTGCACCCGACCACACTCGCGACAGTCAACTAACATGCCTCCAGGTCCGCGAGATCGCGCAAACAGTCACAACCGAAGACGGCCCCAACAGATGGCAGAGTCAAGCCATCGTCGCCCTCCAAGAAGCCACTGAAGCCTTCCTCGTCAACCTCTTTCACGACGCCAACCTCTGCGCCATTCACGCCAAGCGCGTTACCATACAGCAAAAGGATATTCAACTCGCGCGTCGTCTGCGAGCAGCTTGGGGCGCGCCGGTTTGAGTTGGCAAGGTTGTTTTTGGCAGATACCCAATCTTTACTTCTGTTGGTTACGAGTTTTGGGGAAACGGGGCGTATCGTTGCGATCTGGAACTCGCACGCATATCAGAGAGGCTGCTTTTGGGGAGCAATTGCGATTGGCGTTCCGTGGCGCAAGAGGTTACTCGTATGAGGCCCGTCTTCAGGATTCTTATTGATCATCGTTTATATACGTGCAGCATACTACCAGCAACTACATCTCTTGTACACGAGTATCTTCGGAGACAAAATCGAAACCAAGTTCCACTTCTTCCGTTACCCACCTGTAACCTGGACAACGTGAATCATCTGGGCATATATTCCAATCAGACGCCGACTCCCAGTGTAGTTAGTGGCATTGGCAGTCGTCCGCCGTTTCTTGCTTAAGTTGCTTGTATGTCGACGAGGGCTTGGCTATCATCATCTTCGCTGCGTGCAGACGGCTCGACAAGCTGGAGGAGCGCGGAACACAGCCGAGGAAAGCTCCCCCGCCATTTCCGGAACATTGGCTTCTTATCGCCGGCAACCCTCATCACCTTCCACATACGCTTCACAGCAAAGACCCTACTCTTCTCCTCGACCGGTAGCCGACCAACTAAGATGTTACCGAATAAACAAGTGACGCAAAGCCTCCTTGGCAGCCTTGGCCCTGCATTGTCCCCGCCCGTATCACGTCGCTAGAATGCCATTCGACGTCATGAACTGGGTGCCTCAGGGTCGGTGCCGCTGCGGCGATACATGCGCTATAGCTCAACCAGGAAGCTCAATATCTGACATGCAGGCACATGCAGGCTTGTACATGGTCGTTATGCATATGAGTCAAGGTACCCCAATGTCAAGAACTTTGTATAAAGTTGGCACTTGTGGTACTTCCGTAGCCTCTGCCCGCAGCAGACCGGAGAGCTTGATCTCCTCATACCATAGCGATAATGGTTGCATTCAGGCTGTCCCTTCTCGGAGCAGCTGGACTCTTGAGTGGGGTTGTCAACGCTCAGTTTCCTCCGACACCAGAGGGCGTGACTGTCCTTGAATCGCAGCTTGATGAGGGTGTTACAATTTCATACAAGGAGGCAGGCTACTCTCTCGCGCAGTTCTGAGGTCATTCGCTAATTACCACCAGACCGACCTATGTGAAACCACAGAAGGCGTCCGAAGCTTCTCCGGCTATGTTCATCTTCCAGCTGGAGCACTTGCCGATCTCGGTGTCGAGAACCAAACATATGAGATCAACACCTACTTTTGGTTCTTTGAATCGAGGAAGGATCCTGCCAATGCGCCTCTCTCGATTTGGATGAATGGTAAGCCGTTCGGAAAGTACTCACTGCAATGTGGACTGACACCACCAAGGTGGCCCCGGATCCAGTTCCTTTGTGGGACTCCTGCGTGAAAACGGACCATGTTTCATTGGTGCCGACTCCAACAGTACCTACCTGAACGAGTGGTCATGGAACAACGAGGGTGAGCTAGTCTAAAGTGCAGCAGTTGATCTATTGAGCATAACGGCTAACGAACACAGTCAACATGCTTTACCTCGACCAGCCCGTTCAGGTTGGCATGAGTTATGACAGCCTGGTGAACATCACCACCAATCTGGATACCGGCGACCTTGAAGTTGTAGACTTTGGCAATGGGCCTGTCCCAGCACAGAACAACAGTTTCTATGTTGGCACCTACCCCAGTGAAAACTCCAATCTCACCACACGTGGTACTGAGAACTCGGCACGAGCGCTCTGGAACTTCGCCCAGGTCTGGTTCCAGGAATTCCCGGAACATAAGCCGAACGATGACAGGATCTCCATCGCGACCGAGTCCTACGGAGGTCGTTACGGACCGGCTTTCGCGGCCTACTTCCAGGAGCAGAATGAGAAGATCGAGAATGGGACGTGGAGCGGGGCCGGACAGACACATCTCCTGCATCTCGACACTCTACTGATTATCAATGGCTGCATTGATCGTTACGTCCAGTGGCCCGCTTATCCAATGATGCAGTACAACAACACTTACGGTATCAAGGCTGTCAACGAGTCGCGCTATGAGGAAGTGCTCGACAACCTATACAAGGAAGGAGGCTGTCTCGATCAGATTGAAGAATGCCGCAACATAAGTCTTGTATATGACCCCACAAACCAAGGCTACAACGAGACCGTCAATGAAGTATGTGAGGCCGCAGAAACATTTTGTTCTGAGACGATTCGAGACCCTTATTTTGACACCGACCTCAACTATTACGACATCTCTGCACCCGGTGCGGCTGCTTTCCCCCCACCATGGTATCAAGGCTGGCTCAATCAGCCACATGTACAGCAGGGACTTGGTGTACCTCTCAACTGGACTCAATCGAACTCGGCTGTATCACGAGCCTTCCGAGGCATTGGCGACTATCCACGTCCAGGCTGGAAGGAAGATCTCGCATATCTTCTCGAAGAGGGTATCAAGGTCACGCTGTTATACGGTGACCGAGACTATGCATGCAATTGTCAGTATTACCCTAAGAAGATTGCATGTAGATATGAACTAATATTCTGAAACGCTCAGGGTACGGCGGTGAACTGCTCTCCCTCGCCATTCCTTACGACAATGCCACTTCATTCGCGGATGCCGGATATGCGCCAGTTGTCGTGAATGATACCTATATCGGTGGGCAAGTGCGTCAGTACGGCAATCTATCCTTCACACGGGTGTACGAAGCTGGCCACGAGGTGCCAGCCTACCAGCCTGAAACTGCGTACAGGATCTTTACGCGCGCTCTTTTCAACCGCGACATCAGCACCGGCAACATCTCTACAACCGAGACCCCCGACTACGCCACAGAAGGACCAAGTGACGTGTTCAACATCACCAACGAACCAATTGTCGACGAAGGCACACAATGCTACGTTCTTGACCCTGGACAGTGCACGGCGGAGCAGTGGGAGTCAGTTATGAATGGAACAGCCTTGGTGCGAAACTGGATCGTTGTCGACGCCAACACGAGCTATCTGTTCCCAGATCTAGCTGGTAACGGCACATCTGGCAATGGAAGTAAACCTTCCGGCACAGGAATGCCCATGCCTACTTACACCGCGGCTGCACCCGGTGGTCTCTCTGCGAGTGTTTTGGGCAGTGCGATTATTGCTGCGGTTGTAGGAAGCTTGGTAATGCTATAATCAATGGCAAAATAGTCACGACAATATGAGAATTGCAATCATGCGTATACGAGAATCATGGGATCTGTAATATCTATATACGCTCCAGGCAAGCTATTCATAGATACCGACCCATTCCACATCATCACGTTGTGCACTGGTGCATTGGACGCGCGTGACGTCATGACTTATACACGCGAAACCATACTTTTCTCGCGCAGAGATGTATCTGCACAACGATCCCAAGTCCTCGCGGGCCTTAGAGCAGGTATCATAGTGGCAATCATGTCTCGTTCCACTTACTCCGCGTTCCAGAGACATCTCCTCTTCTTCTCGACGCCCACATCCCCACCCAGGCTTACCTTTGGATCAGCCCTCCGCGCAGGCGTATCAATCGGCCTCGACTTTCCGGTCGCAGTCCTGCTGAGCCTATCTCTTCGGCTCATGTACGCGCCTTTTCCTTTTCTCTGGTCTCCCATCATCGTCGATAAGATTCCAGCGTCAGCGCATCGCACTCAATTGAGCTCCGTCAATCTACCAAAGGGAAAAGCCGACTATACCTGCACCGAGCTTCTGTCTCTTCTCAACAACAGCCCCGAGGAGAACAAAGGCAAGGGCTGGCTGAAGCACAAGATCGATCAGGGACATGTGGTCGGATTTTGTACTATGGCAGCTAGTGCGCGGACGCACACTGTTAGGAGGGATGATGTCGAGCGATTTCAGCAGGGAGAGTGGGAGGAGCCTGTCGTTAAGAGGAGACGGGGGAGAGACGATGTGCTGCCTCTCTGGAGAGGTGGGCCGATCTGGGTTGGAGGGCACAGCTGGGCCGTCTGGAAACTTCTGGGAGTTCGGGTTTATGAGGTTAAGGGACGGTAGATATCCGCATAATCCTGCGTGAACATCGTACGGCGAAACTTGCGCATTTGTGCCTGCGGATGAATGTTTTTAGCGGTCTTCGCACAATTTCCAAACGGCCGCCTTCCGCAGTCCTGTTACACATGCTTATTATGTGGCTTACCTAGCATCACAAGCGCTCATAAATCCGCTGCCGAATCTAGATCTTCGGCTGCGAATGCAGATCCGCTTTTTCCCGAAGAAAAACGTCTGTGCGCGTTATCAGATCCTGACTTTGACAGCGGTTGAAATTCGGCGAACCCGCTTTTCTTTGCCCGACAGGCGCAATTCCGCGCTCACGTAAAGAACGTTGAAGATTGCTCAGGGTAATGTCAGGAACGATGAGCGGCAAACTAGTACGCGCATTGCGCTGTCATCGCTTTCGCACACATACTTCTACACAATATGCGAATCGCGAACTAGCATTCTTACGCAGACATCCCCTGCCTCTGCCTCAAGACGCGTCGTTGAGAATCGACGAGCACTGTCGTCATCGCGGTACCATCTCGGAACGTACAGTCAAAACGACATATGCGCAGAATTTGAAGTCCATTCAGCACAAGCTCAAATTCACGATCTTTCGCCATAACAAAATATTTCACCTTAGTCTCGAGAAGACCTACTCCAGCAGGCGCTTTCCTCGGTCACGCCATCGAACCATCTCGAAATGGAGGAATCAAGAGGCTCTTTGGAGCCAACAGGCGAGAAGCTCTCGTCTACCTCCGACCAGGACTTTGACGACAGTGACTCCCACGAAGACATAGACTGCCACAACTCTGCCGACTCTGCACATGCTTCCAAGCAGCAGCAGGACCTGGAACTCGCGAAGACGAAGTCAATCGCAGAGACCATGTCTCCACTCCGCGAAGCTTTCTTTGTTGGCTTGCTCTGTTCGGCTCAGTTCGTTACACAAGCGGGTCTGCTAGGCACTCTCAATATCTTGCACATCATTGGATCCGATCTTGGTATCACCGACCCCGGTGTCCTGTCCTGGCTGATTGCGGGTTATTCGTTGACAGTCGGTACCTTCATTCTGTTGTCGGGCCGTTGTGGAGATCTGTTCGGATACAAGAACATGTTGATTGTGGGCTATATTTGGTTCGGCATCTGGATGACAGTAGCCGGATGCAGCGTTTATATCGAAGGAAATGGTGGCCAAGTGCTTTTCATCTTCTCGCGTGTACTGGGAGGTATAGGACCGGCGATATTACTGCCCAATGCGCTTGGCTTATTAGGCGCGACATACAACGAGGGGAAGAGGAAGGATATGGTGTTCTCGCTGTTTGGAGCATGCGCACCCGGTATGTATCTCTCCGTTCTCCAATGAATATTGTCTAACGTCGTATAGGTGGTGGCATAGCTGGGGGCGCGTTCGCTGGTCTTTGGGCGCTCTTGTGGTGGCCGTGGGCGTTCTGGACGTTTGGCATTGCGCTGTTTTGCCTTGCCATTTTGTCGATCTTTATCCTTCCCTCAGTACCGCTCGACCCGGAAGTTCGCAATCTCTCGCACAGGGAGCGAATTCGTGAGCTTGATCTTCTCGGCGCAACTGTTGGCATTACCGCCATGATCCTGTTCAACTTTGCCTGGAATCAAGCGCCTGGATTCGGATGGGAACACCCCTACATCTACGTCTTGCTTATAATCGGCCTTCTTCTCTTTCCTCTCTTCTTTTGGATCGAGATCAAAGTCGCCAAGAAGCCTCTCATCCCGTTTGATGCTCTCAGCACGGATGTCTCGTTCGTGTTGACTTGCATAGCATGTGGCTGGGCTGCTTTCGGTAAGAGTTGCCTATCCAGATACCTTTGTTTGAGCGCATGACTAACGACAGTTGTAGGTATCTGGGTTTACTACTTTATCCAATTCCTCCAGCAGCTGCGTGGCGAGTCTCCGCTTCTCACAATGGCTCATCTCTGCCCTGTCGTGATCTCCGGCTTCATCGCTGCTGTCACCACTGGTCGTGTCATTTCGCGCATCGGCCCAGGGTGGGTCATGCTTATCAGCATGCTAGCGTTTTTGGCAGGCAATATTCTCGTCGCTACACTCCCGATCAACCAGATCTACTGGGCGCAGACCTTTGTTACCACGCTCGTCATTCCATGGGGTATGGATATGAGTTTTCCCGCCGGCACGCTGATCATGAGTAATGCCGTCGCTAAGAAGCACCAAGGTATGGCGGCGAGTTTGGTCAACACAATCGTGAACTACAGCATCAGTATTGGCGTTGGCATCGCAGGAACAGTGGAGGTTCATGTGAACGATGGCGGAAGAACGGAAGAGGATGAACTGAACGGTTATCGCGGCGCCATGTATGTTAGCGTCGGATTGAGCGGCATGGGTGTAGTGACGAGCTTGCTGTTCTTGCTCAAGATATGGTTGAGGGAGAAGAGGGCACAGAAGAACATCTAAACTTAGAGTCTTAGTATTCAACCTAGATTCAACATTGCTGACTTTCTTTGGCGTGCACTTTCGCAGCTTTGTGCGTACGCCCGCCATCTCTGAGTGATTACGTCACCGTGTCGCACCATCCCGCGATCGCAATTTCAAGAATCTACAACCGTCACCCGTCTGGCACGTCAGCGCCGCACTTCAGCATCAAGATACGACAGTGCTTTTCTCAACGGCATCTAACTGACCAGCATCCTCATAAGGAGTCGAAGGTATTCAACGCGGAGTGGCGGATGATACGGAATGGTTGATACCGTCAAGGTCTTTGCTACAGTCAACCGAGAGCGAGCTTGTTCGCGAAACCGAAAACCGCGCAATCCACTGAGCAGAGCATCAATATCACATAGTCTGCTATGCTATCGTCCACCACTCTAAGTATGAGGTCCATTCTGACGCCTTACGATGACCCACCCATCTACCAGCTGCCGGAAGAGTTACTGCTGCAGGTCGCCTCTTATCTTCCCGACTCAGCTGCACCCACGTCCCTCAAGGACCTGTGCCTCACGTCCCGCAGATTTCGCTCTGTCGCCCAAGAGGCCCTTTACACCGCAGTGAAGCTGTTCATGTCATGTGGATGTCACCCCAAGGTGAGCTCCCTTCTGCGGCTGCTGCGTACTCTCTTGGACCGCACAGACCTTGTCGCAAAGATCAGAACCCTGCGCGTTGGGACAATTCGCAAGAACGTCGCGAAGCTCTGTGAAGAGCAGGACTTCGACCTCGCGTCTTTACGCATGCGAAGCTTGGCAAAGCTGGAACAGATGGGACATCCTACGTCGCATCCTTGGCATCGGACCATCCGAAACTCAATAGAGTCGGGATTTGCTGGACTGCTGCTCGTACTGCTTCCCAACCTCACACACCTTGAAGTCTGGGTGAAAGATCATCATCGCGGTCCGCCATCAGGCGAATGCATCTCCGGGCTTTTTGGGGGGATGTTCGCCCCTGCTAACATCATTCACGGTTGGAGCACGCTTCGGCATTTGACTACGAGCGACACCCACTTGCTGAAGTCTGGCATTCACTACGAGAGTCTTACAAGCCTTGATCTAAAAACGATTTCCATTGGTACCATCCTGCGTCTCAACGGTCGTGGGTGTCTGCAGGGCGCTGAAAACCTTCATCATCTAGCTTTAAGTGTCTCGATACAATTTGCTGATCGTCCCCTGATCGAGAAGGCGGAAATTCAACTCAGCGACTTGTTCGAAGCTCTCGACTGCAGGCGGCTGCTAAGTCTCAAAATGCAGCTGTGAGTCTGTTTGTGCATCATGTACGGTGCCTCTGCTGACATTCGCTCGCGCAGTATCAACGACAGCTATCATCTCACTGACGATCGGGATACCCAGCTTGATGCAGGCTATCTCATAGATCAACTTGATAGCATGCGAGATAGTCTAGAAACGCTTGCAATCACGCATGAAATAACTGATGACGACTCGGATTTAGAATGGCTGCTGGAATTGCTGACAAACCAGAAGAGATCGTTTGAACACTTCACCAACCTCAAGCATCTTATCATCCCACAGTTGTTCATTTTCAATGCGGAATCAGCGGCTTGGCCGAAAGACTGCTGCCAGCCGAAAGATTTGCCACCAAAACTCGAGACGTTGGAGATCCTTTACCCCCAATCAGAGATGGACGACTGGGTAGCGGGCTTCGTGCCCCCAATAGAAGATCATACCAATTTGGCCTTAGGCTATCATACCAAGCTGCCCTCGGCTTTTCGGAGGATCACATTGACGTGTCGCGACGAAGTTGGCTCATCTGCATCGTTCTTCACGAAGAACATAGACGAAATTTGGGCGAAGATGGCGATACTTCTCCGTATTCAGACGTACGTCATCTGTCAGACCCAAGGAACCAGATACAACTTGATAGATTTGTACGAAGAGGAAATGAGCGACAGCGAAGGGGAAACGACTGACAGCGAAGACTACGAAGAGCATCCTCCACTTGAATTCTCACTGGATCAGACGGACTAGACGGACTGCAGCCTCAGTGTTTGAGCCGGCAAGGCGAGGGTACGCCATGCCCGACTAGTGCACGGGCTCAGCGGTCCAGATGTTCATTGGAGGCGTTCATGCATGTTCCCGGTCAGCGATTCGAGCCGAATCCCGCCCCACCCTCAACGCTTAGCCGAGATGGTCCTGTATGCAGCAAATATTGGACATGGCGCCTGCTTACTCCCATAGCAGTAACAATTCACGATTCCATCATCGACATGATCAATACGATGTCCGGGTACCCGGTGACATCTTGTGGCGTTCGTTTCCAGGTTTCTGAGCACGCACCTAGCATGCAGCCTAATATATCATGCAGCCAATACGGACTACCGATTTTGAGCGGGCCAAGCTGAGCCCATCACTGAGGTAGCCTCTTGAGATGCTAGTCAATGGAAGGTACTATCTACGTGGAAGTCAGTCTTTGTGTGCGCGATGCGTCAAGTCCGTCAGCCTCGTAGATTGGCGATATCTTCCACATGTCTATTCTTGGGCGTGTGCGGAGCTGGACTTCCGCATCAACCGTGGACAGTGCTATTATAAGCTAAGCTAGACGGGCATCATGGCGTTTGCGAGTGCGAGATGAATGATCACGATTGAGGAAGCGTCAGAAATAGAGTTCAGCGTCTTCTAAGCTGACATGCCGCCATGGCTTTGTCAAAGACTATAAGTTCTAAGCTTTCCTTACAGTAAGACTCACATCAGCACAAAGCCGCTGCCTACACTTCTCGCTCTTCGACATGAGCTTCAGGTCCAGTCTATCAGCGATTTATATCGCCGTGCTCATCCTAGCGGGCTTAGTTGACTCTGTCTCTGTCGCTATCAGCCGTTCGGGATGGACCGCAACGTCGGACAGTTTTCAAGCTGGTAATGAGCCTTCTAAAGCGCTTGATGGAAATGCGACATCGTTCTGGCACTCCAAATATGATCCCACACCTGTCGACACTCTACCAAACTGGATCGTTGTGGACATGAAAGCATCCTATAACATCAACGCCGTCAGTCTCCAGCCACGCCCGAGCGACAACGCCAATGGCAGGATTGGGGGACATAAGATCGAGATTAGTACGGACAGCACAAGCTGGCAGATCGTCGCTCTCGGCACATACAACAACGATGCGACAACAAAGAAGACTTCCTTCGTCGCTAGACCGGCACGATATGTCAGAATCACAGCTACCTCGGAAGCTCAAAGTGCCGCTAACCAATGGACCACCATTGCCGAGATCAACATTTTCCAAGATACAGCATACGCTCCGCCAGTAGCAGGCAAAGGCTTGTGGGAGAAGACTGTGGATTTCCCGCTTGTACCAGCAGCTGTCTCATTGCTCCCGAATGGAAAGGTACTAATGTGGTCGGCCTTCGCAAAAGACAACTTCGGCGGATCCAGAGGCTTCACCCAAACAGGAATCTATGATCCTGCTACGGGCGAGTCGAGTCAGCTTCAGGTCTCCAACACACAACACGACATGTTCTGCCCAGGAATCTCCCTGGATTTCAACGGCCGTGTCATCGTTTCGGGGGGCAGCGACGCTGCAAAGACCAGCATCTATGACCCTTCTAGTGACGCTTGGACCCCAGGAAGCGACATGCGGATCGCTCGGGGGTACCAATCTACCGCTACGTGCTCTGACGGACGCATCTTCAATATCGGCGGATCATGGAGCGGCAATAGGGGCGGGAAGAATGGAGAGATTTACAGCGCTACTACAAATGCTTGGGCCCTGCTACAGAATGCTCTCGTAAGCCCTATGCTTACAGCTGATACTGCAGGCGTATATCGTTCGGATAACCATGCTTGGCTCTTTGGGTAACTACCGCGCCTAATAATTATCTCTACTTTATTGCTGACCGACTTTAGATGGAAGAACCAGACGGTCTTTCAAGCTGGTCCTTCGATCACCATGAATTGGTACGATACTGTCGGATCTGGAAGTACCACGGGTGCTGGTAATCGATTAGATGACGGGGATGCCATGTGTGGAAATGCAGTAATGTTCGACGCCACAGCCGGAAAGATACTCACTGCAGGAGGTGCTGCCAACTACGAGAACAGGTATGTAACGCCTTTTGCATCAATCACGCGACAGTGCTGACTTCGTTGCCTCTTAGTGACGGACGCACAAGTGCCTATGTCATAACGATAGGTGCACCAAAGACAACCGCAACTGTCGCCAAGACTCAGTCTATGACATATCCGCGTGGTTTCGCGGGTGGTGTTGTGCTGCCCGACGGAACAGTCTTTATTGCCGGTGGACAATCGCGACTACACCCATTCAACGACGACACGGCGCAGCTGACTCCGGAGCTGTGGGACCCCACTACTGGAAGATGGACACAGCTAAACCCTATGCAAATTCCAAGGACATACCACTCCGTAGCAATCCTCATGCCAGATGCTACCGTGTTCGTTGGCGGCGGCGGCTTGTGCGGCTCTTGCGGTGCCAACAATCACTTCGACGCCGAAATCTTTGTACCGCCTTACCTTCTGAACGCTGACGGGACAAGACGCACACGTCCTGTCATAAGCACTGTAGCCTCTACTGTCAGATTGGGCGCAAACTTGAGCGTCACCACAACTGCGGCTGTTACCAAGTTCTCGCTGGTGAGGTTTGGCACCGCCACTCATACCGTCAACACAGATCAAAGAAGGATCGCATTAACGATGTCGGGCAGCAGTACGAGCTACACTGTTACTATCCCGGGCGACCCAGGAGTCGCGTTGCCTGGATACTGGCTTTTGTTCGCAATCGACGCCAACGGCACGCCTAGTGTGGGCAAGACGATCAAGCTCGCTTTGTAGAGAGACGCACTGAGAAGGGCAAGGACGTATATACTAGTCTTTTCGTCTCGCTTCCTTCTTTTGTTACGGAAACCAGTTTCTGCTTCCGGAGCCCGACGTCCTCTGGCTGACTACATGAGCACACTACGAGATTGCGACAACAAGATCTGATTTGCTTTTTGATTTCACTTTTAGCTATTTTGGTTCCATTCATAAGCTCTTCATCATGATGAAAGCTGTCACACGGGTGACCCATCCATTGCTTCGCTACGTTAAATATACACATTAAGAAAGGGGACAGAAAGTAATAATACACGCTCTCAAAGTCGACATCTTACCCGAGGCTCCTGTCTCAAGTCATCTTCCAACGGACAGTAGAAGGCCTTTGTTCTGTTCCTTTTCCGCCATGTTCACGACTCATTTCATCCTGTCACAAGGCTCTTATCGCTGATTAGCCTCCACAATGCCTGCGGCAATCTTCTCCGCGAGCGCATCTACGCAAATGTTAGCAGAGGTCCACACGACCCCCGAGCTCCGCATGGAAAACTTACAAATCGTACTGGTGGGATGACCCGGTGGCAGAATAGGCAATGCACTCGCATCTACAACCCTCAAGCCCTGGACACCATAAACCTTAGCCTTGGGGTCTACGACCGCCATGTCATCATCCTTCTTTCCCATCTTACACGTGCAAGACGCATGCCAGATAGTCATCAGACTGTCTCTAACCACAGCCAAGATCTCCTCGTCACTGTCTTTCTCCTTGCCTGGCCAGTATTCGTCCCCAATCACAACTTGCTGCATAGTTTCCGAGTTCCAGATCTGGCGCATGCGACGGTAGAGCGCGACGGCGAGTTCTTGGTCCGCAGGCGAGGTGAGCCAGTTGGGGTTGATCAAAGGTGCGCTGCTCATGGATGCCGATTGCAGGGTAACGTTGCCGCGAGACGTGGGTGCTACGATGCCTCCGAGGATCGTGGCGTACTGCTTGCCATCTAGGGGTTGTTGAAGGACAGGGAGGGAGAAGTCGCCGATATAGCCGTTTCCGCTGATAAGCTGATCAAATTTTGTGGTTAGTGTTTGTCCTTCATTGTTATCATCAAGAACCGAGGAAGCTTACCTCTGCTTCCGGCCAGTCGTCGGTGAATTGGTTCAAGGCATCGACGGTGGATTGAGCGAAGTTCTGGCGGAACTCTTGAGGCAGTTTCTCCCAGCCGAGGAACTCGACGACGTTGGAAGAAAGCACGCCCTGGCCTTTGAGAGTGTAGTCGGCCAGCGCATCAGCCAGCGCGACGGGGTTGTGTAGGGTGTTGTCGAGCGTGTTGAAGCTGACTTCGTACGCTGGCCCGAACATGATGTGATCCCACATGTTCTGGCCTACGCCAGGGCGGTCGGCAACCACGTCGATGTTGAACTTTTCCAAAGTTTCTTTTGGACCAATGCCCGATACCATGAGTAGTTGCGGGCTGTGGAAGGCGCCTGCGGAAACGATGACCTCCTTGGATGCATGTATGTCGTAGGTTATGGCTGTTGACTGAACCCTTACGCCGGTCGCGGTCTTGTTACCATCAAAGAGGATCTTCTGGGCCTGGGTGTTTGCGTACACGGCGAGCTTATCATTGTCGAGCGCTGTTTTAATGTATTCGTCTGATGCACTTCGCGTCTGCTCTTTCGCGTCGATGAAAGTTTGGGTGTAGTGTGTTCCCATCAGTTTGCCACTGTCGAATTCGCTGGTCCTCTTCAAGCCGACTGCGTGAAGAGCTTTCTCCATCCAGGTCGAGAACGGGGAGACATAGTTTGAGTACCCGATCTGAATAGGTCCTCCCGGTGTCTCGAAGGCGCTCTCATCGTACTGCGTAGTCACATTGTCGCCACGTATTGCGTCGTTCGGCTTGGTGAAGGTGACAGCCTTCTTAAAGTAGGGTTCAAAATTGGCAAACGTGTAGCTGTCGTCGCCCACAGCGTCGGCCCAGGTTTTGTATGAACCCTCAGTACCTCTGGAAAACGATTAATACATGAAAATGAGTAGCGTAGAGGACTCTCCTTACCTGTGGTGAATCAGGAAGTTGAGCGCAGAACTGCATGGAGGGTCTCGTTAGTGAAATGTTATACTTGTCATGTTACAGGAGGTTCTTACGAGCCACCCAAGCATTTTCCCTGCGCATAGTGCACTCGTCTATTGTCCGCACCCGCTTGAGGCTCCGTAGTCAACACCCAATCAACAATAGGATCGGAGTCCAGAGGATTGGCACCAATTCCCACGATGCCACCGGCAGGTGTGGAGCCTAGAACAGGCTTTCCGATTTGGTAGTAAAGCCCAGCCTCAATGATAGCGACCGAGTAGCCCGCTTCAGCGAGGCGCACACCAATTGCATTACCAGCGGTGCCACCGCCTACGACAACGTAGTCGTAAGTCTTCTCCACGCCAATAGCGCCTTCGACGGAACCAAGTAAACCTTGCACTAGCCCTTTGCCGCTCAGTATCGAACCTAATGAGTCCAGGAAAGGGTTGACGAGTGAGTCCAGTATCGGCGCGGCATGGGTATATGGAAGGCCGAGCGAGGCAGTCAGAAGTACGCTAAGGAGCGAGCGCTTTTGGAGATGCATGGTAATAATGAATGGCAGAAAACAAAGTTAACGAGTGTGTTACGCAAAGGAGTGTGGCAGAATGGATCGTTACCAGGCATGACCTGGGGGGTCTCATAGAGTCTATCGCATCAACCAGGGGCGTGCGTACCGGTCGGCCTTGGCACGGATCTATTCGCTCGGATCGCATCGCCAAGTGAAAGAGATCCCTGACGTGGCCGAAGAGATCCCTCACCGGGCCGAATGTTTACCTAGGGATGCCCCATTCTAGCTACCGGCACCCTGGCCGTCGTCCGAATCGGCAAGCCCCATACACACGTGGAATTGCGATTAGCATTTCTTGACCTAAATTGAACTGTGACATGGGTCCAGACTAAGATTGTGTGCGGAGATCCAAATGTCATTTTGGACACGTGCCTCGGCTTCTGCTCGAAGTTGCGTGCGATCTGGAGTAGGGGGGCAATTACGATGTTTAAGAGGTGTTTCTCAGTGTTGATGACGATTTTCCTGCCACAGAATTTCGCACCTTTGTTTTCTTTTTATACATTATTGCGGCAAGCTATTCTACGATACTTGTCTCCCGCTATAGAACAGCGTGTAGAGTCCCGCCATCTATATTGAGACGTGGGGAATGCTTTGCTTTTAGGAAATTCTCGCGCGTTTGACTTGGGAAGCTTCTAAAGTTCAGTTGCCCCTCCTGTAGAAGCGCGTCATGCTAATGACCGTACCAATTCTCAGAGAAGATGCGGTCGAGCTGGTATCCAATACCGCTTCCCAATGCGCTCAGGTGCACGGCCATCTCTCCTGGAGAGTCCGGATGGATATAGAAGCCGTGCACGCTGCCGGCCTTAACAGAAACATCCCGATCCTCCGTGTAGATTGTCCTGTAAACGTCATTGAGCTTCGACGCCCATGACGCCTGACTCAATGCGAGAGTATTCTGTCTGGAGTTGGTGAAAGTGGAGTAGCGGGCTCTTAGGCCGCATCGGCGACTCAATTAGCTTTCGCAGATTCTCGGGTATAGGCTCCTCGGCAGTGTACTTGTAAGTTTGGCGAAAGTGGAAGCACCGGCCCGGCGGGAGCTCAAGAAACTCGGTAGTTAATAGGCCGCCCAAACTGTGCGAGATATCCAGGTTACGAAGTGCTGTCGGTCTAGCATGGCGCAGCGTTCTTAGTTGACAATTCTCATCTTTCCGGCCGAGTTATGGCAAGGGACGAACAGACTGAAAACTGGCATGTTGTTCGTGTGGGCTCGACAGGCAGACATGATAGAGGACAGTTGTTGAGCATGAAGGTATCTCTAACAAAGAGACTCAAAAGAACTCTACTAGACTTCTGTTCAGCGATTTGACTTTAGGGGAAGTCTACTTCTGAAATGCTCCGGAAAGGTTTACATACTGAAACACTCGTTGTCTGGGAAACCTCCCGAGGCCCTTCCGAAATGATCCGGACAACTTTGAATACTGAAATCCCCCTTGTCTGGGAAGTCCGCGAGCCAGGATGGCAGTTGATACGTAGTACCATCGTCCACTGTTGATCTCGACTTCGAACAAGATAGCAACATGGATGATTGGGAGCTTACTTAGGACTCTATCTTTCAGACTTGCCGACCAATAATTCAATTTGAGGATTCCGGTTCAAATACGTACCCGACGCAATCAGTTCGTTAACATTCAAGATCGCTTGCCGTATAATTACCCTACTCGAATCATTCAATTCAATCTGGGCATTATTTTCCACACTGAAAGTGAAGGCTGAAATTGGTTGTAGACAAGTCTGCTATCCTTCGTCGGGAACTCTCATCGGACATCAGGCCTAACGTCACGATGGAGAGTCCAGATTCAAATCAATGCTCCTCTGGTTCATTTAGCCCAGTGGAGATGCCTAGCTCAGTAACAGAAGCAGAGCTCAGAGAACTTGTAAGTGTTGATACTTACAAATGAAGAATCGCAAGTTGACCCGTCCAAGACCGAACTTGACGATGTAGCCGTCATTGGAATGGCCTGCCGTGTGGCCGGTGGAAACCACAGCCCGGAACAACTTTGGGAGTCCATTCTGGCGAAACGAGTCGCTTCGTCCGAGATTCCGCCTATGAGATGGGAACCCTACCGCCACCGTGACGTCCGCAACATCAAAGCGCTCGATAATACAACCTCTCGTGGATACTATCTGGATGCCTTGGAGGACTTCGACCCGTACTTCTTTGGAATCTCGCCTAAGGAGGCTGAGCAGATGGACCCGCAGCAACGTGTCTCTCTCGAAGTAGCGTGGGAGGCGCTTGAACATGCAGGCATAGATCCCAAGGAGCTCTCCGGCTCTGACACTTCCGTGTTTATGGGTGTAAATTCTGATGATTACGGAAAGTTGCTGTTGGAGGACCTGCCTAATATCGAGCCCTGGTTAGGTAAGTTCTTTTACGAATATTGGTCTACTTACACCTTGTGCGATTTGGATATTCCCGTTCTAACCCCCAGGACAGGCATAGGAACCGCGTACTGCGGCATACCGAATCGAATATCATATCAATTGAACCTCATGGGCCCGAGCACGGCGGTTGATGCGGCATGCGCAAGTTCACTAGTGGCGATTCACCATGGACGCCAGGCAATCTTGTGTGGAGAGTCGAAAATCGCTATTACTGGTGGCGTAAATGCGCTTTGCGGGCCTGGGTTGACGCGGGTATTAGATAAAGCTGGTGCTATATCGCCTGATGGCTCGTGTTTGTCTTTCGATGACAATGCACATGGTTATGGAAGGGGAGAAGGTGCCGCAGTTGTTGTGTTAAAGCGCCTTCGGGACGCGATAAAAGATGGAGATAACATCATTGCTCTTCTCAAGGGCTCTGCGGTTGCTCAGGACGGCAAGACGAACGGTATTATGGCCCCGAACGCGAAGGCACAGGAACTTGTTGCTCGACAAGCCCTTAAGCAAGCAAACATTGACCCTGCGACTGTAGAGTATGTTGAGGCTCATGCGACATCGACGCCTTTGGGGGATCCGACTGAAGTCAGCGCAATATCGGCGGTCTACGGTGTATCCAGGTCGAAGCCGGTGAACATAGGATCAGTGAAGCCAAATGTCGGCCATCTCGAAGCAGGTGCGGGAGCAATAGGGTTCGTTAAGGCTGTTCTGGCACTGAACAAGACGCAGTTTCCGCCGCAGGCCAACCTCACCAAGCTCAACTCTAAGGTTGACTGGGAAAACTCGGGCACACAAGTCGTGCAAGAGGTTTCCGACTGGCTGGAGGTGGAGGCACATCCGCGCCGAGCGGCCATATGTTCATATGGATATGGGGGCACCGTTTCCCACGCTATCATCGAGCAGTCTTCGTTTCGCCTTGCTACAATGAACCAACAGTACAGCGAATCCGCTCACGTGCCAGTTACGCTTGCCGTCTCGGCCCCACAACGAAGAAGACTTGATGGGCAGGCAGGCTTGCTGGCGAGGTGGTTGATGGGTCCAGGGAAGGGTGAAGATTTGAGGTCAATTGCGAACACCCTTGCTCTCCACCGCGCTCACCATGAGTACCGAGCAGCATTTGCTGTTACAAGTGTAGAGCAGGCAGCGAAAGTGCTCAAAACATTCGCCGAAGGTGGTAACAACGGCGAGTGGGTTTCCCAGGGCAATGCGCTTGCGCCCAGTACAAAGAAAGACGTCGTTTGGGTTTTCTCCGGTCATGGCGCTCAGTGGAACGAAATGGCTAGGCAGCTGGTTGACAATCCCGTCTTCCACAGCGCTGTTGAGCCCTTAGACCGTATCGTGCAAGCGGAGGCTGGGTTCTCCCCTATCATGGCGTTCCGAAAGAGTGGGAACGACTACGACCAGTCCGATCGGGTGCAAATCTTGACATATGTCTTCCAAATGGGACTTGTGGCTTTGTTGAGGTCAGAAGGAGTCAGTCCTGGTGCCATCATTGGGCATTCTGTGGGGGAGATTGCCGCCTCGGTGACAGCAGGCTGCCTTACCTCAGAAGAAGGTGCCTTGGTTGTCACTAGAAGAGCTGGTCAGTACGCCAAAGTCAAAGGTCTCGGAGCTATGTTCCTTGTAAATCTGCCCTTTGATCAAGTGAAGACGGAGCTATACCATGAGCAAGATGTTGTTGCAGCGATCCATTCGTCGCCCTCCGCTTGCGTCATTAGCGGAAGGGTCAAAGCCACAGAGATATATGTTGAGAAACTCAAAGAACGAGGCATCGAGGCAATGAGGGTGACCACCGACATTGCATTCCATTCTGCAGGAATGCTGAGTCCGCTGGCCCAACCAGTGAGGGAGATCTTAGCGAAATATATTCAGCCTCGGCCAGCAACGATACCTCTCTACTCGACCTCCGACGTTGACCCACGCTCAGATACCCTACGAGACGCCGAATATTGGGTTCACAACATGATTAGTCCCGTTTTACTCACATCCGCCGTGAAGGCATCCATTTCAGACGGGTTCCGGCTATTCCTCGAAGTTTCCAGTAATCCAATTGTGTCCCATTCAATCCACGAGACCATTATAGATGATGGGATTGAGAACGAAGAGTTCGCAGTAATCCCAACCGTTCGCCGCCACAAGTGTCCGGAGACCTGTGTGGCGCAAGCTATCGGTAGGTTGTACACAAAGGCCGCAACCATCGACTTTAACAGGTCTCTTGGCCGTCGATGGGCACCGGGAGTGCCTGGGACACAGTGGGTGCACAAGCCAATTTGGAGAAAGGTGCATAGTGGCAGATCGCTGGGCTCGGGCAGCCTCGCGCACGACGTCGACAAGCACACTCTGCTAGGCCAGTTGACCCCCGTTTCCGGGACAGCAGCCAAGACGACTTTGTACACCACCAGATTGACCAATGACACCAAGCCATTCCCAGGCGATCATCCGCTCCATGGCACTGAAATAGTGCCCGCTGCCGTGCTCATCAATACTTTCCATCACGCCACGGGGGCTTCCACTTTGTCCAACATTGTCCTGCACGTCCCGGTAGCCATTAGTGGTGCACGAGACGTCCAGGTCGTATTGGTGGATGACAGTATCAAAATAACCTCACGGCTGCAACAAAGCAGTACCTCTGAAGAACAGTCTTGGGTTACCCATACTGTGGGTCGCTGGAGTGTAACTCAGTCAAATACCAGCGTGGCGCCTTACATCAATATCGAGGCTGTCAAGCGGCGAATCGGTACTGTCTTACCCTCTAACTTCTCCATCGACTACTTACACAAGGTCGGCGTTTCGGCCATGGGGTTCCCTTGGGCTGTCACAGAGCACTTTGGCGACCTTAAGCAAATGCTTGCTCATGTTGACGTTGCGCCAGATGTCGCAGAGGGTACCGAACTGCCCTGGCATGGCTCTTCATGGGCCCCTATTCTCGACGCCGCAACATCTGTGGGGTCTACCATCTTCTTTGACAGACCAAAATTACGGATGCCAGCACAAATTGAGACGGTACAGTTCTTCACAGAGTACGGGGTGCCGCCGCCCAAGACCTGCTATCTCTACGTAGAAGAGGCCTGCGAACATGGAGCTCCCGCAATTCATGTCAACGTGTGCAATAGAGAGGGAAGAGTGTTGGCCAGATTTGAATCGATGCGCTTCTCCGAGATCGAGGGCACCCCAGGCGTCGGCGGTAGTGTCGAGAGCCTTGTCCACCACATCGCCTGGGTGCCCGCACTATTCTCGCGCAAGGCAGCTTCATGGGATAGCTTCATCCTAGTATCAGAAGACCCGGCTACCCTTGACTGGCGCTGGAAACAGCTGCAAAAAGAGCGTAGAGCCAGGAACGTGACTGCTACCCGGGTACAGTCGGCGGCAGAAGTGGTCGCTGAATCACTGGCCACCAATACGGCCATTATATACTGTCCGGGTCCCGTATCAGTTCTCGCTGACGTACCATCCAAAGCCGAGACGTTCCTCTCGGAGCTGCTGATCTTAACTAAGCACGCCGTCGGTAGCACCTCCACCTCTGCAAGCGGAAGTGGAAGTAAAGTATTCGCCATTACCACAGCCGTGTCAACTGCTGAAACACCCACGTCGCTATCTCATGCTCCGCTCCACGGGCTCGCCCGTATCATTGCATCTGAGCACCCTGACCAATGGGGGGCATTAATAGATGACGAGGATCTTAGCGGCAATCGGACCTTTCCCATGCTCGCAATGACGTACGTCCACGGCCAAGACGTTATCTGCATGGATGACGGTCTCCCCTGCGTTGCTCGTCTGCAACCGCTGCCGCGTGAGAGATTGTATGATCCCCTTACCTCTTCTTCTTCCTCTCCACCTCCCTCTTTGCTGCCTAAGGCGGCAGGTACATATCTAGTGACGGGCGGACTGGGTTCGCTCGGGCTTGAGGTAGCGGGCTGGCTCGTGGAGAAGGGGGCGCGGCGGATGGTGCTGGTATCACGACGAACACTGCCTGCGCGCTGTGAGTGGGACAAGCTCGAGACATCCTCATCCAGCGGCCTCAGGCCTGCTGTTGACAAGATTCTGGCACTCGAGGCTTGCGGAGCAACGGTATACACACTCGCGGTCGACGTAGGTGCAGCAGACGCAGCGGCAGTGCTAAAAACCGAATTAGACAGGCTGGGGCTTCCACCGGTGCTGGGTGTAGTCCACGCGGCGGGCACGCTCGAAGACCAGCTCATTCTGAATGCCTCATCTGAGGCCTTCTCGCGCGTGCTGCAGCCCAAGGTTGCTGGGGCGTTGGCATTGCATACCGTTTTCCCACCGCAAACGCTTGACTGGCTTGTCCTCTTTAGTTCGTGCGGTCAGCTCTTCGGCTTCCCAGGCCAAGGCAGTTATGCCAGCGGGAATGCCTTCCTTGACTCCTTAGCTACCTATAGGCGCACGCTTGGAGACAATACCGTAGCCTTTCAGTGGACTAGTTGGCGTGGCCTGGGTATGGCAGCAAGTACTGGGTCCATCAACGCTGAGCTGCACAGCAAGGGCATTAGCGACGTCACGCCTGAGGAGGCCTTTCGAGCTTGGGAGCATTTTGGTAAATTTGACCTAGCTCATGGTGCTGTGCTGCGGAGCTTAGCCTTTCCTGAAGGTAAGCCGCTGCCCGTGGATATCTTGGACGACATCGCAATAAGAACAATCGCGCCCTCATCTGGTGCTGCAGAGGGAGATATCAATAGCGACACCGCAGGTGGAGGCGGGATACCTACGAACGACCTTGACCTGAGGACATGGTTGGAACAGAAAATTAGAGACATCTTCGCTGGAGTCCTAATGTTGCGAAGTGCTGACGAGGTGGACCCGCGCGCTGCTATAGCGCAATTGGGCGTCGATAGTGTCATAACAGTGACGCTGCGTCACCAATTGCAGAGTGTCTTGAAAGTCAAGGTGCCGCCTACTCTTTTCTGGAGTCACCCAACTGTTCGGCATCTTACTAGCTGGTTCGCGGAGAAGATCGAGAAGTAAGGAAAACATACCAATATTATATTAGGCGTACAATTACGCCTATTATTGCTTCTATAAATGAATGCTTATAATCTTACTTTACGTAGAGACATAGCGAGTAACGCAGACAAGCGAGTGACGCAGTTTTGCTGATACCTAACTAAATTCTGAGCACGTTATATAGCCTTAATCTAATAATATAAGTAAGATCATTAAATAATTAGATATAACGTAGGTGATAAGCGAGTGGCCGGGACAAGCGAGTGGCCGGCTTTTGCCAAGACCCTACCAAAACCACGACTATACACGACAGTGCAGGACTGTACAAAACTGTAATTAGAAATCGCAATAGACTAAATTAATTAGAAACTTCTACTACATCTTACTAACATATACGTAAGTTGTGTCTAGCCTTGCTATAGCGTCTATAGCGTCTTTAAGACAGTTTACCTACTTTAATACGCGCTCTTTTCTTAACTTTCCTTCTATTACTACGTGCTCTAAACTCCTTTAGAGTTGTTAGTTAAAGTTCTTTACTAATTATAAGAGTTCTCTTTTTCTATATACGCTTTCTCTTATATAATTTACGTTATGTAGCTGCTTTATTAGCTGCTTTAAGTTTAGCGTTACACTTAGTTATAAACACTAGAGAGTGCGCTATTATCTCTGCCCCTTTTATAAGCTTTTTAATAGCCTTAACTATTAAAGTTAGTAAGCTATCTACATACCGCTAAATTCTCTTGTAAATAAGCCTTAATTATAATGTAAATTCTAGAGTATTGTTACGGTAACCACCGTGGTTCCCCTAACACCTGAACGCACAGATTTCGGGTGGCTCGCCAGTCCACCCGAAATCTGTTAATTGGCCAGCTAAGGCCTGAGCGCCGCGCACGGCCCTAGCTATATCTTTCACCGCTTTGCATTCTGTTCTGTTCCTTACGCAACGTCTTGTATTACACTAGATATTATACGTAGCTACAATTAACGCTTCTTGTAAGCTCTTAAACACGTGCTCGTAGCGTCTTGTGACATTACGTTGCGTCACACCACTATGACTACTCAAGGGCAACCTGACGCGTTGCAATTGATCCTGAATCAGCTAAATGCTATCCAAGCTGATTCCGCTGCATTGAAAGCTAGCAACGAAGCACTACTTGCCAATCTAGCTGAACAAGAAAACCGACACTCTCAACAGATTCTAGAGCTTCGCCAAGAGCTTGAGTCTATTAAGACTAGGTCTGCTCCTGCTGCTACCCCAGCCATTACTCGAACCAGCGCTGAGGGAGATCAAGTTCGTCTAGAAGAGCTATCTGGAATTGGCTCGAATCCTGCGACGCCGCCCAACGCGAACCTGAAGGACCTTCCCCGAACCGACCGTCTGCCTGACCCGCCTCTGTTCAATGGCCGACGAAAGGACCTCCCTGCCTTCGTCCGCAAGCTTAGGTACAAGCTCGAGGGAAACGCAGACCGATACCCGAACGAAAGATCCCGCCTGCTATACGCTCACTCTAGACTTGAGAAGGACGCAGTAGCTCTTATCGACCCGCTTATGGACAAGGATATCCATAATGTAGACCAGCTTGTTACCTTTCTTGAAGCTACCTACGGAGACCCAAACAAGGAGCTGACAGCTCTTAGTCGATTAAGCGGACTCCGTCAAGGAAAGCGCAGCTTCACCTCCCACTTCGCCGAATTCCGACGACTAGCTGCTGACACTGGGTTAAATGAGATTGGCCTGATCGCGTCCCTCCGGAACTCTCTATCCCACGAACTTCAACGTGCAATGGTTGGAGAAGCCTTGCCTAGCGACCTTAACGATTACGCTAACCTGATATCCACGTACGATAATAACCTCCGTTTCCTACCAGACCGCCCACGACGCTACCCTGTAACCCACCCCGACGCAATGGAGATAGACGCATCAGCATACGCCCCCGCTGGTTCCTCCGAACGACAGAAGAGGATTAAGGAAGGCCGCTGCTTTAAGTGCAACCAGAAAGGTCACATCTCTAAGGATTGCAGCGCTCCCCTACCTACTCAGCATATCCGATCCTATAGCGCGCGTGACCACGACCGTACCCAGTCTACTAGTTCTGTCTCGTCAGGATCCTCGCGACCTTCGCGATCCCGAGGACGACGTTCTCGTAACCGATCCCAGAAGGGAAAAGCCTCGTCCCGAGGATAAGTCGCTCCCCGGGACTGCGCACCCACCGAATCTCTGCTGAACTCTGGTCTGAATCTCAGACTGATACCTGGAAACGTTGTATTACAATACCTTGTACGGTTCAACAAGGCGGTGTTAAGAGTAACCTTAAAGCCTTAGTTGACACTGGAGCTACTGGTATTGGATACATTCACAGAGACCTCGCGCGCAACCTAAAACTACGTCAAGACCCGCTGCCCTACGTTATTTACCCGACTGGATTTACTGGAACTGTACTCGACGGTGGAGAAGTGTCTCACACTGTCACCCTGAAGCTACAACACAACAATCACAACGAATCTATACGACTCTACGTCACGAACACCGGCCGTCATAATTTAATACTTGGCCAACCCTGGATGAACAAGCACCGAGTAAACCTAGACTACGACAAGGAAAGACTAATCTTCACCGCTCAACGATGTAAAGAACGTTGTCTTAGAACTACTAGAACTCCTGTTCTCTCTCCTGAGGTACAGTGGAGCAACAACAGGCATGATGAAGCCTACCCTCAAAACCCAAAACTTAAGCATGTGCCACGACAACGGCACGACCACTGGCTACCTAAGATGAAGCGCCAGTTGAACGAACTTGTACCCGAACCTGTACCCGACCCTGATAGTGCCCAGCCAACAGACGAGCAGAACGACTCGTCGAAGTTGCAGCCAGAACTCGACATCTACTGTATAGGTGCTGCTCCGTTTATGAGCCTAGCACGCAAAAGAGGCTATGAAATCTGTGCTGTTAGCATTGCCGACATTGACAAGGCACTAACTGAGAAGAAGCACACCGATCCACTCACGAAAGTTCCTCAGGAGTATCATGACCTGATAGACGTCTTTTCACGAGAAGAGTCTGATAAGCTGCCTGTACGACGGCCTTACGACCACAAGATCAAACTAATACCCGGCAAACAGCACGGGTTCGGCCCACTGTATGGCATGTCTCAGAACGAACTCAAAGTGTTGCGCAAGTACCTCGAAGACCACCTGTCGAAGGATTCATTCGCGCAAGCTCCTCCCCAGTCGCCTCCCCTGTTATCTTTGTTAAGAAACCCGGCGGCGGACTACGCTTCTGCGTCGATTACCGTGCCTTAAACGCCGCCACTGTTAAGAACCGTTACCCAATCCCGTTGATCCAAGAGACCTTGAGCCGACTGAGCAAGGCCAAGTATTACACGAAGCTCGATATTATTGCTGCCTTCAACCGATTGAGAATTGCTGAAGGAGACGAATGGCTAACAGCCTTCCGCACTCGATATGGGTTGTTCGAATACCTAGTGATGCCCTTTGGACTAGCTAATGCGCCGAGCACGTTCCAACACTTCGTGAACGATGTACTACGCCCGTTCCTAGACGTCTTCTGCACGGCCTACCTTGACGATATCCTGATTTACAGTGAGAATCTCCATGAACATAAGGAGCATGTACGATCTGTTCTAAACGCCCTTCGAGAAGCCGGACTCCAACTAGACGTAGACAAATGCGAGTTTCACCAGACTGAGGTGACTTACCTTGGCTACGTAGTTGGAGTAGACGGAATACAAATGGATCCGAAGAAGGTGCAAGCTATTGTAAATTGGGAGTACCCAAACAACGTTAAGGACATCAGAGCATTTCTAGGCTTCGCAAACTTCTACCGACGGTTTATAGACGGTTTCTCCTACCTAGCTGCTCCGCTAGTAGCGCTGACTAAGAAGGATACTAAGTTCCTCTTCAATGACGACTGCCAGAAGGCTTTTGATGCTTTGAAGCATGCCTTCACTACTGCACCAATATTACGACACTTCGACCCAGACCTGCCAATTGTTATTGAAGCCGACGCTTCCGACTATGTTACAGCAGGAGTGCTGTCCCAATCTGGACCTGACGGCGTCCTCCGTCCGGTCGCGTACTACTCGAAAAGAATGAACCCCGCTGAGAACAACTACGAGATCTACGACAAGGAGCTACTTGCTATTGTTCGCTGTTTCGAACAGTGGAGACCAGAATTAGAAGGCGCTGCCTTCCCAATCGACGTGCTCAGCGACCATAAGAACCTGCAGTACTTCGCCACTACGAAGCAACTGAGCCACCGTCAAGCCCGCTGGTCTGAATACCTATCACGATTCCAGTTTACGATTACATACCGACCCGGCAAGCACGGTGAGAAGCCTGACGCTCTTACCCGTCGCTCTCAGGACCAGCTTGCTCAGGAGGAAGCGAGACAAGCTCGGAAACAGACCCTACTGCGTCCTGACCTGTTTCGAGAACCCGTAGCAATTAGACTGGTAGAGACAGATAGATCTATCCAGCAGATCATCGACGATGAGTACCGTCCTACAGGCGATGGGCTACCTGAAGACCTGTTTATTCGAGAAACGCTGAAGCTGCTGCGCGACGGCGCACGACGGTCTAAGACAGTTACACTTGGTGACTGCGAAGACCGTGAGGGTCGCCTCTACTATCGCAACAAGTTAGTGATACCTGACAGCGACGAACTTAAGATCAAGATCCTGCGAACAGTCCACGATTCCCCATCAGGAGGCCACCCTGGCCGAGGGAAAACACTTGAACTAATCCAGCGGGAATACTACTGGCCCCGACTGTTTGAGACCGTTCGCCGTTATGTTTCTTGCTGCCACGTCTGCCGACGTTCGAAGGCTTCTCGTGAGAAGTACCACGGCCTGCTGAAGCCGCTACCCGTACCCGAACGACGTTGGGCAGACGTCTCTGTCGACTTCGTCGTTGACCTGCCAGAATCCGAAGGATGCAAGAACATCATGGTCGTAGTAGACCGCCTGTCTAAGTACCGATACATGATCCCCTGCGATAAGATG